CTTAAGGAAGGGTTTAAACTACTAGAGGGCTTATCCCTTAAGGAAGGTAGACGTATAGATAACCTTCTTAGTTCCATTCTTAAAGTTACTATAATAGAAATTCTAGTAGTTCTTAACTTAGATAAGGAATCCCTTAAGCTATCCTAGGGATCTATTAAAAGGATTAGGAGAGTTAAGTTAAAGCTTCTCTTATCCTTCTATAATAGGGGTAGTAATAATATTAATAGCAGCTTAAAGAGTATAGTTCTACTATTTAAGTTCCTAAGTATACTAATTAGATAGGTATATAGCGGCCTAAAGTTCTTTAGTAGCGTAGGTATTAGTATTAAATATTTCCTATATCTATTAGATATTATAGTTAGCTTATTTAAGCTATTCCTTAAGCGTATTATTATTATTACTATTACTATTATCTTTTATTCTCTAATCCCTAAGTTCTTAAGTAAGGTTCTTCTTGACGGGGGCCTTCCTAGCGCTAGAGGAAGATCTAGTGCTAGGGGTCTTTCTAGAGAGTTATAAGGATATTATAATACTATTAGTAGTTTCTTAAAGGGCAACTTACTAAATAGGAGTAATTAAAGTATTATAGCTAGCTAACTAATAGTAGGTTTATATTAGTAGTAAGTTAGGGATTAAGAACTATAAATAATAATTAGTCGTTTTTATAGGTCTAGTTGAGTAATTATAGGTCTTTAAAGGGCTTAGTAATTAGTTAAGTCCTTAATAAGAGTTATAGAGTAATTATTACTTAGGTATAGCTAAAAGTCTTAAGTGAGAATCATAAGTTAATTACTAAAGAGCTATAGAAGTCTGTCCTTAAGCTGGGCTTAAGTCTATCCTATATATAAGTCCTTTTCCTAGTATATGCTCTTTATACCTTAGGTTGAGCTAGATTATTCTAATTGAGAATAATTATTTAGCCCCTAAGTCTATCTAGATTATTTTAATCCAAAATGATCCTTATCTTATCGTCATATAACTTATACTATAGTTCTTCCCTTCTGAGGATCCCTAACCGTCCTTATGTTACTGGGTTATATATATCCACGTTAGCCGCCGAGAGCCTAGCGGGGTTGTGTTGGTAGCTAAGCCCAACGGGTCGTAACACGATACTTTCAGCTATACCTAAGTGACAATTACTCTACGACCTTATTGAGCACTTAATTGATCACCAAGCCCTTTAAAGACCACGATTACTCGATCCAGACCACAAATGACTATTACTGTTCTCATTGCCTAACTTACTATTAACACAAACCCCACTGTCAGTTAGCTGGCCGTAACATATAGATCATAAAATATAGGCGCAATTAGATAAAGGGATAGATATAGTAAGACGGAAGTTATAAGGTAGGTAAAGTTTAGTTGGATACTTAGAGTTAGGAAACGTAAAGTCAGTGGTTAGAAGGGGAGGACTTATAAAGATTAGAACGTAGAGAGCAGGAGGAAATGATGCGCGGAAGCACCAGTGACGGGCCGGCGTGAAGGTGAAAGGATGATGTTGGATTAGCAGCGCGTCCTCCGACATCTACCTCTAGAACACAGCTCAAATGCTGCCACATCGCAGTTGGAGTCTAGATTGGGGACCTCAGGGTCCCTGGAAGAAATAACACTAGCGGCGCATCCACCTGGAGGCGCGGGAATATTGGCTGAGAGGACGGGCCGTTGCGATCAATATCAGAGCTAACAAATAGAGGCTCTTAATTAACACTCTGTTCTTAATGACAGATATTTAATAGTATGTGATACCAAAGATATTCGTTAGCAGGGCTAGTAGTGTATCCGTTGTACATCCGGGTAGCACATGCGTCGCGCAAGCATCTAGAAGATCCAACGGCATTAGCTATAGATGCTGCAGGCACAGGCAGATAGAAGAAGGATGAATAATGGAGGTTAGCGGACGTCTATGGAGGAAACTCTGGGGGAGACAATCAGGCATATCTGTAGCCGTTTTGTGGGCGAAAGTAGTCGGGCGGTATAGAAGATATGAAGATATGGAGAATGATTGACTAGCGCTGGCTTGGTATCGCCGGCCGGATCTAAAGCAAGTTACTACCTGTGAAGACGAGTTTTGTGAGGGTAAGTTGTTATCTTCACGTCGGGAATCCTGCCCAAAGACACGCTGTTATCTTCAGGTTGCTCGGCATGAGACTGCCAAAGCGAGACCGCTCTCCTAGCCTGCCCAAACGCATCGCCAAAACAGTTGGCTCCCGGTGATGGAGCGCCGTCAGGTGCTATTCATGGATTTTTCTCAGAGCAAGGTTCGATAAGTTAAGGATGGGGGTTCACGTCGTCTGACCGAGACATTGGTTGTCTGCTCAAGGGGGAGCGAAGGCAGTGCAGCGGCCTGGGTTTACTATGAAGTCCTTGCCAGACGTGCGGGGTATTGTCTTCTGTTTTACTGCATTAGCAAAGTCTACTGAACAAGGAGGTACTCGTTTCCCATCACTTTTGGTGCTGGTTTGTTTGCTTTGATTCGCATGAGCATGGCGATTGACGCTATTAGAATAGGGCCAGACGCCGACTTGATTGTATGACACATCCAATTGATGGTGCCGTGGGGGCAGCAAAATGTTGGTGATGAAGACCGAAGCCAAATAGCGATAATGCCTTCCAAGAGATGCATCTAACAAGCCATCGGTTGGGCATATTGTTCAAGCGGAGAAGGGCAGACGCCAGTGTCGGAGGGCGGAGGGCGAACGGTAGAACAAGGGACATCGCCGACGCAGGCTGTCCATCATGTTTGTTTGCCTTGAAACCTGCTGCCGTGCAGCATAGTTGAAGGGATAGTAGCTCGGCCGGTAGGTGTTGCTCAGATTGATGCGGTTCTTGGCGGATGTGGATGGGCAGACAGTCTGACGAAAAAGCTGTTCGGAGGGCGCGTCGGACGAAGGTTGGCCGAGCTGCAGCAACCCATTGGATTCGGACTCAGACTCGAACCAAGCTGGAGCAAGTCAGAACGGGGGATGGGAATCGGTATGGGCCTTTCGCCGCTTACGGAGTGTGAGTCCTTCGAGGATGGATGCCGCGGGTAACTGCTTTTGCGGCAAGGTGTGTCATGATCCGGGCTGCCGGGCATAACGAACGCCGGAGTCGTTTGGTGTCGGCCTGGTTGAATTGAGAGAAGCCCAGCGGCCTTGAGACAGTGGCGCACGACGGTGAGCATCGGAGATTGATATGTTCGCTGCGGGACGCGTGGAAGAGAGGTCCCCAAGGAAGAGGTACTCAAAGCCCGAGCGCTGGGAATAAATGCAGCGCTGGCCGCCCCTGACTGCACCAGCGGAGCTCTCCTCGACTTCGATAACGGCTGCAGCAAGAGGGTGCTCGTCCTTTCGTTGCCGGAGGCCGGACTGTCAGGCTTGAAGTCGTCCTCGCCGCAGGCTAGCAATCGTGCATAGTGTACCGGCTGGAATTACCCGTGGCAGGACGGAGGAGGGGTATTGCAAGTGGGGGCGTAGATGAGCTGTTGAACAGGGAATGCAAAAAGGAAGAAGAAAATCGTCAGCGATGGAGTTACACGGCATGGACTGCTGTAATTTTGACCGGCATTGGAGTTGGCCGGTCGAGATGGCGGCGTTTGTGGGTACGGTGATGACTCTGAAGAGACGGCGGGACGGAAGACACCAAGATCCAACAGCAAGGTGACTATTATGCTTCACAGGTTCGTCGTCTGCTCGGAAGGCCAAGGAGGTAGTCATCTGAAGCGCGTGGTCGGGGATGACGAGCGGGTTTGGAAAGTTGGGGTCATGGAGACGATGTCGGGATTGGGTGCCAGTTGTGGATCTGGTTGAGGACTTCCTGCAGAGCGCGGCCGAATTCGACGGGGATGCCTTGTAGAAAAGCGAAGACTCCCCAGGAGATGGAATCACGAGTGGCATTCGATCTTCGCTTGCGACGCGGGGGATTTCGGGCTCGAATTGGGACACTGTTGGGCTTGGTGCAACTCAGGACGGGAACGTCAGCTTGGCCAGGCATCGAAGAAGTTGGTCGCGATAGCACGTGACTTCGTGACGCATATTCTCGTCATGATGTAAGGCGTCCAGCCCCGGTCGTGTTGTGTAATGTGTCCAAAGCTTCTTCTCTGACCCGGGTCGACTGACAAGCTTCGTGAGCCACCACACAAACACTCCATGAATGTTCGACATTGGGGCCCCTCCTACGCTCGTGTTCGCCTCTCGCTGCCAGCCAAGCTTTCGCGAGGTTGCAGTCCTGAACCCGACTCGAATCGAACCTGGGTCCATCCCCGAGGAAGCCGTTTCCGTGGGAATGCGGCACGGCGCGACAGCTGCGAGGTCGTCTGGATCATCTCCTGCCGTCCGGTAAGGAAAAGACTGCGATTGAGACAGGGCGCATCCGATACATCGCCGGGAGCAGATGCTGTACAGCCGTGTCTGCCTTCGAGATGCCCCACGCTGGCATATCTTCGACAAACTTGGTCAGTGCATTCTCAGCCTCATCTTCATGGCCCGCCATGCGACAAACCGGGCGAGTATGGGAACGGCATACGTGTGATTGGTTGTGTGGTTGTACATATTGTCTCTGCGGTGCGCGTCGGTGGTTTGAAAGATGTGGCGTATGGAGGTGTGGCGCACAAAGGTGTGGCTGGAGAGGGCGGTGCGAAGCAGCAGAATAAATTGAGACTGAACGCATCCGCAGCACCTCCGAGAATCAGAAAGCCCCGTGTACGACAGGCTAGACCATGAAGATAGAGACCCAGATTCAACTTGAATTCATCAAGGCAAGAGCGATCAAGGTATCACAACATCATACAGAGAAACCTAGAGAGAAGATGGCGTCCAGTGGGTACGGCCCAACCGAGTATGTGAAATTGAGTAAATATCCTGCGGAACAGAAATGTTTGAGCTCATCTGGCGGTGCATCGCCATTCCAGCTGCCTAGCTGGCACAGGTGTACACGCACGTATGCCCTAATCTTCGAATCCTCCCCCTCCGCGTCCGGGTGCCCAAGTAACTCTGGCTGGCGCTTGGAGTTTGGCCAGCTCAGAGCTGGGGGTGAAGCCAGGCGCCAGCCTTGATGAAAAGGAAGAAGAGAATGACCAAAAACAGCACGATGCCCATACCCAACATCATGACGATGGCCTTGGAGGTGGGCTCCGCCTTCAGTCCCGCCTTCCCATTCTCTATGACATCCTCCGGGGGCCAGACTTTTCCCTCCTTCTCGGCAAGCATCTTGTAGTAATTGTAGTTCTAAAAGGAGGCAGGGACAAGTCAGCAAAAACAAATGCAAGGCAGGGGAGCAAGAATTTGCATAGTGGAGACTTGGGCGAGGAAAAACTGACCTTGCGACAATGGAGGACGTCTTGGGCAAGGTACTGGGCACCAAGGGTGTCAAGGCCGTAGTACTGTAGAGTCTGCTGGACCTTGCTCTCAGTGAGCCCCGGGTGGTTCATCTCATAGCCAGTCAAGCAAAGCCGCCAGTTTTTGGGGACATCCAGCTCGCGACGTCTAATGATGCGCTCGAACTAGGAACGCACAGCAGTAGTGTTAGCATCTGGGCCTGGGAAGGTTCTGATGAGGTCGTTAAGCTGCTGCTCCGGTCTCATGGCGGCGGCGGCGTTTGCAATGCGATTCTTGGTTGTGTGGGAGATGGTGATGTGCTTGGGTTGTGAAGAGTGCACTGCGTTGTGATGGAAGAAAGATGGGTGAGGGGTGGAGTGTTTGCTGGTAGACGGTGAATTGTGAATGGGGCTGTGAGGATGAAGGCACACACTTGGATGGAAGGCACTTGGGTGGAAGGTGCGTAAGGTACGTCGGATGGGATTAGATAAGATCCTGAGGCACCCAGTCATCTGGAGTGTTGATGTGAGTTTTGTTTGTGGTGGCATGAGACCGTCCTCAGGCACCCAGCCAGTCATCTGCAACCTGCAGTGTTGGTACGTTTTTGGCAGGAGATTTGGTCTTTTAGGCCCCAGGTGGCTGCTTTCATGCAGGCATGCAAGAAACCTGCTACTGTCTTGTTGCTGCTTTGACCGCCCTTGTCTTCCGGAGGCGGCAGCAGCAGAAGCATCATCGTCGCCACTATACCATTGCAAGTGCTCCTATGGCCTTCCAAGTCTTGGGCACTGACTGAAATATGGGGTCGGTGGCTCTGCAGCCAGCCATAGATGTGGAAAAGCACAGCGTGTTTAACTTCTGCCTGGGGGTCTGGTGTTGAGCAGAAGAGGCATATAGGAATAGTTCTCGCCATCCACAAGTCGTTCGCCCCATCAGAACTTGCAGCTCAGGCAACCAACAAACCTTCCTCCACAAGCCAACAGCAACATTCTCATTACCAAACACTCAACTTCTCCTCCAAAACACCGTAAGTTCCTCCATATCACTGTGTCACGCCCATACTCATCCGTCTAGTCGACATGGAGCCAACGAGCCAAGCTGCACCTGCCGATGTCACACCTCCTTCAGACGCCTCACCAGCCAACTTGGCCGACCGGCAGCCGCAAGGTGAGGCAGGGGTTGAGCTCCAACGCTCAGCCCAGCCACAACCCCAGACTGTCCAGTCAACCAGCCCTCAGACAACACCGGCTCGCCCCCAATCCCCTCGGCCACAGGCCCGGACCGATGCGCCAGCGCAACATCGTCCAGGCCCCCCAATCGATGAGCGGGACATCTTCGTCCCAATGCCGGCCCCAACGACTCATGGCGAGGCCGAGGCTGGGGTGCGGCGGAAGCTTCCCATGTCCGGCTTGCCGACAGCGGCGGAACTCGACGAGTCGGTGACGTTCTTCCACCGGTACTTCGGCCTTTACTTCCTAGTGGCGCCTGCGCTGGAGACGCCAACCCTCCCCACCATCGTCCTGAAGGTGAGCAGCCGGCTCAACATCTCCTAGTGGCAGTGGCAGAGCGGGTTGGTCACCCTCGGATACCTTGTGGTGTTCCTGTCTTCTATCGTTCTTGGGCGAAGATGGTGGGCTGCTTAGCAATTTTGCTAGCGGCGGATGGGTCTGAGAGTCGGTTGGACCGTGACGAGGGCAGAGTGATGGTGTGGGATTGTTCGGTCGTTGGGATTGTGTGTTGTCATGGTGGTCTCGTCGGCCTGGAGGGACTTTGAAGTCATGTCAGTGTCTGCTGATGGACCGGGTGGAAATGTGCGTACTTGTTGTAGTAGGGGGTGGCCAAGCACTGGAGATGTGACGTTTTGGGTACTATGTACGCTGGGATGGGTCCATGACGATGATGGCAAGGGCTTCCGTGGGAATCTTTTGGCTAGCAGCAAAATGCACGGGAGGTGGCTTGCTCGAGCAGCCTCTGGCGTGTGTCGGTTGGTCGCAACAGCATAGGGGTGTAATCGAGGCAGAGCAGGAGCTCCTGTTTTGTGCGTTCAGGACTTGGCCATGCTTGCGGATGAATTGATGTTATTTATGGCGAATGGTGTGGCAGCGACAGTCCTTCGGGGCGGAATCCAATCAAGTCTTCCGCAGGGTGAAGTTGTGCTTGGTCGGGGTTTTGTTCATGTCAAAGGGAGCTCTGTGGACCCCACCCATTCGCGGTTCACGTTGCAAGGACGGGGATGTCGTCATTTAAGAACGCCCGGCAATTTTCCGGTTGGCTGCCCTGCAATATGGCGCGGCTGGTTGAGAATCGGCAGGTCAGCCACGGCATCACCCTGTGTGGCTGTGTGAAGCTTGAGGCTGCACTTGGCCTGGCGTGGACGTGGGGCGCAGTGCAGCTGCCATGCGATACTGACGAAGCATCATCCTGGACGGACCCCCAGACTCCAAGTCCAAGGCTTCATCAACGCGTTTTCGGTGTTTAATGGCACCTAAGTAAGCGGGAGAGGCACGAATTATGGGCAAAGCAGGCGGAATTTTGGAACGTCAAGCTCATCAAGGCACGGGAGTGTTCGGGGAGACCAGACAGCACGAGACAGAGGCTGGGCAAAGAAAGGTCCGTGGCAGGCAGGCAATAGTGGAGGCAGCACAATCGGGGTGGTTCTTGTGACCGCGACCTTGTCAGTGTCAGCCACGACCAAAACGACGAGGTTCCTGACGGATGCCGGCCGTGGTTGAAGGCTACCGATCGGGAGGCAATTGTGGTCGACAGGGTTGTCGTAGGACTTTGGCAAGGAGGCCTGCAGCCTGTGGGCCTAGGTGTAAGGACTTGCAGACCGTGCAAGAGCTCAGTGGCCCATTGGACACCTTTAGTGCGGCTGTGTTGCTACCAGGGTCATCACCATCGCCGAGTCGATGCGGCAAAACGGCTTCGGTGTCTGGTTCGAAATGTGCAGCCCCCAGAGCCTAGGTGGATTGGCACACGATGAGCACAACCATGAGACCGACGATTGGTGCCTTGCCTTTCGTCGCATCGCTGTGTTTTAAGATATCGAAGATTCGCAGCCCCAGAGGTATGGTCGGAGAGGTTTGTGGGCACAGGTTCGTGGGCAGAGCATCGTGGTCGGAGAGTTTCGCAGTGAGAGGGGTTCGTGGTCGCACAGGTTCGCAATCGCAGAAGGAGATCGTGGCGGGTGAGTTTTGCTGTGTCGGGATGGGAACGCCGGCTGCCATGCAGAAAGAAAGGTCATCAAAGCTGGAAAGGTAGGTAGGTGCGGCGAGGAATGAAGATTGACAGACTGACCAGTTTGGGAGGTGCAGCTTGAGGACCCAGGTGCATGTCCCGGAAAATCAGGACAAGGACGAGGACTCCTTCCGTCAGCATTCACATGTCCCAAAAAATCAGGACATTGGAGACCAGGACATCGGCTGCGATGCAGGTGCATGTGTCGTAGAATCAAGTGTGACGATTTCCCCACTGCAGATTGTCCCATCCGATTTGACGACATGGGCCACGATCAGGACATTTGGCTGTGACCGGGACATTGGCGTGGCGATGGAGCGAGTGCAGCCACCCGAGGCCGGAAATGCGTTGGAGAAGTGGGCCACGGCGATGTTGACGATGATGATTTTGGGGAGAAGACAGGAAGATGAAGAAGAGAGCAGACCACGGAGAAGCATGCAACGTTCCCTTGCGCAGGCGCGGCGAAGGCACGCACTTGTTCGGGGGCTTTCAGACGTTGGTGCTGGGGGCAGCCAATCAGTGTTGCGGGATCCCGGTCTGGGAAGCTATCGCAGGCGGCACGGCACGTACCTACGCCATGCACCGAGCACCTTGCTGAGGGCCGGCGCAGACAATGCCCCCCAGATCCCTCTTCTTCTCGTTCTCGAGCTGAAGATGTACCCAGAGAAGGAACCTGGAAGACCGAGGTGGCTGCACAAGCAACAACTACCCTGCAGAAGGTGCTCGGGTCGAATTTCTGGGAAGCATCAAGGCAACGGCGGCAGTACGAGTTCTCTGGACGTGAATTACCTTGCTCCATTCGCGAACAACCAACCCGCTCGAAATTACTGTTACGACACCCACTGCGAACGTGGACAATCTCAGGCCTGGTCTTGCCTCGTTCTGGTTGGGTGAGGTACGTACCGAAGAGCACTTGTCGTTTGTCTGCGTCGCAAAAGCCAATCGGTCCACGGCGAACAGCTCTGACTTTTAATCACTGCTAAAAATCAGGAACAACTCCAAAATGGCGAGGCTGTCCGGAAAGAAATGGTACATGCCGAGTGCCGCAGCCATGCAGGCCCTTGGCGTCCGAAGTCTGGGTCGTTGAAAGGGTGCCTCTGCCGCCGCCCGCAGCCCGGTCACCCCCATCATTGCTGCCGCCAAGCCGGACAGGACTGCGACCCAGACCGACGGCGCCAACTAGGAACAGGCACCGTCCCAGGCACCTGCCACTTCCACTGCCTCCCAGGCAGACGCATCTCTTTTGGGTATTTGGTCCAGTGGTTTGGCGCGATACTAGATGACCTGGATGACCATATCGACGGAGACGACCCAACCATATTTGTCTCACTGATCTCTGCCACCTTTTCTGGCTGCAACCCTGAGCAGTCGCCGCTCTAGACTGAGGCGAGCCTGAGCTTGTAGCTAAGTAGCCGAGCTTCTGCTCGAAGTACCTGAGCAAGCCCTGTCAGATTGGGTGTAATTTTGTGTTTTATTTCTCTCATCTGTTCTAGCGCACGCGCTCCCCTGAAAGATATTAGTACTGTAAAAACGGGGTCCAGTTACAATCGTGCGTGCGAAGCAGGGATAATACAACAGGCCTTGACTCCTAAGATAACTAGCAAAGGGGCTGATCAATTCCTCTATATAGATACCACACGACGGATGATCGTATGAAATGCAAAGATGCCCTTGCAGACCCAATGTCTCAATATCTCAAATCTAGCGCTCCCTTACGTGCTAACAAGCACTCCCTTACTGCTATGGTTATCCCCATATCCGTTACAAGTACGCTACGTCACGTGTAAGCTACTAACTGTAACAACGTGGTCCATGTTCTTCTGATCTTACGTACGCAGCGGAATAATACGACAGGCTTGTGTTCATTCTTCTAGTGCAATACTCCACTATATCAATACCACACTACCCAAGCTATTGCTTAAGCTTTATAGGGGCTTATGCGTTCTGTGAGGTTGGCTTACTCCGCGCGCGGCGTTACAGCGAGTCACAGTGCACTTTGCAGGGACCCCTTGCGGTGGCTGACTCATCTTCACGCTGCAGCACGTCACCCGAGATTTGCGCAACGCGAGACCACCCAATGTCATGTGACTGCCAGGAGCTTGCGACTTTACGCCACCTGGCTGCAAACATTTCGCACTGTAGAAGTCTGCATGGCAGCTGCGCAAAGTCTGCGCAAAGTCTGCGCCAGCAGGCAAGCGAGCATCGCGATTCCCCCATCGTATGCCACCACAAGTGCATGACATGTCCCTCAATATGAAAACGATGCAGACCCTTGCAGATTCTCACGAACCAAGGACAAGGACGGAACACCAAACGCGACGGGTTTTTATTCTGCAGTCGAAATAAAAGCTCGAAATAAAAGCTGAGCTTGCGGTTTCCCTTCCAAGTAGAATTCTATTCGCATGCATTGCCGTTTCTTGTAGCCAGTCTCCCACCACCAAAAATCGTCACTCGCTCCAGTCCTTCAAGTGTTCCATGGATATCGTGGGACCGCCACACAACAGCTCACCCCACACCCAGACCAGACCAACCCTCTGCAACGCCCTCACTTGCGTCCGCCGATGCTTTCCCAGTACTCGTCGAGCAAACCAGGGTCGTGTCGCTTGACGAAGGCTTCGGACACGACCGATTCGTCCGTGGATCCAACCCAGGTGACTGTCAGCATGGCATTCTCATTATTCTTGCCGCTTGGAAAAGTATGCGACTTGACACTCTGGATGTGCCAGCTCCCCCTCTCTCGAGGACCCAGAACGGCGCGGTGGTCGCAGGTCGCAATGTACTGCTTCCACAGGAGAGGGGCATCTTGGATGAGGTACTCGGGCTCCCAGGTTGTGTCGTTCTCGGCCACATTCCATCTGCACTTGAGGATTATCCGGGTTATCGCAAGGAACACCATCGCGCTTCTGGAGAAATGCAGTCTTGTTCTGGAGAAAATCATCACGATCCCCTGGGCGGATGGTCCACAGGGGAGGGTCTTTGGGACCCCAGTTGAAGTCGAGAGGTCAATAGAATCGTTGATGTAATTCTGAGCCGCGGTAACATGTGATGTGAACATGATAACCACATGCAAGAAAGCAGCGCCAATAGCGAACTTCGAACCTCGAAGAGAGACAGCAGAAGGCCGTATGATCTCCATACTTTGCAATGTCCGGTGAAACGTGGCAGGTTGGAATAGCTGAGGGCTAGGTGGTTGGTGGTAGAAGACTCGGAGAGCTGCGCTCGCGATACTTTTGCAGCGGATGCAGGCAATCTGAACTAAAAGAAGACAGCCCCCAAAAAACGAGGAAAGACAGTTGATTTATGGATAGGAATGGGGGGAAAGAATACCTGACGGCAACTGTCAGTTGTCCAGGCTCATCGCTGAGCTCTCATGTGAAGTTACGGTGGCAGCTTACAACTGAAGATAAGTGATGCCGCCAAAGAGTAGGCCTCGTGAAACCCCAGTGGCGTGAAGATTTTGTACTTCCAATCAACACAAGACGGAGATGATACAAGTTTGCCATCTTTTTGAAAGAACTTGCGGGACGCCGGGATCAATACGGGGCAGCTGACCTTGAAGATAACCGTAATACAGTCCAAATTCGGAAACACCTACATATTGAAGCTCGCAGAGAGAGTGTGTGTATGTTAACCAGCAGAAGCATAACTGCTGATGAACAAATAAAACCATTATCAGAATGAGCACGTACCGTCTCGAGGACGAGGCTCGAGTTTCGTTCTTACATGTAAACGAATAAAATAGATGCTCCTGCTGTGACACAGATCCGTTACATGGTATTCTGTTCATTCTCTTTGAAGTTATCTCAACTCAGCCTCGGAATGGTGAGCACGTCTTTAAGTGGCCTTGAGGGTTCGCTCAAAACTCCCATTTTGGGGGAGCAAAGAACGTGGCTTCAGTTGTGTTACGCCTATCATCCAGCAAGGGACCTTTAAGGTATCAGCCATCAAGGAATGTTGTGAATTGGCTCTACTTTCGACGTAGAAACGTCGAATCGTGTGGCTTGCATTATGCGTCGCAGTAGTAAGCAGTCGGATGTCCTTAACCTTCATTCACGGAGGTGTGCGCACTCATCTCATACAACGTTTTGAAATTCTAACATAACATCAATCCGACATTTCAGATCATCGCAGACATTTGGGCTCATATTTTAAGTAGAAAACACTGGCTGTGGCATATTGATCTTATAGACTCGTCAAGATGGCATTCTTCGCCTCTAAAGCAACTTGACACCTCTAGAATGTGGATGGGTGCACCCTCGCTACCTCAACCATAAGCTTGCCGGCTCGAGGCGCGATATTAAATCGATCCACCATCTCCATGTCTCCCTCTTTCATCTCTGGCTCAAGCCTAACCTCGAGTCCAGAGTGGAACAAAGCAGTAATGACCCAGTAGATTTCTTCCCACGCAAGATTCTGCCCGATGCAGCCCCTCCTCCCAATGCTAAATGGCGTAAGAGAAGATTCCATCGCCTCGGTAGCATCAAGCCACCTGTCTGGTATGAAATGATCAGGATCAGGGAAGACCGCAGGGTCGCGGTGGTGTATCCAGTTTTGCATGCCGACCACCGTGCCTGCTGGTATTGTATGGCGACCAAGTTGCAGTGGCGCACCGACGAGTCGAGGTATCGTAGAAATGATGGTCGGATGGAGGCGGAATGTTTCCTTGACAACGGCGTTGACATAGGCATTAGACCGAATTCCAACGATGTCATCTGAAGAGATGGCAATGACTTCGTCCCGAAGACGGCTCTGAATTGTAGCATTCTGCGGCCTAGACAACTCGTAAATGAGGTACGTCAGTGTGGAAGACGTGGTTCCTGAGCCGGCAAACATGTAGTTCATCGCCTCCTCAACCAGTTCCTCGTGATTCAGCTTTCGCTCTAGAAATCCGTCTTTTTGTTTGATCAGTGGTGTTAGAAGATACTTGTCGTCCATGGTTGAGTGCTTCAGAAAGTGATCAACCATTTCATACGACTTCTCGGTCCAATATGCGTGGCAGCGGTATGCTTCGCCAATGGCGCCAGGCATTCGATGTCCAAGACGCAGGGGTCGCAAGAAAGGCAGAATGCCGTCGAAAATGAGCGTCGGCGCAGCCCCATCCATTGCCTGCAGCAGCTTGAAAGCATCGCCCTCAACGGAGTCATCGTCAAACCGCTTGGCAAACCCAACCTGACAGACTATCTCAAGGCTGAACAAACCAAACAGCTTGTACGCATCTACGGTTCCTGATGGTGATGCCGATGCGCCGGCTGCCAACCGGTTGGCCAGGATCTGGGCCCGTTCTTTGATGATGGGTGCAAGTTTGGCAACTGACTGAAGCGAGTACGGCGGGCTGCTCATCTTTCTTCTGGCAGCGTGGCTTGCAACGTTTCTGAGTTCTTAGTCAGTAACATGCGCAAGCAAGGGGGCCATGGGTGCGAAGGCCCCTCTATGCGTGAGACTGGTCTACTTGCATCATGCTGAAAACATTCTCTTTGCCCACAAATGTAGCTGCCTGGTAGAAGCCAGGATCTTTGACGACGCTTTTCGTGTCCGTGTATATGGTCCGTAGATGTTTCCAATCACCTACGGAGACTTCCCTTGGGCCGACACGAACGATCGGACCGTACTTTTGATGTAGTTCCTCAAGTTTTTGTAGGTTATTTTAGTAAATGGCTAAAGACGACCACAATGCACTAAACATACGTATACACGACGGCCCAGTATTGACTCCCGCGTCACAGGAAGACTTGTTAGTCTGGCCCATGATGGGCCAGGTACGTCACTCAAGCCGTCGTTCAGCAGCCGTCGAAGAAACTATTGATGAATGAGTCAGACGGCTTGGTTTGAGCCAAATATTGAACGTACCGTTACTATGACGAGGAGGAGGGCTAAAGCGGCGGCGTACGCAGCAACATGATTGAACGTATGCTCGCGCCCTGAAAGAGGTAAGGACAGCATGATGTTGCACAACAGATGAGGGCTTCACTGGTTGCGGCACTGTTACTCAAGGAAACCATAAAATACCGCGCACGATATTGTGCTCAAGTTTCTCATATGTATTATTTAAGAGTTTTCTGTCGTCTGACGTCTGCATAGAGTGTATTAACCGGCTCCACATTCCGGGGAAATCTCCCGAGTTCATGTTCCGATGGCGATAAACTGCTAGATTGACCTGGCTTTACACTAATGCACCCCGCAAAAGGTACATTGACCTTTCTCGCTTGCTGTCGCTCATACAAGTTCAACGTCAACCTCTGATCAAAACGATTCCTCCCGGCGGTGGGGTTCTGAAACACTGCGAAAACACACACTAGCTGCATCCTTCACGGCGGTAAGTGGAGGGGCCACTCAGTTGCGGCCAGCAAAAAAGACTGAGACGGCGAGGCGTTCTGGGGACCAGAACTTGCCGAGTATCGACCGCTTAGCGAAACCGAGATATTCGTAGTCAGTTACCCACGTTTAGCAGAGCTCCAAGCTCAAATATGATGTCACTGCCAGGCGAAAAGGCAGACGAGCTTTTGGCGTGCACGCGTATTGGAAGCTCTTACTTGACGCCGTGCCGCTTATTAAGCGGCATTTGGTGAAGATTGTGGAGGGCAACGCAGCCAAGACAGAAAGTGCTGCTGGGCCTATCACGCGAAAGATGAAAAAGGACACGGACAAGAATCCGAATTTCCGACGAATTGTGGTTGTAGGTCCGACCCCTTCCCGGGACGCGTGAGGTCTGATTAATGTTTGCAGCAGCATTCTAATTGTTTTTAAGCTTGTTCGATTTATTGTTTCCATTCTGTCGAGCACGCAACAATCACCTCACTTATCTATCCCCTTTTCGCTTGCACCGTAGAGTTGGGTTGGTTTGGGTCATCGCGCTTTAGCTTGGTTTTTTCTTTTTACTTTTCATCACTCTGGTATTCTATGTTGAATACGTAGGAAGAAAAAAAAATCGGAAGATGGCGATGGGTGATAATGCAACGACTATGGCTCGAAGGTGAAGACAGCGATAAGATGCTCGAGTCAAATGCTGGCTGGGTATTGGTCGCTCCCGACTTCCTTTTTGGGGCAGCAGCACCGCTTTTTGACTTCACTTGAAGAGGGGTCAAATCACGAACCAGTATTTTAACGGATTTTCAACCTCAATAAATTGACGGCAGAAGTCAGTCTGTTCTAAAATCTGCCGGTATCGACATAGCTTTTACTGGCCGTGTTTTTCCTGCCTTACTCGCAATGATTTTGATGCGTATTTTGCTGTGTTGGCTATCATGTCTCACAAGCGCAGCGTCCGCCATTTCCAACGACTCATCGAAACCATCGTTTCATCTAACATTGACGCCAAGCCTGGATACCGATCAGTATCGCCTTCATGGCAATATCGTACTCAGTAAGCCGAGTGGAAGCAACGAAACACTTGTGATGCTGCCGAAGACTATCGCCAGCGTACCTTCCGCGCAGTATGGTTGTGACGGCGTGACCGCAACCGATGACAAAGGCGACTTGGCCCTGGGATTTCACGAGGTCGACCAAGGAGCATTCGGCCTACCTTACCAGATATGGACGGCACAAAGAGCTACGGAAGGACCTGTATCGATCAAATTTACTGCCGACCCTGCCGTTGTAAATACTAGCGCACTCCCCGGGCCCCATTTCGACTTGAGAAATGCGACCGGTGGTCTTACCGGCTCCATGTGGGCTGTCGTACCCGTCCCGAACCCAATGTCCAACGACGACTACAACGTTACTGTATCATGGAACATCACATCTCTCCAAAGCGCGGCGTATACCTGGGCCGACGGAGTCGGGCCCCATAGCTCCAGCTTCGTCGGACCCCTGACCCAGCTGACCCAGACATTCTTCATCGTCGGAGACGTCAAGGGGTACCCGAGCTTGCCTGCTACCGGTCCCGACAATAAGCTCGGTGTATACTGGTTAGAGAAGACTCCCTTCGATATCAACGAAGTCGGAAGGTATCTACAGACACTACTCGCCTACTCAACAAAGTTCTGGCAAGATAACTCAACCGAACCGTACCGCGTATTCATCCGTATCAACGAAGAGCAGCGCTCGGGGACAGTCGGGCCCGGCGCCGGCGGCACGGCGCTGCTTCGCTCCTTCCTTTTCGGATACAGACGAGACGTTGGTCTGTCTCTGGACAAGGTCACCACTCTTCTGGCTCACGAGATGACGCATAACTGGACGCCGTGGTCCGGCGGGACCAACGCCGAACAGTCTCGGTACAACGAGGGCGCAGCCGAGTTCTGGTCTCTGAGGCTTCTCTGGCGTGCCGGCATGCTCAGCACCGAGAGGTACCTCGACGAGATGAACACTCGCGCCTCGGAATACTACCAAAACCCCACCAACAACAGAAGCGACGAAAGTGCGCAAGAGGTCGCGTGGGAGATACGGGACGCCCAGAGAATTCCGTACGGCCGGGGGATGCTTCACTTCGCGAATATCGATGCCCAGATGAGGGCCAAGTCGAACGGGGCCCAGAAGCTGGACGATCTCGCGATCCCTTTTTTGCAAGCTTGTCGACAGGATGGGAATTGTGGCTCAAAAGAATGGTTCTCCCTGCTTAGGTCAGCGCTGGGACAAGAGGCCGTTGATGAATGGAACAAGGTCTCTTCAGGGCAGCCTTTGATCAAACCAGTTGAGGGCAGCTTGGGCCCTTGTTTTGACGTGGTGCAGAATGGAACCAGTCCCGTTGTCTATGTCTGGAAGGTCAAGGAGGGAAGAAACATTTCGAGTGCAGAATGCTTGATTTAGACTTGGGTTATTGTGTTGGGATAGTGGCTTAGGTCGAGTTTTGTTTTGGCAGTCTTTATTCCAGATGAAAAATTTTCGTTCCTTCCGTTATGAGTTGTTCAGTCCCAACTGTGGGAGGCATTGTTTGGTTTTCAGATAAAAGGTCTTCCACTTTACCTCACCTCACTTCAACCTCACAACCTTCCCACCAACAAACAACCACACAAACTCTAGCCTTCACCACACTTCACACAAACCACTATAACTACTCATCATCTCACATCATCCATCGTGCGTTCACCTATAATACTCTTCAGACAAAGGAATATTCAAAAGCTGACAAAAATAAACAGACGATGGCCGTTATCACCCGTGTTGCCGACCTCAAGGCCAAGAAGTCCATCTGTGACGACCTTCTCTCCGCCCTCATCGAGCGCAACTACCCTGCCGCCGATGCCCCCTCCATCACCAACATCCGCGCCCAGCTTTGGGTCAAGGTCTTCGCCAACGGCTGGACCACCAACTCCGCCAACCCTGCCCCGGCCCCCCTCCGCAAGCGCAAAATCGAGGAGACCGCTCTTTACGTCGGCACCCTCAATGAGGACGTTCCCATCAAGTCCAAGGGCAAGATCGTGCCCGAATACCGCCGCGCCCGCGCTCCCGTCCAATTCAAGGCGAGCTTTGCCTTCGGCGGCAAGCTCGACTTCTACTGGATCGATGACGAGGGCCAGAAGGTCCCTTCCGAGTCCGTCGACATCGAGGGCGACATGTCGTACGAGGAGATCAAGGGCATGGTCGCCAACTACTACGACCAGAACGAGATGGAACGGGTTGGGGAGTGGAACTGGGCCAAGGCCGTCCACTGGGCCCGCGCCCGCATCACCACCATCGCCGTCCGCACCACCTCCGGCGTTGGCGTGATCGGCCGCCCCCAGCCCGTTCCGGACGTCCAGGAGGATGTCAGCGAGCTCCAGCAGGTTCGCCTCGTCGAGCAGTACCTGAAGGAGCAGGATGAGCAGGAGGAGACCGCCTAGGGGAGGGGAGATGTGCTTTGGTTTTGGCTTGGTCTGGCTTCGGCCGTTGGGTCCGTTTGGTTTCGGAGGCGTTAGGGAGGAAGGATACCCCGGGTGAAGCGCCATCATGAATACGATCATCTTCTCGACGGGAGGGTTTCTCTCCCACATTCACCGTCCATTTACATTCATCAAGTGAACTAATGACACTGACTCGTGAATTATTACATATTTGTATGAGCCTGACCTCGGAACAGGCATGTTCTGTACATAATGCATGCCTCCTACAATATCAACCGCGAAAATATACCGCGGCTGAAGTTCTTCAGCAACTACCAATAGTGCCGTTCGTAGTCCACCTGAGCCTCCGTTAATAACTGCAGCAGCATCTCCTTCGCCTCCCTCAGTTCCTTCAGGTGAACATCATCCTCCTTTAATTTGTTGTTGATTTGGTCGCCTTGATGGCTGTCATATAGATCAGCAACACTGAGGTTCTGTGTCTGGCTCTTGGCAATCCGACCGATCTCCAGTCGCTCTCTCTTGATCTTCTCTCGGAGAATTTGTCGGCAAAGACGGGGTTTCTCGAGATTCTGGACATCTTCCTCAACTTCGTCAAAAACGTATTCTGTCTGGCCGTCATCGGAGGTGTTTCCGTTTAGCTCCCTGACGAATTTCAGGAGACGCTGTCGACCCCAGAACCTGATCATATCAGCGTTCCAATCGCTGACCTTGGTCAGTTCTCTCGCATCCCAGTCGTTGACCGCCTTTGCCTTTACGTCGCCCGTCCCTCTTAGCCACAAGACTTCTATTGTTAGAGTTCGTTCACCCTTCAAGCCGTACCAACAGAAGGACAGGTCGTCCTCCTTTAATTGAACCTTCAGCCATGCCTGTTCCCAAGAGCCCCTTCTTCCATTGCCTTCGTCAAAGTATTGACCGATGTGGATGCCTTTGTAATCGTTCATCGATTCGCGCATGGGTTCGAAGGCGGTAGGCTTGGGGTTGGGTTGAGACGTGTCCCAGCCGTCGGAGAAGACAAGCTTCCAGAAGACAGGGCGGAGCTCATCTACAGTGATATTCTTTTTTCGAGGGTAGTCCTTGCGCGCCAGGAGCATTATGAGCAGGTCGTCGCACATGGTCTCGGTCTCTGCGATGCTTGACATGACGAATGGCGGTGCCGTCATGTTGACGTTTGCGGATCTCGAGATGTTTTCGTTGAAGTAATTCAATACTTTGGATTCTTAGCTTCTAGTGAACAGAAAAGACATTAGGTTGAGTTCATGGCTGCTTACCTTGAGTCTTTTGGTACATGCCACGCGGCAAACAGTCCTGGAATGATGCTTCTATTGAGACGGGTAAGACGAGCTGGATGCTTGATCAGATGGACAACAGCGATGACAGCAGGCTTGGACGACGTTTTGAATACATGAGGTGCCATGGCAAGATTCTACGGCGTCTTTCTTAGGAAAGAGGCAGGCGGAGCAAGTGGCCGGTGGTTCCTTGCGAGTGTTTCTGGCACCACAAAACGGAAGCAACGAAGCAAGAATGTCTGCACTTACTCTAGGACTACCTCAAATGCCCAATGTGCAATCCTCTGTCACGTCACTGCTTTCCTCCTACCTATATTGATGCCGCGAAGCTGCCACCGTGTCTATTATAAAATAATTCGAAACAATGGAATGTGGTCGATTTCACTAAAAATCACTCGAGGGAGTAGAGAGACAAGCGATAGCGGAGAAAAGTCTCAGTCCTTTTTATCACCCAGAGTTGTATCTACCTTGCTGCGTCTACATCGCGTCCTCGTGTGCCACAAATTGCATCGAAGTGTCAGGCGCAGGAGGGCATAGTAGGGAGGGAAGGCAAGCCGTGCTTGACGTTGTAGGCCGAGAGACGGACGTTCAGAGCAGGGCGAGACTCATCCTCGACCTCGGCCAGGCAGGTGCGAATCTGCTGGAGATCATCCAAGTTCTCCTTCCTGGCGTGCACCTTGACATTGAACTTCTTTCCAGCGCTCTTCGACTTGGCAGCGGAAATAAGGCGCTCACGAACCATCCAGATCACCATGTCCCTGTTCCAGTCTCCAACACGCCTGATCTCGTTCTTGTCATAGTGCTCCCGGACCTTGTCCTTGACGTCCTCCAGGTCCATGTCGCGAACCAGAGCCACATCGGCAGGCTCAAGGTGGCCACCCTCTCTATCGACCCAGAAGTACCAGACGCCGTCATCCGGCCAGTCCAAGAACGGCTTGATGGCAGAAGGCTGGCCGGCGCGGCGATGATCAGGAACCGTGTCGGTGGCTTCGGTGTCGGTCTCGTCATCGTTGTCAGTGGTGCCGGCCTTGTCGTCGTCCTTCTTGGTGACCTTCTGGCCCTTGGGGATGATGTACTCGTCGCTGCCCTCGAAGGTTCCGGCAATGGGCTGGTCCTGGTCGCCGATGAAGTGCTCTTTCATGGCCATGTCATCGATATCAATGGAAGGAGCGTCGCGAATAATCTTGCCAACGAAGTAGGCAGCTTCGGCGAGAGTCCGGGCGCCAAGGCTAGCGGGACGCGGGTTGGGGCTGGCGGTATCCCATCCGTTTGCAAAGACCATGGCCCAGAAAGACCAACGCTGGGTGTCGCTGATGGGGATGTTTTCGTAGGCGGCCTTTGACATCTTCTGGAGGATGAGCTCGCAGGTGTTCTCCTCCGGGAAGAGCCTTGCATCGTAAGGCTTGGGACAATTGTGGTGTCGAAGAGCTCGCAGAAGATCGTCGGCCATTGCCTTCTCCGAACTATCGAGGTGGCGGACGCCCGAGATGACGACGGTGGTAGAGGACGGAGCCATGATGGTATCGGAGGGAGCTTGGTAGCCGGTCAGCACCTGCCTTATTTGAGAGAGTGACATTGAAGATGGGATGACTACCTTCTTTGGTGAATGTAATAGGTAGTTGGTGACTGCCTGCGTTGGGAAGGCTCGCGGGAAAGAGGGAAGGCGAGGGGTGTGGTGACAGAGTGAGAGCGGAGGATGGTGGTGAGGAAGAAGGAAGAATCCAGATGTAGGAAGGATGGAAGTTCTATCTCCAGGCAGGTGCTATGGGCATGAAAGAAAATCGCGTCTCATGGTGTGGGCAGTTTTGCACTAGGCAAACGGAACCCCGTCTTGAGGTGTGTCGTAATATTTTACTCGCTCGGGAAAAAACTCCAGTTTCAGCGGGCCACTGCCTGAAAAGTCGATCTAGATTCAGGAACCAACTTTTCGCCAAATGCTTTCTTTCGTTCCATGGTGTTTCCGAGGCAAACGCAGTGGTCAAGATTGAGGCAATCTCGGGTATCGTTTGCTAAGGTGCTATCGGATGGACAGCCGGCAGCAAGAAGCCGTTCTCCCACTGGAATTGTGCCGCTAATTTGTTATTAATTGAAACCTCTGATTGAACATGTTATCCGTTATGCTTCGTTTCTTCTGTCATGATTTACGGACATCAACGTCATAGTTATGACAATGGAAGTTCGTCTGTCTCTTCGAATGTTGGAGGTCCTCATCGTTTCGTATTACGAGGATCACGTGAAAATTACATCGGTTGATTTTGAAAAACTTCCCAATACCACAATTTAAGATCAATCGCCGTTCTCAAGAAACAAGTCACCAGTCGGTCGTCGCACAACTCCACAACCAGAACATAAGACGGAATGGAGTCATGAGGTGGGAAGAATTCACCAAACTCGGCTTCCTGGGTTGTACCAAGACCACCATACTATAAATTAGTTGATTCCCTCAATGATTCTAACTTTCTTCACCGACTCTGTCATCAAACGAACGCAAAGCCAGAAACCCATCCACCCTGCGGCATTTGAAAACGCAGCACGCTCACAGCACCTCGCGTCAACGCCTCCATCGCGAAACCGAGATCTGCAATTTGCAAATCAGCGTTCCGCCTGACATACACGACACACCCTCAAGGGCCTGACACAAAGAACGACTCAAACACCGTCCTACAATGCCTTCGTCACGCAGACTCTCCTGGAACGGCGAGTTCCCCGAAAACTTCCAGTTATTGAGAATTGGCAGACGGGAATCAACATCGACGAGCCGGTACCATGGACGCGAGAGAGGTATCGTCTATCGCCACCACAATGAAGTTCCCACTAGAGAGATCGCAGCTTGCGGCGATGTCTGGGAGAAGCTCGGCCAGACCCTGGGTCCCAACTTCAAGTTCGAGGACGTCAACGTCAACGGCCTTTGGGATCTGGTATTCGAAGATGGCTGGACCACCGCCGATTCGGTCGGCAAGCGGCCCTTCCCGGCTCCCCGAGACGACAGCCAGCTGGTCGTCATGGTTGGCAGATGGAAGGCGCATCTCCCCAAGGCATCGGTAACCTTCAATCTTTTCCACTACTTACATGACGGAATTCCGGACTGACATTCATCAACAGGCCGACATGCCCGACATCGCTGAAAGACGCCGCTGGGCAAAAGCTTTCGTCAAATTCTCTTGCATCAACGACGGCCACAGCTTCTCGTCCACATTCATGTTCTGCGACCGCTGGGGCCATGAAGCTCCTCAGTCGTACATCGACTTCGACTACTCCGAGCACGCCAATTACTTCGGCAAAGCGGTCGAGAAGTTCGAGAAGCACGAGGTGAACCGTCTGAAGACCTACAACGAGGACTTGGCCGTGTACATCGTTCGTCGCCGCCTGCAGGTTTGGGCTCAGCACGGCTTCAAGCTCCCCTGCGCCGGCCCGTACAGCCGCGACGACGAGGACGTCCGCACTTACAGGGATGACGCTGCGGATATGGAGGAGTTCCGCGGACTGGCGTGGCCCCTGGGCACGCTTCAGTTGATGGCGAACGCTCTTACCCAGTTTGAGGATATCAAGGTGGCCAAGTTCTGAGCAGTTGTAAATGGGCCTTTACATAGATGCGAGACGGTACACGAGAAATTGTCAGGGGCGATGCGGTGCTGCGGGCAGCACCAGAAAACACATCGTCAGCCATACATAGCGCATGGTGTAAGCCGAAATTGAAAACTCCAGTAGCCCGAGAGATTGTCTTTCAAAGAACTTCCTTTTCAGTGCATTAAAGAGACTTCGATACCTCACTAGGACCCTGTTCCTCCCTTAAGCCGTTACTTTCATTTTCTCTCGGTGGAATCTTTGTTGACACTATTTCTGTGCATCTTGACACATAATGCCTGTCCTTGAAGAGGTGAAGTCAATGATTCGTCCCATCTCCACCCCTCCACTTTGAGTTTCCGGAACCTTATGGCACTTGATGTTACGCTAACCAGATATGGGCATTATTTTGAGAAAATTCAACGCAACATGGATCCCGTGGGGTTAAACGTCCGTCCCATCGCATCGGCTCGATTTCCAAACAGTTCCTGGGTTCGTCTGCATGGACAGGGCAAGTCGTTGACATCTGCCCCCTTCAACTAAAACAACCCAAAATGGGCATTATCTTGAGAAAATGGAAACAAAACACGTCCTTTGCTTTAGGGTTAATACGCTTCGTTGTGTGAACAACTGATGGGGTAGGTCTGACGCAGGTTGAAAATATAAAGATCCCTGGTTAGACCGTTTAGACCATCAAGGTAAAAGCCTATCTCTTCTTTAGTCCTAAACACGTGCTTGATCGTATTGAGAATGGCATCAACAGAGAACCCCAGCATCCGGCCATCCCTGGCCCGCTGTGATGCCACAGACCCTTCAACCACACCCGAGAAGCTGGTTGAGATCATCAACCGCGATGGGGGTGTCATCGTCGAGAAGCTCATCGCGCGTGAGCTCGCAGAGTCGATCAAGAAAGACCTGAAGCCTTATTTCGATGAGGACATCCCGGACAAGTACGGATTCTTCCCGCCAACAACCCAGAGAGCGTCGGGGTTGCTGGGCATCTCGGACGGGTGCGTGGAGCTCGCCTGCAACAAGCTCTACACTGATGTGGCCAACATCCTGGTCTCTTCTTCGTACACGTTCTGGAGGGAGGACCATCAGAAGACTGTCAGCGGAAAGCCCATCATTTCATCGACGGTGGGGTTCCGTGTGAATCCAGGTGGAAAGCAGCAGGTTCTGCACCGTGACGATAAGTGAGTACTTCCTAGTCTGCAGACGTGCGGAATAGGGCTTATTTCGACCAGTGACTATCACCCTCACGACAAGAAGCTGCCGGTGATGATCGGTTGCGTCACGGCGTTGACCAAAACAACCGCTGCGAACGGCGCAACGGTGGTCATCCCAGGCTCTCATCTATGGGGTCCGGAGCGTCGACCTTTCAACTCCGAGACGGTCCCCGCCGAGCTTGAGCCTGGTGATGCCCTTATCTTCCTCGGGAACACGTACCATGCGGGCGGAGGAAACATTACCAAGTAAGTTCTACTCTGAGACCCGTCTGACAATCAATCTGCCATGTAATAGCGACTAATCACTGTTGACAGAGACGAGTATCGAGAGACGGTTGGCATATTCCTTTGCCAACCGACTCTTCGCCCCGCTGAGAACCAGTTTCTCATGGTTCCTTTTGAGAAGGTCAAGAAGATGAAGCCGCAAGCCCAGCGTCTTTTGGGTTATGGCTTGTGTGAGCCGGGTGTCGGGTTCATGAAGTACCAGGACCCCATGAGGGTGCTGTTTGGGGTTGAAGACGAGGAGACGGTTGACTTTTAAGTGTGAGATTTTGAGACCACATCGGGACCCATCTCAAGAATGGAGAGCATATTCCGAATGGAAACCACACTCCGTACGGAAAGCACATTCCGAAGTAGAAATGACTCATGCCACGATAATTCTTTGTCCCGATGCCTCTCTTAACCGCGCAAGAGGACGCCAATCGGTGTCGCGGCCAGCCCAGAAGGTCTTGAGGAAGTCGACCGCGTGAAGGTAGTGATTGAACTTGGTGGCTTCGTGAATAGCGTCAAAAACACTCAGAATCGTCCTCTGTCGCTGCTTATCACCGTGGCATACCGTACCGGCGATAAACGCCGGCCATGGTAGATTCTGAATGGAGGTGGCCTGGTCCTCGAACCCGGTGAGTTGGTCAAACAGCCCCCCAGCTGCCGTCATCCATTCAGCACTATCCCTGCCGGAGATTTCAAGACAGTGGAAGGAATAAAGAAGTCCGGCGTTGTGGTATACTTCGACCAGTCGCACGAAGTCGCGAGTCATCTTGGAACTTCCCAGTCCCAGACGTCCAGCAGCCATGAGAGTAGCACCCCGCGCTTGCTCAAGCTCGGACTGGACGACAGCCAGGGTGAGATAGGATTCCCGAGATTCTTCGCAGTAGTCGATCTCGACGGCTTTTGTAGCAGTCAGTGTGACTTGGTGCAAGAATGCGAGGTACTTTGAGAACACCAGGGAATCCGAGCCCGGGACAGGCGTGATTGCGTTTTTGATCAGGGATGGGTCGAACGATGTCGTAGCGGCTAGCACATCTTCGATAGCCAGTTGGTTACGCAGGAACGCAAACAGTTCGCGGCCTTCGGCAGACACCGAGTGGCTGAACAAGTTCACAATAGTGCGGGCGGCCCGCCTATGTCCGTCAGCGACCCCTGGGCAGCACCTGGCGTTCTCGTAGTTGCCGATGATGAGGATAGAGGCCAGCATCCACTCCGCATCGGCGATGTCGGAATGAGTGTTCAGCTCAAAGCCTTGAATCACTTTGGTGGTCATCTCCTGCGCCCGAGACTGAATCAGCTGTAGACACCTGTCTCGAGCGCTTTCGGCCATCGTGGCGATGTTCTCGTGAGGAAAGGTCATGGCTCCATGTTGGGCCGCGAACGCCATGATAGCGAAGCCAATAGCCGGTTGATCTTCAGCTAGCGGGACGACGCGTTTACGGTAATCGTTCTCTTCGGAGTCCAACCAAACCATCAGACCCGCGAGGTTGTGTCGGTAGTAATCCATGAAACGGGCGCTCGAGACGGACAGATCCAGGCCCAGAGGCGCTGGAAGATTGACAGGTTCTGGCTCCAATGCTGGCTCCACAGCCTGGGCCAATAATTTCTTGCCTCCGACGACCGTTTCCGGCGGCGAATGTCCCGCTGCGGCCGGTGTCAGTGGGGACTCCGGAGGCGAAGCCTTAGTAGGCACCGATCGGCCCCGGAGATGGCCTCTAGCGGCCACGCCGTTAACCCATCGCAGCGGACGGTTGTACCCGGGACATTCGAGACCTTTCTTGCAACACTTGGAGCATACCGGCTGCTGTAAGTCGCATCGGATCCGACGCCGCTCACAGTTGACACATCCTAAGGTAAGCAGTTGTCAGCATGCGGCGCTGGCGTCATAAAGTGAGGGACGCCTCACCCTTCTCGGTTTTTGAATCTGCGAAGAAGTCTCTCTGGACTTTCCGGTTCTTCCGCGCCTTCATGGCGGCATTTGTCCGTCGCGTCGCGCGTCGCAAGGGCCAGAATTGCTGGTCTATTTGGCGCGTGGTGTTTGTGAAACTTTGTTCAGGTGCGGGGCCGTCCAATTTCCAGTTTTCCACCCGGCCTCCGACCCGGTCGGCTAATCCTTGCCGATGACCGGCATCGGCAGTACACGTAGATGTTCGGGAATTCTTAGCTACGCATCAAAGTAGGCGTTGAAAACCACAAAGTTAAGACTGAACCAGATCTTCTAAACGCCTAATGCCGTAAGACGAGTGGCTGGCCAGGTTTGGCCAGATGCATGCTAGTAGTGCCTGCTAACAATAGCGTTGCAAGGCCTGCCGGCTTAAATCGGCACCATCACGGCGCCTCTCCGACTGAGCTGCATGGTTGCCTAAAAGTAGCGCTAGTATTTATGCGACATTTTGATAGCGCCTTGGGAAACCGTACTCTTGTTGCAACCGTTCTCTGCGTTTCATCTTTTTGTGTGCCAATTTGCCGTCCCAGTCCTCACACCATGGAGGAAGAGTACATCAAGCAGGCCGCCGTATCACCACACTGGCTTCCTGGTGGAAATTCATTTTAGTACCGACATTACCTATCATCCGGTAACTTTGAGTTCATCTTCGTCGACGCTCGGAAGAAGGATCGTCGGCCGGCTTTCGATCATAAAAGGCTTGCCGAGGCACTGAGGCAACAAGCCGAGAGCGCAGAGAATGACTTCGGTCCTCAATCCCTACCTATCAGCTGGATAGACCTCCAAGACGATGGATCTTCAGTGCGATTTCTGTTCGGTGGGCGAAAATTCGCTTTCGACTCTGACGGCACACTAAAAGCATGGGACGGCGATTTCAGTCAACCACGAAGCCAGTTGCTCTCAAAGGAGCGTCCTTCAAAGTCCGGGAAACACAACGTGACGGTCAACTTCGTCAACGAAACCGACTGTTCCCTTTCGAAATACTGGATCGACTTCGAGGGCAAAGCCAAGTTCTACGGGAAGATCGGTCAGGGAAAGGTCGACCGGCAACGAACATTCGCGGGACATGTCTGGAGATTGGCCGATAGCGAATCGAATGAGGTGAAAGCTATCTATGTTGCTCCAGAGGACAGCGAGGACTCCATTGTCATAGACGAAAGTACCATGGCAGAATCTGCCAGTCAAGATGCAGGGCATTCTACAGACGATGAGGACGACGCGGACATCAAGAAGCTCGGAAAAGACAACGACGACCTGGCTACGGAGTCTGCATCCCGAGTGTTTGTCAAAGGCCATAACATTTGGTTGAGGGACTCTTCGCCAGAAGAGTCAAAATTGACCTCAAACGCGACAGAGGAATACCCATACGATGAATCAAGAATCATCATTTCCCCAGATGAGAAGTTCATCGTTGTTTGGCAGTACACACCGGAAGAGGATCACAAAATTCACCTCAGGGAGTCAGTCCCGGCTGACCAGCTTGAGCCCAAAGTGCGATCTGTACAATACTTGAAACCGGGTGATCGTGTTCGAGTTGATCGGCCTCGACTCTTCAACATTGAGTCCAAGTCCGAAGTGGCTACCGATGACAAGCTGTTCCGAAATCCCTACAAGATTGACCATATCGGGTGGAGCGACGACAGCTCCGAATACCGTTTCTTGCTTAATGAGCGCGGCCATCAACATCTTCGCGTGATCGGTATGAAAACCACCGGCGAAGTGAGAGCTCTGATTGAGGAAAGCAGCGAGACTTTCATCGACTACTCTGGCAAACTCTACTACCGATCAATCGAGAACACAGACGAAATGCTTTGGGCCAGCGAGAGAGATGGTTATAGCCATCTATATCTTTTTGACTTGAAGAAAGGCATTCTGAAACTTCAGATTACCAAGGGGCAGTGGAACTTTCACTCGACCGTTGACGTCGACGAGAAGAGTCGGCGAATCATTTTTAGCGGTTATGGCATGGCTGCTGAACAAGATCCCTACCATGCGCACTTAGCTCGAGTCAACTTTGATGGTGAAGAGTTCAAGATCCTGACTGGTGGGGATGGAAGTCATCGATGGACTCTGTCTCCGGATAAGCAGTTTTTCGTTGACACTTGGTCCCGTGTTGACGCTTTACCGCAGTCCGTCCTCAGAAGTTTGGATACAGGAGAACAGCTGATACAACTGGAAGGGCACGAAAATGGTATTGAAAGGCTATTGGCTGAAGGTTGGATGGCCCCTGAGAAGTTCTCAGCTCCAGGACGAGACGGGAGGACTCTGATATACGGGATCATTATCCGTCCTTCTCACTTCGATCCGTCGAATAAGTACCCAGTTCTCGAAGACATTTATGCAGGCCCCCACAACTTTCATACGCCCAAACAGTTCTCAGCGTTGTCTGAGCAGCGGCAATGGGCAGAACAAGGATACGTAGTCGTTATTCTCGACGGCATGGGTACGAACTGGCGATCGAAGGAGTTCCACGACGTATGCTACAAGAATCTCAAAGACGCAGGGTTTCCCGACCGCATTGCCTGGATCAAATCCGCAGCCGAAACCCGGCCTTGGATGGATATTTCACGAGTCGGTGTGATGGGCGGCTCCGCTGGCGGACAGAGTGCTGTTGCTGCACTCATACACCATCATGATTTCTACAAGGTCGCGATTGCCGACTCGGGATGTCACGATAACCGGATGGACAAGATATGGTGGAACGAGCAGTGGATGGGATATCCCGTTGACAAGTCTTACGAAGACTCGTCGAATGTTGTTCATGCTGACAAGTTGCGAGGGGCTTTGATGTTGATTGTTGGAGAATTGGACGATAACGTTGACCCGGCTTCAACCTTTCAGCTTATCAACGCTCTAAATGAGGCGGACAAAGACTACGAGTTCCTGTTTATTCCTGGTGCAGGTCATTGCAGTGGTCGCAGGGGATTCGCTCTGAGGCGGCAGGAAAGGTTTCTCAGGCAGCATCTGCTTGGACTGTAGTTAGACGGCGTCTTGAGCTTACTGCAAGGCGAATTCGCATAAGAGGTCATCTTATATCTATTCAACATTGATTCAAGGCTATTCAGCTTTATTTTACAATATCTAGAAGAGTCAGAAACGAAAGGAAAAAGAAATGATGAGCAAGCCATTTGTATAAGTATTCGCAGAAAAACGCCCACGCAGCACTTGGCTAGTTAAAGGATGCCCAACCTGGAATCAGGTGACCATGCCTTCAGAACACGATGATGGTTAACATCTCCGCGCTCGAATGAGAACCTCTTTTGTCGGATCCGGGAGAATGTTCGTGGCGAATTCGATGTTCTTGTAGCGCGGTTGACCTTCGGGGTTTCTGATCTCATAGTTCAGGAGGAACTCGGCAAACATGAGCTTGACTTCAACATCGGCCAAGAATCTTCCGGGGCAAGCATGTCTTGCAAAACCCCACCCAAGCTCGGCGCGAGTCACAGCGACAAAGGAATGCTTGATTTCTGCGCCCTCCTCCTGGCGTTGCCGGTAAGATCTGAATCCGTCAAAAAGTTGAGGTTCGGGGTAGATAGCAGGGTCGAAGTTGATGGCGCTTGTCGGCAGTTCCAATTTTGTTCCTTGAGGAACATGGGTGCCATCTTTCAATGTCAATGGCTTCGTGGCCATACGTTGGAATGTAGCTGTAATTGTCAGTTCATGCTCTCAGATGCATAAGGACCAATAACGCAAACGTACTCATGTCAGGTCCGTTCATGCGCAGACTTTCTTTCATCCAGCTGTCAAGCTTCTTCATCTCAGACAATGACTGTTTGGTGAATACACCGCCGAACCGCTCGAGGACCTCAACAACCTCCTGGCGAAGTTCTTCGGTATGTTCCGGGTAGGCGGCTAGGTCGTATAGCACCTGAGTGATCGTTGATGACGTTGTGTGGATGCTAGCAACGGCCAAGGTCATCTGCAACTGCAACTGAAGATCCAAATCATCCAACTTGGAAGCATGTTGGCCGCTGGTAAGATGGTCGAGCATCGTAGGAGGATTTTCGAGGGGTGCGCCGCCCAGAGCTTTCTTTCTCGACAGGGACTTCGCAACGATCTCGCGGCCTCCAGCAAGTTGGTTTTCTTTCTCTAATCTTTGCGGGTGGAAGTAGGCGACGATGGGCCGCAAGAACGGAGGCCAGTGCTTCAGTGCAGTTCCGTATTCGATGGCAGTGTGGACGAAGGATGTCGATAGCTTTAGCCAGGTTGGATTGCGAGAAGCCTCTTCGCTGTGCATGATGCGCGCCGACATAATGGCGACGAGCTCAAGGAAGGCGTCATTAATGTTCACAGGCGTCCATTCTGTGAGGATCGGGGTTAGTCTGGAAACCATATGCGTACAAAGGCTCTTCTATCTACATGCCTGAAGGGAGGCCAACAAGTCGTGGAAGGTGTTGTTGGATAAGTTCATGAAAAACAGGTACGTATGCCCCTGAACATTGGTCAGCAGTATTCCGAGGTCTGCAATTGTTACGTTTGCATACAAAGGGTTGGGTTCATCTTGGACAGGATCTGGTGTGCTCCCCAAGCCTCGACACCTCCAACACTAGTATAAGGAAGCAGTGCATCCTGCCAAGAATTAGACACAATCGATCGGACCGTAAACAACTTGTACTCACATTGTCAATAGACGCCTTGAAACTCAATGCAGGGTGGCTTTTCAACTCGTCGAGATACCCAAGTGGGATCACGAGTTTGGTACCTAGCCTGAATTAATTCTCATTTCCATGTATTCGCCATTGCTAACATCACTTACCGTCCATGGTGTCGAGGCCATAAGGCTTGTTTTTGAACTGAAGAATACGTCAATGCCATGCTTCTTTCTTTTCTGTCAGTGTGCTAGCCAATGCTTACCCGCTCATAGTACTTGTCAAGAAGCTGTTTGGATGACGCAACATACGATCGCTTTCTGCTTATAACGTCGGGTATTTCCTCAGCTAAAGGTATTGGGACCTTGAGCCTCCGCGTAGTGATTTGCGCTAACGCCCCAAGAAAGCAGGATGCGAGTAAGAGGAAAGAGATTGTCGAAATAAGATGTTGCCAAGTCAGGAGGGAGGTATCTACGTGGATCGTAGTGGGAATTAACGAGCCCATCTTTCTGAATTCGTGTCGCAAAGTACGTGGACTTGGAGTCCTTCCACAAGTTCGCAGACAAAGCTTCGGATGATCTCGAAATTGGCGTACCACAGTTTGGAGTTCGTCTCGCTTTTGAATATGATGAACCTTCTTGGATATCCAGATGAACTGACTATTTGAAAAGTTAGAATCATCTGGAAATCTCATAAATAATCAACGTCTTCTTCAAAAAACGAACCGTCGCGAACGAGGCGGTGGATCGCAGCTCCACGAATTCTGCGTCGACCAGCTTTCGGGCGGACTCTGGGCACGCACCGAGTCCTCATGGCCAAGGCATGCATCTTTCCGTTACAGCCCCCTTCTCCTTATGACTTGCATTACGAAAAGGACTGGTTTCTGGTCATCATCTGCGTCGCGTTTGGGAATCTTTGGGGAGCCGGTGGGATGAATGCAAGTCTTGGATGGCCTACTGTGAGCGGCTGTTGATAGGTGGTCCCAGCTGGAATGGCCCCTGAACTTCTCGGTGATCGGCGTAATCAAGTCTGGCTTGGAGGACGCCGAGAAATCTCGACCCGTTCCAGAGCCGGTAGGAACGCGCACTTTCCGGCAGTCTCCCCGATTCTCATGACAATTTGAATAGCAAGACGGACTGCGAAATCGTCCGAGTCACAGCACTTTGAAAAAGACCACGAAGCGGAGTAAGACTGAAATACCTTGGTTTCTACGATTTTGCCACTGTCCGTACCAGAATAAAACCAATACGGAATGAAGGGTGACGGTCCGTGACGGGAATGGAGTTCCGAACGTCGAAACCAACACTGAACCTGCGGTCACTTCGGGCTTTTTCATCATGAGATCTCTTATGAGAAGCACTAGTTCTTGACTGAGAAAACAACGATCTAAGCCCAAGATTACTACGATAGACCGCGGCGACCTCCATAATGTCAATGCTTTTGAGGGTGCTGGTGTAACAAGGAGGCTGGCAATGCCCTTACTGAAATATGAATTATGTGAGATATCGGGCTCTTGTTCAAAATCTCCTCAAATATTCACGTTCAGTCTTCAAGCACAGCGTGTTTCGAGCCTGAATTCGGTAGTGCTCACTCCCTCTGTCTCTGAGTGTCTGGATCGCTGGGCGGGATCTATTGATCCATGAGAAAACCGCTTCTCAATCATCATACATCTCTGGCTGGAGGCATAAATGCACCGGATAGAAACGTTAAAAAATAACCTAGAAGACTTTCTCGGACACTAACACTATCATAAGATGAATGAGCGAAACACCCAAATCTAACAGCGCTGCTATTTGATGCAGTCAATCAAAGTTTGAATTGATTCTTAAAACTTTCGGGATGTAACCCCGGATGATCGACATTGTCACGGGAAGTCTGTTACTACGGATACCTCAACGTCGTCATAATTCTCCGACTTCCAATGACGAGTCAAGGGAAGTGGTGGGCCAGCACCCAGATCAAGCGATCGGCTCCCACCGGCCGTTTTCAAGCCCCGACTGCCTCAACCTCTTGGGAATCCGGACCTCACGGGGCCCGATAGCCCAATGTCTGCATGTCTAGGTGTGTGCTTTTTTTTACGGACAAAGAGGTCTGTACGCTGATGTTGCTTCGCTTATCTTGGCATATGAGACTATCGTTTCGTAAAGACTTGGTCTTCGGTGTAGATCCTGGTGGCTTGCTAAGCTTCTTGGCGATGTGGAACAACAGCTTCATGGAAGGGATGCCGTCGTCGCTAGGCACGGCGGCGGACTTTGCGTGCGTCCGAAGTTCCGAATCGCAATTGACAAATGCTTTAAAAATGTTCAATATTTCCTTCCGCAACGTACCCAAGCCAACGTCCGACAGATGAGGTCGATCCCTCGAGCTCAGGCAGATGGATCTGCCTCCGATGACAAAATCTGGCTAGAAATTGTTCTGTGTATTATCTCCCTCTTCCGCCAGAGTTGGATGAGAACACTCCGGGGGAGGATGCGACGGTTTCTCCTCCAGCGAGTCTCAAGCCTCCAGGACCGACCATCATGAGATGCTTAGCTGAAGGAGGAAGACGACCTCTCTGCTAGCGGACATCAAGAAAAGAGGAGCAGACGAGCAAATTGGCCATGATAGGGCCACGATATCAAGAGCGCTTGGAGGTTCTCGATGGTACATTATTGGAGGTGGTCCGAGTTGCTAGCCACTCGAAAGGCGCATGTTCAAGCTTGGGCAATTGCTGCCATTCAATCTGACCGACTGACTTGAAACATACAGTCAACTACTTTCCGTCTTCAGACACGGTGCATTCAACGCCAACAGGTTTGGGTCACTTCGCTGTCGGTGAAGACGTCGATACCAGGACAGAAGCTATGGTCATAGTGTATGATTGACAAGGAAGTCCCTTTCTGAAACTTGAAATTGAACTCGATAGCTGCATAGCTTTTTTGCTTATTCGAGACATCTTCTTAGGTGACGAAGTCGGATGATTGCATGTCTCAGTCAGAAAATTCTCTATTTAATGCGTAATACCGAGCATGTTGTGCTCCAACACCGCGCATGCCCTCCCCCGCATTATCGATCCGTATGATCGAAACTCTCACGTAAGATTTTCTTCCCATCCTTGCTATCAGTGGGCCGATTCAGCTTAAATCAGGGAGCTCCCTCACTCATCAATCGAGCCATATACTCATATGCAAGACATTATTGACCCCGATAAATTCTGTTTGCTCGCTCTCCAAAAGCCTCCCGGCGTTAACCAGTGCGAATGCTTTCACTTAACTCTTCAATTTGGTCTTATCGAGGCCAGGCGCTTATGTTGCATTGGCGCAGTGGCCAGCGATTGATCCCCGGCCGGTATCTCTAAGGGGCATCGACCAGCTAGTGGCGATAGCGGTATCAAATGATTCCCCCACGACCGTGTCGGACGATCGATATCCAATGCTGAAGGCCGTCGGGGAGTCTCCCAGTGCCTAGGGATGTTAGCTCAAGATAACAGAGAGATCTGGTCTTGGTCCCTTCGCAGCACACCAATGCCTCCAAATGTCCAACGAACCAGGCTTTTCTAGTGATGTCTCTTACAACTCCTCCCGTAATTATCCTTTTGCTTCACCCAGTTCTTGGCATGCTTCCAATTCACTGACGGAGCCGACGATGGATCGACACAAGAAAGCCAACGATGGCGACGACGTCAACGCCCCTGGAATCGACAAGACAATTGCTTCGCGATCTGTCGACCAGCAAGAAGTCGCGATCAACGCGTCGGGTCACGTCCAGGAACTTGAGCGAAACTTCAACCTCCTCTCCCTCGCCGGCGTCGGCCTCGTCGTCGGAAACGTCTGGCCCGCCATCGGCGGCTCCATCCTCGTCGCCATCTTCAACGGTGGCCCGCCTGGTGTCCTGTATGAGTTCATCGCCGTCTCCGTCTGCTACTGGACGGTCGCTGCCAGCATCGCCGAGCTATCGAGCGCCATCCCTTCATCCGCAGGCGTCTACCACTGGGCTTCCGTCACGCCCGGCCGGCGATGGGGTCGCGTCGTCGGGTTCTTCGCTGGCTGGTGGAATTATCTAGCATGGACACTCGGCGCCGCGAGCATGGCGTCCATCTTCGGCAACACCGTCGTGCAGATGTACGCCCTCAATCACGCCGGTTTTGAAGCGAAACCCTGGCATGTGTTCGTCGTATATCTGATCGCTACGTGGCTTGCTTGCGCTGTCGTATGCCTCGCCAACAGCGCCTTGCCTCGAATCAACGACTTCGGCGTGTTTGCGATCCTTGCTGGTTTCCTCATCACTATCATTGTCGTGGCCGTTATGCCCGGCCGTGGCGGACGGCCGCCGCACGCGTCCTCTTCCTTCGTCTGGACCGAGTGGACCGCCGACATCGGGTATCCGGATGGTTTCGTGTTCCTCGCCGGCATGCTCAACGGCGCTTTCAGCGTCGGGGCCGTTGATGCCACGACCCATCTAGCGGAAGAGATTCCGAATCCGCAACGCAACGTCCCGATTGCGCTAGGCCTCCAAATGAGCATCGGCTTCACGACGGGTTTCTGTTATTTGGTCGCCATCATGTATGCCATCAACGATTATGACGCGCTCTTCAGCTCACCCTACCCTATCGCCGAGATCTATCGTCAAGCGACCGGTTCTCCTGCTGGCGCAACCGGGCTGCTTGCCCTTGTACTTATCTGCATTGGTCTCACAGTCATTGGACTTTACATCACATGCGGTCGAACCCTATGGGCTCTCGCCCGCGATGGCGCGACTCCACGGTCCGACATCCTCGGCCACATTAGCCCAAAGCTGGGAATGCCAATGTGGTCTACGATCTCCTCCGCCTTGTTGGTCACTCTTCTTGGTGCTATCTACGTCGGCAGTACAACGGCTTTCAACGCCTTTGTTGGCAGCTTTATACTGTTATCTAGTAGCTCTTATCTCGCAGCTATGCTGCCGAATCTCTTGTCAGGCAGAAAGCGGATCGCGTATGGACCATTTCACATGCGCGGATGGGTTGGTTTCGCCATCAACGGTGTTGCATGCACCTACATGTCGGTTTGGTTCGTCATCTATAGCTTCCCTTTCGCGCTCCCTACCAATGCCCAGAGCATGAACTACGCGTGCCTGATCTGGGGTGGCCTCACGATCTTCGTCGGCATATGGTGGTTTATAGGCGCCCGGAAAGGGTATCAAGGACCAACTACCACTGGGGGCATTATCGTTGAGGAAGAGGTTAACACCCGTCATCACCACTCTATTTAAAGCTTTAAGATATTTTTATTTCAGGAAGAGAACTTCACATAGAGCAGAGAACGTCCTTCACATTCCTATTCATAAGTAACCATAGTTTAAGCATATTATGCTACACAATACTGTACTTTTACCGCCCTGAGCGAGCAGATGACTGACCCATTGCATTGTCTTTCTGCTGATCATACAATTTAGCCATTAGACAACGTTGCCATCGACCACTATATCTTAATAGCATATGCTATACCCACATCTACGCTTCCAGTGCTTTTAATCTTGAGCCGGACAGAGCGGGAAGTCTTTATATCAGGCGTTGAACCGGAAAGCTTCCTTTCTCCGCTCATTTTCCTCCAAAGTGAGTCCAGCAATGGCCTGAACCGCCTCACCCTTCATAACCTCCGCAACAGTTCTCTCACCGCTAGCAAGCTGCTTATTGTAACGGAGGAGGATAAACCTCAGAACCAGCGCGGTACAAATTGCCAAGAAAGCACCGCTGGCATTGACGCTCATAGCCAGGACGTGATGGGGAGCGTCGGAGTCTGGGTAAAGGTACGACGTCCAGACCTAGAATCACAGCCACATTAGCATCACCGCACAAGATAGCAAAGCTGGATCCATTTTACGCTTACCTGGCTGGTGTTGGCAAGAGCGTTGACGATAGCAACCGCCGATGCTCGCTTGATGCGTGGTCTAATCATAGTCTTCTGGACCCAGGCCAGCAGAACTGCATTGGTACCGTAAGCACCAATTGTCATGCAAAACATGGAGAAGTATCGAGGTGCAGTCTTGAGGGTAGTGGCGGCAATGATGTAACCCATGATGGCAATACACATGGGCCAGATGATGTGGAAGCTCGAATTGCGCGTTCGGTCGGACGAGTAGTTGTTGGCGATGGAGACACAAAGAGAAACCAAATAAGGAGGGGCCGTCAATAAGAGAGTCGTGACTCGACCGTATCCGAGAGTATCGACGATGTCGGGGAAGAAGTTGCCAACAGCAGAGCAGACCTATGGAGTCAATGTGTTGATTAGCATGACTGGAAACTTGGAATCTCCGTGAACTGTAGTACTTACTTGGATACAGATAAAGAGGAATGTGAAAACATAAACGCGCCAGTCCATTAAAGCGAGCTTGAATCCATAAGACCACGGCTCGTCATCTTCATCAACCTGGCCGGCATCCTTAACCAATCTCCATTCAGCAACAGCTCGTTCTTTGGGGGTAAGCCACGAGGTTGTTGATGGCCAGTCAGGAAGTAGCCAGATTGCGAAGACGCCAACAAACACCGTGATACAACCTGCTATTTTCAGCACCGTTTCTGGAATCTCAAAGAGAAGCGGTGATTCTTACCCTCGATGATGAATAGCCAACGCCATGATTCGAGACCTTTAACACCGTCGAGAGAGTGCTGTATTCCAGCACCGATGAGACCAGAGAAGGCACTTCCGAGCTGGCTACCTGAGAACAAGATGGCACCTCGGAAGCCCATTTCGTCTCTCTTGTACCAGGAAGAGATGAGAAATAGGGCACCGGCTGTCCCATGACGCACGTTAGTAAGTAAAGTCTGCCGATGGTCGGTTTTCTAATGTCAGGGTACTTACGGAGGAAGGCTGCCTCAACTATTCCCAAGAAGAACCGAATGGCATAGAGACCCGATAAGTTGGTGACTGCACCAGTAGCTGCAGACATCCCGCCCCACAACACAACGCAGAAAGGCATGAAGAGTGATGGCCGGATCTGGGTGAGGTAGATGTTGGACGGAATCTGCATGAGGATGTATCCGACGAACAGAATCGAAACTGCTGTCTCGTATTGGGTGTCATCGAGCCTGAGACTGTCTTTGATTCCGGCAACTTTGGCAGCGGCGATGTTTTTCTGTGGACACAAAGCGTTAGCTAGTGCAATTGAACGCGTCTATGAGTGTATGGAAACCTACTCGGTCGAGGTAATTCAAGATGAAGATAACCCAAACCACGGCTAGCAAACGGAGATCAAGCTTCCGTTTCAGCTTTTTCTCTATCTCTGCAATCTCTTCTTCACTCATCGCTTGAGCTTCAGCCATGCGATTGGGCTGTTGTGTCTCCTTGAGTTGAATCGAGACAGCATCTCCATCATCGCCGGCATTGGGCGACTTGACACCCTGATGATCCATGTCTGATTCTGTCATTCTGAACGGCAGGTTCCGATCAGTGAAGAGTTTCTCCCTTTGAGATCAAAGTTAAGGCAGAAAAAGGAATTCGTACTGAAGACCAGACCAGCTGACAGTGGGTTGATCAAACAATGAGGCGGGATCGCTTGAACTTCAATGTGATGCTGCTAAATGCCAATTTAAGTCAAGCTTTTATATAGATATTGCCAAGACAGCAAGAGGCAACGTCAAAATGTCATCCAATGGGAAGTTTGAGTGGCAGGCTTCAGATGGACAGTGCGATGGCAGACACAAGGATACAGTATGCTCGGCGTAATGCCGTATGGGAAACAAGCATTGGTGGTGGAAACCCCTGCTGGGAATTGTTACAGTAGCAACCGTAAAAGTTATCGAGGTTTCATCGATGTCAAAACATTGTGAGCAACAGGTCCTTCACACGGCGAGATTTGTCTCAGCAGGCTTGCTGTATCCGTTCTTGCGACTGATGGAAACGAACATCTGGTGATTGTTCCATATCTCATGTTGAAAAGACAATAGGAAGAACAAAAACATCGGCCTGAGTGAAGACTTCAGGCTTCCGATTTCGAAGTTGTGGCCAAGTTCCCCGCGTGAAGGAAGCTAGCACCAGGAGCGGCGAACTCATTCACTAGCTTCGTGGCCTCCGCGGGGGCAACTGGGGCATTATTCCCCTTCCCGTTAAGCAGAATTTCCTTCAAGTCTGGGGAGGTGGATAGCAAAACGTGGAGCCGTTTCTGGCTCCTTGTTAGAGTCACAAGTGACAAGGAAAGACTGGGCCCATCGTGACGCCCCGTCTTGTGACCACAAATAGACAGACGCCAACCTATCGTTGAACGTCAACCGTACAAGGGTTTAGGATGTGTTTCTGTTATTTTGAGGAGTTTATGGCAGGGGTATCTGCGTGTGCTGAGCGTTCATGAAGATCCACGGATGTTTAGCATTCGGGGGCGGTCTCGGGTTGCAGCCGACTCACCGGCTTCCGCCCGACTACGTGTACTGCGAGCAAAATCCAACCTAAGATGAATCTACCGCTCTTTCTAGCCGAAGGATCTGTATCTGATCAAAAAACGCCAGATACTCTAAGTCCTGCCGCAATCAGTTAGACCGATGAGAGACATCGTGCGTGAGGCTCTCTACATGTATCATTCCCCGTGCTCCTAGCCCCGAAAGAATAAGAATGTTCAGCCACGAATCATAGTTCGCGCAACTGATGATCTCTGTCGGGATTTAATCTCGAATTTCTGCTCTGTGAATATGTATTAAGTATGTCATCATTTGATGAGGTAGTGTCTTTGTTTTGACTCATTTTATTTTTGAGCACGCGTCTCTCGGTCAGTACCTAGTTGTGTGAGACTTTGGTACGTGGCCACCACTTTCTGCCTCCCCATATAAATACAGTGTCGCGCCTTGTAATGCTGACAGTTTTCGAGTGGCTGTTTGCACAAAGATTGGACAAAAGTAGAAGTCCGATTTTCCGGATCCCACTAATCACCGGTCCCACAATGTCGCCGATCCCCCGGATTTCGGAGCCCGGGTTCGGGGCCGAAAGGTGGGGACAGGGTCTGAAAGTGTAAAACATTGACAATCAGGGATCAGAAGTCCAAACTCATTGCGGCTTCATGCTTGATTATTATGACCTTCTGGCAATCCAATCGGCTGATGATCACCAATAGTACGGAGCTATTTTTCCGGTAATAATGATGTTCGGATGATAGGTATTGATGCTCGAGAGTATGCAGCATGAATGCTTTGACAAGAAAGCAGAAGTTTCAGCGGCTTTTCTCGGGTAAAATTGTTAGCTTGATCAATGTGGAACTAAGGTAATCAGAAGGTCAGGTGTCCGAGGGGAAGCAGCGGCCAAACGATAGTCCGGGTGTACCACGAATACCCGACATCATTGACTGCCGATGTCTCGGCCAATTGCCTCTCACCCTGGCGTTCTTCCCCAACAATCATCCCGGACAGCTCAACACCAACACAGGAGGATCATTCGCACCCGCGAGGTTAGCGCCGAGAATCTCCAAAATGAGAGGCAAGGGTACTTCTTCAGCCGTCTTTTCACCAACCGACGCCTCCTACTACAACCTTGGGTCCTTTCACCGCTTGGTGAGCACGACCAGCAAGGATGCCCAGCTTTGGTTCGATCGCGGCCTGACGTGGGCGTATGCCTTCAACCACGAGGAGTCGGCGCGATGTTTCGAAAGGGTCATCAACTACGACCCATTTTGCGCTATGGCGTATTGGGGCCTTGCCTTCGTCCTGGGACCCAACTACAACAAGCCATGGAAGGTTTTCGATGGCGAGGATCTCGCCACCACAACTAAACGAGCTCATCGTGCTATTATGCAAGCCAAAGACCATTCTGCCAATGCATATCCCGTTGAGATCGCCTTGATCAACGCTCTTCTTTGCCGATATCCTCAAGAGATACCCGCAGAGGACTGTTCCAAATGGAATCAGGATTATGCTCAAGCCATGGACTCCGTTCTGAAAGCCTATCCCGACGATCTTGACGTGGTCTCACTGTGGACAGATGCCACGATGAACGTTACACCGTGGAAGTTGTGGGACTACAAGACCGGAAAGCCGACCCCAGGAGCAAGAACCCTTGAGATCAAAGACGTAATGGACCGGACCTTTAAACTTGAAGGCTCTCTTCGACATCCCGGTCTTCTTCACCTGTATATCCATCTCATGGAGATGTCACCCACCCCTGAGGCGGCTCTCACGATAGCAGACAACCTGCGTGGTCTTGTTCCAGACGCAGGGCACTTGGAGCACATGCCTACCCACTTGGATATCTTGTGCGGTCAATATCGCCGGGCCATCGCCTCGAATTCGGACGCTATCCGAGCAGACTCCAAGTTCCTCGCCAAGGAAGGCCCTCTCAACTTTTACACACTCTACCGCTCGCATGACTTCCACTTTAGGCTGTACGCCGCGATGTTGTGCGGGCAGTCCAAGGTTGCTATTCAGACCATTAATGAGCTCGAGTCGACGCTTTCCGAGGATCTGTTGCGGGTCGAGTCCCCACCAATGGCCGACTGGTTGGAGGGCTTTTTGGGTATGCGGATGCACGCGCTCATCCGATTCGGTCGTTGGGATGATATTCTGGCTCTCAAACTCCCTCACGATCCCAAGCTCTACTGCACTACCGTCGCCATGACGCATTACGCCAAGGGGGTAGCCCTCGCTGCGACCGGGCGTGTCGAGGAGGCAGAGAAGGAACGAGTACTTTTCGCCGAGGCTGTAAAGCTTGTGCCATCGTCACGAACAGTATTCAACAACGCCTGCCAGGAGACTCTTGCCATAGCCGAGGCAATGTTGGACGGCGAATTAGCATACCGAAAGGGAGACTATGAAAACGCGTTCGCGCACTTACGAAAGTCGGTGGCGAGGGATGACGCTTTGCCATACGACGAGCCTTGGGGCTGGATGCAGCCGACGCGCCACGCTCTTGGAGCCTTGCTTCTAGAGCAAGGCCACGTCAAGGATGCTGCCGATGTGTACAGCGCTGACCTTGGAATTGACGAGTCCTTGCCTCGGGCACAAAGACACCCGAATAACGTCTGGGCCTTACACGGGCTGTACGAGTGTCTTGTAAAACTGGGTCGAACAGACGAAGCCAGGATTCTGAAACCGCAGTTGACCTTGGCTTTGGCGGTAGCGGATGTCCCTATCAAGTCGTCTTGCTTCTGTAGACGAAAGACTGTTGATTGACAAATACGGATCCTGAGCCCGCCCTCTCAGCGGAGACTCAGCGATACCAATACCATACTGGCCAGGTTATGACATCGGAAAACGAAGGAAAGGAAGAGCCGGGGAAAACAGATTGACAACGGAGCATGTAGCCAAGGCTACCAGTAATGGATTGCATTAGGTCATTGATAACGCATTGCATGTGAAGCACACGGTTCGTAGGTTGTTTAGTTCGATTAGTCAAGTTCATTTCAAGCCCTGGATCATATTCCAGTGTAGTCGCTAGTGAATGTACCTGAACTCGGGGTGCAGATGCCCCAATGTGGCAATCTCCTTATCACGGTGCTGTAGCCGATAATCACGGCCACCCCTTTCCCGCTTCCGATTCTCCCACGTCTGATAAGCCAACAGACTCAATGATACAATGATTACCGACGCCGCAGTACTGACATTCAGACTATTACCTATCCGGTATCCCGTCTTAGCATCGGTGTTGATGTAACTCCAAGTAGCTGCGATGGAACCTATGCGCAGAATCGTCAGCCAACCGTATTCATTTGTCAGCCATGCCAAGTGATAGAGGCACTGGGGACATACCAATGTTGGCAAGACCCGACACCGCGGCATTCGCAACGTTGCGTACCGTATCGGGGGCGGCATTGGCCAGTGTCCAGCTGATAACCAGTACCCCAAATCCGAAACCTCCAGCCGTATTGATGAAGATAGCGGCATATCGAGCTTGGACGTTCTTGGAGGTCAGCCATATGGAGTACCCGATGATATTCAGTACTGCGCATCCGGCGATGGCAATTCCATGCTTGCGAGTCTTCATCGTGACGTATGCGAGGCAGAGACCAAAGACGAGGCCCACGAGCGGAGGTGGCACCGATAGAAGTTGGATGCCCACGGTTGAATGATCCGGGTAGTTCAGCCTCAAGATGGTTACTGTAAATATTGAGAGACCCTGGACACTGACCTGATTGCAAGTGTACATCCAGGCACCGGCGAGGACATTGACGTTGAGTACGCCTCGCTTGATCAGCTGCCAGGTGATTCGCTCCTTGTGCTCGCGGATGGCCGGCTGGTCGTGAAAGATACGAGCCATGGCCAATTTGCGCTCCGTCTCGTTGAAGATTCGCGTCTTCGATGGATCTGCCGGAAAGAGATAGAGCGAAAGAAAGCCAACGCCAATGGTGATGATACTGAGATTAATGTGTCAGCGATGGTACCCTCGTTCTGACGACTAGGGAACAAACCCCTCGACCAGGAAAATATTTCGCCACGAATTCACAGTTCCGATGCTTCCTAATGACAGCAGTCCTGACGCAAGGAGACCCCCGAAAGCTGAAGCCAGGCCAGCGGCGCCGAGCATAAAGAACGAGATCCGGGTCGTCACCTCGCTGCGGCGATAATACCGCGACACGACGTAGTTGAGCCCTAGATGTGTTTTAGGGTCATCCTCAAAGACGAAAGATGGATTATATCCTGATACCTGGAAATTGAAACGACTCAGTCAAGCCCAGTAGCAGTCGGATGACAAAGAAGCTCGCCTCATTATGGATGAAGGCCGTAGCGAGCGTTACGATCCCGAACGCGATGCAGCTCAACGGTAATACGATGTTTCCATACTTCTTAACGCTCAATGACGCGGGGATGTCGGCAAAGAAGTAGATGCCGTAGTACAAGCAAGCTCCAATGTTGAACCCGTAGGTGCTCAGTCCCAGATCCGCTTCCATGCCTGCCACTTTCGCGTTCCCCAGGTTCGTCCGGTCGAGGAATGTGAAGAAGTAGAGGAGGAAGATCATGGGCAGGGCACGCAAGTCAACTTTGCGAAGGAGCTTGGCTTCCGCGACAGGGTCGATGGCATAATTATGAGCTGCCTCTGCGTCGGCTTGGCTGTCGGAGTGGGCAGTGACTGACACGAGTTCAGTGTCGGTCTTCATTTTCGTGGCAGACTCTGACATTGTAAATCGCGTGCCAAGGTCATATCAAAGAGAAGTGATAGCTTTCAAAGATCAATTGAGGACTGAACCTCCCGTGACCTCTCCATTTATAACCTTAAAACATGTGCGACGTGGTCACACAGCGTTCTCTGTCTCGATAGATGTCTCGGCCGCTTGTAATCAGCGCCGAACGCTTTGGGAATATTGAAGTATCACAGTACATGCGATACAACCCTGTGAGTCCCGATGAGTCCAAGGGCGGGGAAAGATCTTCACGATAGGCTCTGACTAGGAGGGCGGCTTCGCGATGATACGGTAGAATGCAAGTGTGTCTTATCTGCATATGACAGCATATGAGATAGCGCCGTGGCAGGATACCGCGGTATTTAGATCCCTTAAGAGCGAGTAATCAGGGCATTGTCTGCGAGTTTCACTCCAGGTTACACAAAGTGTCCTTGGGATTTCCGCCCGAATATTGATTGCCAAGTCATCGGGTAGTCGGCCGGAGGTCGTGGCCAAAAGTCGGCCTATGAGACATGTTCATCTACGAACTATTTTCTAATTTCTGAACATCTCCAACAGACTGGTTTCGATTCAGCGGTGCTTTTTGCAAGCCCTGGTCAGTAAGTGGCTGGGAGAACAATTCATCAGTAACACTCAGCACCCCAGGTCCATCGGCTGCTCCCTTCATTCCTCACAATGTCTCACTCAATTGCAGCTGCCTGAGTTCTACGGAGGACCACTGAGAATTATGTTGATTCTTTCGCAGTGTAGGATGTTTCATATTTGGGAGGGGTTCATGAGCATGAGATGGAGGCCTCTGTTCCTACATGTATTTGAACGTTTTGGATATTGATTTTGATTCATGCCTATTGCAAATCTCCAAAGAGCTTGAAAGTGAGCTTCAATTCTACTACTATTTACTGTTTTCTTGAGCTTTTTGCACAGCTTCTAAACGGTGATATTGTTCCTTGTCTCGATCTCGCTGATACCGCCTGTTGCAGCATCCCGAATCGCGTTGGCCGGGACCTGATTCAAAAAGAACAATTAATTGAGATTATGGCCTCGATGTCAGTATTCGATTGAGTCTAGGAATAGCCGAGAATTTCCTCCAATATCGGATTGGCAAGGTGTCCTGTTGGTGTCTGTGACGGTGAAAAGCTCGTGATTGTATTCCGCTACATATTGTGTTGAGAATTACAAAGTTCAATGGAGAGTATGCCCAGAAGATCCCCCAGTTTTACGGTTGATAGGCAACATTACCAGTCATGGCGGTTTTCATCCCCGGGCTTTTAGTTGAGAAGGCGGTGGTACCGTTAACCTTTGCATCAAGTCTAAACGACGAGGGTAGAAGACAGCCAGAACCTTCACGTTGGTGATTCGATAACGATTGAACGAATTAAGCTAATGTTGCATCCAGGTTTTATTGAAACGAAGCAATCTGACTGGTGTATTCGTGATTTAATTTGATCTTAGGAACATAGGATGTTTGATCCTTTTTACGCTCTTAGAACCACCTGGGCAACAGGCGCGTAGTAGTGAACATTAAGTGACCAGTTGGATCTCGATTATGTCTTTGTCTGTGTGAGGTGAAATCATCAGTTGAATCCAGCCAAGCTAGAGCTAAGAGAAACCTTCCCTGAGCCAGCTTGGGGCATGGTTCTCGTCAACTGGCCGACTTAATCCCAGCTCATATTCGGCGACACATCTACAAAGTTGCTCATGTCATGGGGCTGGTTTGATCGAATGATTTGGTTGCCAATTTCAAGTCTAATGTGACTCTGGATGCAATGACTTGACTCGCGAAATTGAGTTGCGAAGGCGGGGTAACGGTCCCTGAAAGTGGCGGTCGAATGGAACGGTTGCCAAGTCCTGCATCGTTGAAGCTTCCAATATAAGTTAATTTACATTGATTTGAACTGCAAATCAGGAACTTGGGGAGCTCTTCTTGAATGCCTCTGGGTGGATTCCAGCTAGTGGTTTCAATGCAGCATGATTCCTGGTCAATGTGAGCGCTGACGTTGAAACTTCAGCAACAACTGAGTTAATATCGTCGAATTGATTCGATCAAAGCACAGACGATTAGATAGATAAAAGTATGTGCAGATTGTAAAATATATACGTGGTTTCCCAAAAGTGTATGTACAGGAAATGTTTGAAAGCCTGAGTCTGGCCCAGGTTTCAGAGAATGATAGCATCTAAGTGCGTTGTTTGTTGTCACCGGCCTCGAACCGATACCTCCTCCCATCAACAGAGCCCATGCGTTGAGCCAAGGCTCTCTGTTTGTGTTCTCAAAAGATATCGCTTAACCAGAGCAGGTGCCGGCCTTGGAGGGCTCGCAGCCGCCAGCGCAGCCGTTGTACATCTGGCACTTGGTCTTGGCGTCGGCGCAGACGTTCTTGAGGGTAGCAGTGTCCTTGTAGTTGGCGTTGATGCCAGCGAGCTCACCACCGTTCTTGGCGGTAACACCCTCCATGTAGATGTTGCGCTTGCACTGGGTCTTGCACTATTTTTCACAGTCAGAAAATCACGATTCGGGTTGAGGTAAAAATTTGGGAACGGCTTACGTTGCCGCAAGAGCGGTAGAGCTTGCCGTAGTCCTCAACGTAGTAGTTGATGACGTTGACGGTACCGCAACCGTTGTGCTGGATGACCTTGTCGGAGGCGTGGTAGGCACCGCCACCGATGATCCAGGACTGAGCACCAGCCTTGTCATTCTTGATGGAGATGGCATCCTCGCAGACATCCTCGAACCAGACGAACTCGAGAGTGCAGTGTCCGTTGCAGTGGACACCCTCGGCCTGGTTCTTGCCGATGATGGCGTTCTTCAGAGTACCACCGGCCTGGATGTAGAAGACGGAGTCCTTGTAGTCTGTTGAGGGAGTCATGTCAGATAAATAAGTCAATAGAGAGCATTCTCGTGCTACTTACCACCCTCAGACTGGCCGCCGCAGGCGCCAGAGCCACGGTCGAAGCGTTGCCACTTTCCATCGTAGACCTGACCGGCCTTGATCTCAATGTAAGACTTGGAGGAAACAGTGCCGGTGGCCTTGGGAACACCGCCGGTGTAACCGTTGCAGGCAAGGGCGGGAACAGCGGCCAACAAAGGCACCAGGCCGAACTTGAAGAATTGCATCTTGGAAGTCTGGTGTGTATACACACTTGAGATGAAAAGAAGGAATGTGGTAGTTGGTTTAGAGTTGAGGGAGTGAGGGTGATGGGCAGAAAGATTTCCCTGAACAGACCGGAAACGACGCCGACTTATATACAAACCTTGCGACGACAGAGACTCCTTGTTCAAGAAGGCAAATCATGCCAAGGGAGCATGCCTGTCTCTCGTAAGAACAACTTCACGTCCAGAAGGACACTCTGGGTAGGCTAGCCAGGAGCCATCACGGCGACAGGGTCGAGGAATTCCATTGATGGGGAGTGGAGGGGCAGGGAGGGGGTCTGCTTCGAGGCTCTAGGAGACTTCCTAGGAACCGGTTCGATGGCATGGAACAAAGGATCACATTGGTGGACATTGAAAATTGCGGGCTCGGGAGATACCTGCATGATGGCTTCTGTGGGATGCTTGTTGACGATGGAGCCAGTCTTGAAATTTGCTCCGCGTGCCGGCGTTGGCGTCGGAATTTGGCATCTGCTGTGGGATCTTGGGGCAAAAAACAAGAGGCAGCAATCAGAACTGCATGCAAGGGCGGCGCAGTCTGAAACTCTTGGGATACGCAAGAATAGGAGAAACATGCAGCTTTAGGGCACGGCAGAGCGCGAGGGAACCGCCACCCGACCGTCATCTCACCACAAAGAAGCCGACTACTGTCATCAGATACGCAGGAGTTCCATAATAGGTAGTTGAGAAGATACCTCTTCAATAACACCCACGAGCCGTGTGCTCCGTAGGGACCGTGTGGCGGTAAGTGGTCGAGATTCGGCGTCCGGTACGATGCGGTCCAATCGGAGGACAAGTCGAGACGTCGAAAAAGAGATTAAGCTATGTGGTATTGGTGATGGCAACCCAAGGACCAGGTTATATCGCAGGGATTGATGGGTATGGCAGGCTGACAGCTCAGTTCATCCCATGATCCTCCTGGCTAAGATCCCGACTGGAAGAGACTGTCTCGCAGTCTGGTGCCTGTCAGTAGTACGTATCTTGTCCGCTGCGGTCCCGACGCGAGGGAAGTCTGCAAAGTGAATGTCTCTCCTGGATTTTACCTGGATATGTCAGGTTGGGTGGCTTTGTGGTTGGTAAGGCGGAGATGCCAAGACCACCAAGTGTTCTCCATGTGCACAATGGGATGGATTGCCGCAGCTAGCAACCTAGTCCGGTGCTGGAGGTTGATTAATGCCAAGAACCAACTCACCTCATGCCCTCTGCAAGAAGATTGTCAGGAGTTATCGCCCCGCACCAACATTTCAATGTTTTTTGAGCCCTTCAAGAATGCTGCGTCTTTGGTGGTTGAACAAGAAATTGCCGGGCCAATTGTTGTTTACGGAACTCATCGGAGGCGGACACTTCGGCCCCACCGCGACCGAGACCCTCACGGCTCGACAGGCCGTCGGATGCCTCCTCGCCTTACATAACCTTAACCGCTACCCATGCTTTGTTACCCGATGATCACTGATCGATTTGGCGGCTGTCATCTGAAGCTTTGGGTCAACTTTGCGATGATCCCATACCCGTTTCTCTAAGACAGATGCCCCTGTAACATTCTAAGGCCTATCTCTCGGTTATCAGAGTACTAAATGCACCCGGCAATGGCAGCTTGACCATTGGCATCCATGGCCACTCTTTCCCATGATATTGGGCTCTTGGACCTGTCTCTCGTCGTCCAGAAATCCCGTCTCCAGGGCTATGCTGAATGCTCCCGGGGGCGAACGATCCCTGTCCCGCCTTACCTTAAGGTCATTGCCCACCGCACCGGACCTTGGTATCCATTTCACCTGAAGCCTTTGGAGCTCCTTGGCTTTCCCGTTGCGCTTCTCGTTGAGTCGTTACCGCAATCATGAGTCGCTTCTCCAACAATCGGTACGGAGGCATAAATACCCATGGAAGTATTGGCAGCATGTGTTCCCAATGAGGCCTCAACTCCGTATTCCTACCAAATAAGGTCAACAAGGCGAATATTCCCCGGCCCCTGGCTCTCAATACCCCACGTGCACATCCTTTACGTCAAGCATCCAATCGCAGCCTTTTTCGTATCACAACAGCTGGCTGTTCGCAGTCTGGAAACTTCAAGTAATTGACATCGGGTCCGAATCGGGACTGTGCCAACCCTCGCATTAAGACCGCCCACATATCATTTGGCGGAATGATGTCATCCAAATAAGCTCATCCGGGCTGCCTCCCAAGCAATTTGCTGAATTACCTAAGCTGCCATGAGTACCTCACCGCTCAAGACCCAGCTCCTACAACTCCACTGTGAAACGCAATGCCGGAAGACAACAACACTCGTTCTTTGGTTCTCGGAAATTCCCCACGCTCTCACAAATGACACTAGACGAGAAATAACTTAGTTTGACGTGGAAATGACACCTGACGCCGGCAGATGGAACTTTTCAGAGCCCAACAGGCAGGCAGTCGGAAGCGTACAATGTTGTCACACTGCATTATCAGTGACAGTCCCATACGCCCGCATTGCCTCGACCTTCCCCACCGAGACAGACGAGACTGCCAACGAATCAATGCTCCTATCGACTAACAAACATTGTCAACAAGTCAACAAGCACTTACAACTTTGAACCTGCCACATGGCACAGAAAATCTTATCGAAATGCTGAAACAACGCATTTGGGAAAGGTTCATCCTTGAATGCGTTCGCTTCATTTGCCATGCACCAGGCCGATAGAGAGACGAAAAGAAGAAAAACCAAGTGTTCACAGTTCTTTCGAAAACCATGCTGCCAAGCTTCCCACGATACCACCAGCATGGATATCAGCACCACAAAGTCTTGGCAACCCCAGTTTTCTAATTCCACTTAGCGTTCTGCCACCAATGCCATTCTCCTCCTATGAAGACTCCTATTTACTGATGCCTCTCTCGGGTCTGCCAATCTCCGCGGTCACATGCAAAGAACCGCAGAAGAAGAGTTGCGAAAGGCGCTTAATCACTTTCTCCCAAACCCTGTGTCTCATCGTGTTCTGGCAAATACTTGGCTTGTCCGCGCGGGAACCAATGGTGGCGGATAACCTGAAGACATTGACCGTCTAGTTTTGATACCTCTCACGGCAGGTTTGGCGTTCTGTCTGCTGGTCACAGCAGAATTTGAGGGAATTGTCAACAACAAAAAGAAATGATTCCGTCGGAAAACGTGCCCGACACTCCGCCGTCATAGTTGCATCAAGTCTCTTCACATGACTAACAGTATCATTCCATTCACATTGGACTTTCTCCATCCAGCTGTTCCCGAGAAACACCATGCGCCCTCAACCCAGGTTATCCTTTCCAGCGAGATCGCCTTCTGGATCTTAACTCAATCGTGAGCCACATCAGCTGCCCATCATTTTCATCCGTGCCACTTCAATACTACATACCCTCCCACCTCCCGCACAGGCGCCGCGAACCTTCTTTATCGCCCCATTTTCCAAGTGTTTCATGTTTGATTTAATGCGCCATTGACCAGCTGGAGCGCTTTGCTCGGCACCATTTCAGGTGAACCGTTCCTCCGCGGCTAACAAAGTACAGCCATCCTTGGCGATGTTGTTGGGAATCAGCTCCCTTGGCGGTTGGCAAACTTCCTCGAGCAAAGAAACTCGAGTGACATGCCACTGAAAGTTTCCAAGAGAAATGCAACATCACCGCAGTTATGCCCTCCAACCCGCTCCCAGAAAATCTTATCACAAAACTCATATGGAAATGGAACCATTCACATATGCCAAGACAGCGAATAACGGGTTCTTGCTTCAGGAGAAATATTCTGCCCATCGCTACCGACGAAAAGCACAGCTTAACACTCTAATGTTGCCACTCTCTGGCTTCCACATGGCAGACCGACAAGGTCTTGGCCCTACGGGGCTCACCCGGGGCTCGTAAGGGAACGCCGGCCACCCTTGGCGTTCTACGGGTCCGCGTTGTGTCCCGGTCCCAGTATGCGTATTATTTCCGCCAAGAAATCTCATCCTCCTTTCGTACGAGTTCTTTACACGGATCTATCAACTCTCCACCTACGCAGAATCCTTTTCCACCGCGGCATTATTATTCAGTCCCAGGGGCCAAGCCGTGGCCCCTTTCTTGCGGGATCCGCGATGGTGGCAACAGTTCGGCTGCTGCCCTTCGGGAGTCCTTGCGTGCCGCTACCGCTCCTTATTACCATGTTCGCCAAGGGTATCCGAAATGGCCTTCCTAAGACTCCAGTCTTGGCTCCGCTGACCTGAACGGAATAGGAGGCATACTAGGGAAGACTTCGGCTCTGAACGGGTTGTTTGCTCCTTTGATTCGAAAGCGAGATGCACCGGACCGTATGATTATTTTGAAACCAAATCGTTAATTAATGTCGGTGAGGATGCAAGGACTTTCAACTCTGGTGACCTTGAATTCGCGTGTCTAGACTTGGGCCGGCTGGTTGGTCTCCTTTCCTGACGAAATTCAATGTTGAGCCCGTATGTTCTGAAGTCATCCGCCCAGACGGAGAATCCAGACCTGATTGTTCCTTGAGGCTGTGATCTCGGAGTGAAGCGAGCATGGAGGTGTGGTAGCATCCGATCTTGCCGGGCACGGTTCCTTCTATTCCACGAATGACCGTTTGGTGTGCCGCAGATCACTTTCAGCCGCCAAACGTCAGCTAGGAGACTAGGACTTCGCGTTGCTGCTATCCTCTTTCTCTTCAGCATTTCTTTCTCGTGCAGCAGGTGTTCAGAGAGTAAGGCGATATTTCCCCTTCCCTTCGTGTATGTGTTCCTCGTAATACTGCCATCTTAAAATGTCCTACTGTTCAATTTGCTTCCTACATGCCAGTTCAAAAGCACCTCTGGATGGACGGAGCTGACCAGATGAGAAGGTACGGCGTCAAGACCGAAACCGACACCGAAGACCCGAGTCCGCAACTCAAGATGCTTTCGAATGTCACCACATTTCCACGTCTCGAGTCATGCCATAGTGCCTGTCGTGTAGATACTTAGGGTGTCATCACGTCCAGTCTCTTCCCAAAACCCCCTTCTTCAGTCTGCATCTCCGAAGAATCCCATGTTGCCACATCCGCGAGTCGTGCCGAGATTCTAGACCGATATTCGACTTGCCTCTTCTCCTCGTTACCCCGCAAATTCCATATGAAGCCGAAGAAGCTGCCGGGTTAGGATCATGAGTCGTAAACGGGCCTAAAAAAGAGCATCCGGGGTGGTAGGGCTGCGGCTGTGTAAGAGCCGAAGTAGTATCGTCGGTGATTGCCGACGACCTCGGTCGGTCAACAGAACTGAACGGACTAACTTCACCGGAGCCATGGGACTGCGCTCTTGGCATCCAGAATTCTAAAGGTCGGCATACCTACGTTGGTTTGTCGTATTGAAGCTCTCTGGGGACGGACCTGTCGGTGCCAACTTGGGAGAGGCTTGAAATCTTCACACCGAACCCTTTCCGTTGTGATTTGCTAGCTGCATGAAGAACATGGTTTCAAATAAGAGCTCATACCTGTACTGCAGTTCAATCTACTTAATCTAATTGTGCTAGAGAGTAAAGAATGGGCAAGCCATAGTCGTTCTAACTGATTGTGCAAATAGAGTAGAGTCTAGATATTATTTTGATAACGCTGGTTGTTCTAGTCACCACCACATAGCTCTACTAGCTTTTTACAAAATATAACAAACGGCAACTTAGAAGAGTGGATTATCTTCTGAAAGAGTTTCATGGGCAAAACTGGCAAAAAGAATGATGGAGCTAGGAGGATTCGAACCCCCGTCTCTCTCTCGCCTGAGTATATAGGATTTTAGGATCTAGGGAAAGAGGGCGAGAGAGGCTTTACCACTAAGCTATAGCCCCTTTGAGCTGTCTTATTATGATAGAGAGTGCTGAACTTTACTATAAGGCCTCGGTCATCTCGTCGTGGTGGCGTTTGAGCCATTGAGGTTATAAAGACTAATCTATCACGGTGCCTTTTCAGTAACGTACCTGTCCGCTTCCCAAGTTCCTACGCATAGTCTAGTCTCACGGCAGTTTGTCATAGTCCAAGGGCGAGATGCTGCGGCAATCGAAACTGAGACAGCTCAGATATTTGGGATCTCGTTTGGTCTCTTTCATCCTCTTTTATTTCTTGCAACGTATGCATATATGAAACCATTCAATTATCGCAACTTGGGTGACAAGGCTCCGGCCTTCACAGCGAACCTAGTCCGCTATGGATATGACTCCGACAAAAGTCTACCTAAGGCACCCAAGGATGTCAGCAACACTTGACTGGATGACGTGTGCCTCACTACAGCTTCTGGTGTGTGTGTCGGGGTAATCATGCCCAATGGGCCGTAATCCGCACATCCATCCAGCTAGATCGGCTGCCTCCCCACGCTGAACCAATGTGCATGCGCCTTTCTATTACATAAAATAGTTTACCGCATTAGCCAAGCAAACAATACACCGGATTTCCCCTCATTTCCATTTTCTTCTGCTCATAGGAACTACATCAGCCCGGGCTGATGATCGTTCTTCCACCCTCAACTAAGGGTAACTCGAGACGCAATGGACCCCGGAACGATTTTGGCACTCTCTCAAATAGTGATCGGATTGAGCATCAAAATCTACGACTTTTTCAAAACCGTGCATGATGCACCGAAAGACATCTTGGATTACCTGCTGGCGCTGGAGCAGACGCGCGTGGTGTTCGAGGATACCCAGGACTATCTGCGAAGACACATCAGCTCGAGTTTCCATATACATGACGGACTGAAGCTCAGCATCGTACAGCGCACTCTTGAGGATTGCAAGCTCGAATTCGCCCTTCAGTTGTCTTTCATCGAGAGCCTTGACCCTTCTACGAGCTCGTCGTTCTTCAAGAAGGCTGTGCGCAAGACCAAATTTGTGCTTAGTGAGGAGAAGATCGAGGCGTTCACTCAGAAGCTTCAGAGAGCGCAGGGCTTACTGAGCATTGCTATTGCCACAACAACCGGGTGAGCACCTCTCCTGCCGGCGATGTCGAACCAATTTGACGCCTCGAAGCAAAGGCACAGCACTCATCCGTGATAAATTGGAGATCGTCTCACTTGAAGTACACGAGACGAATGAGAGAAGCAAGACCGAGTCAGTTGCTCGTAACGAACTATTGCAAGAACTGCAGCAATACGCCGTCGTGCTGCAAAATAGCGCGAAAGAGTTTCTACAGCTAGCCAAAGATACACATATACGCGGCGAAACCCGACTCACTGATCTATCAGAGTCTTTGACTGCCGGCAGCTCCTCATCCAAACCTGTGCTAGAGGCGTTTTCAGCAGACCATCCATTTCCAACAGAACCAAAGCTGAGCGACTTGACAATTGAACGTCTCGAACAGTCTCGCATCGACTTCAATAAATTCGCCGATTTAATGCGAAACAGCTCTTTTCAACGCGATGAGGTCACAACTTCTATCATGGACAGCACAACCTCTTGGGAAAGTGTCTTGGAGCAATGGCCAAAACTCTCGCCTGAATTTGCAGACTTCGCAGAAAGAGTGAAGTATTTTCCGATTCTAGCTAGCTTCATTCCAACAAAATATGAAGGGGTGATCTCAGACTGTCTGAGACTGATCTTAACTTTCATTGTGCACGGTCAGGTATGAAATTGTGCCAAACAAACTTTCAATAGCTGACAGTTGTTACAGGGAGACAGGTACTTCAACTTCCTGATTGAAGCTATGGAAGAAATGTCCGAAGCAATCGAGATGTGTCATCGCGAGCAAGTCCTTTATCCAAACCCCAAACTCACCCGCTTAGTCGAGGAATTGTACATGGAGGGTTTGGACGTTACGAAAACCCTGCTGAAGGTCCACGACCTGAAAAGCTCAGATAGTTTCAGATGGCTCATTGCCCCTGCGTTGGATGTCCAGAATTCGCTTCAGAATGTCACCGCAAAAATACGATGTATCTCAGATGCTGTACGTCTCGAAGTGGATTATCAACATCGCTTGGAGATGTGGAAGACAAGCAGCCGGGTTGTAGAGATGCAAGTTGAGCAGCGGAAGATGGCTAACATGCTCAAAGATCAGAAGAGAGTGTTGCAGGGGATGGAAGAGGAAAGAAAGGTTATGGGCGTGATACAGGGGCAGCAGGAGATTTTGCAAGTAGTACAGCAGATTCAACGGAGTTTGCAAGCCGATGCTGATGCGAAACATAAACGAACCATATGAGGTACAGCTGGCTGGAATGGTGGTTTGAAGCGATTGTATGCACTTGTAACTTGACCAAAGAAATTGCCAATGCTATGGGAAGACCTTCCTAGACATCTATTCGGCGTTGAAAGCAGCCTACTGGGTATGACCATTTAGTGAGTGTCTAAATTATGTTCTTCGGAGTTGAACCCCTGATCCAGTTTGCATGCTTCAAGTAATAAGTCATGAATATGTCCTTCGTTGACAGTTCTCGTGTTGCTGTTTGCTCCAAAATCGTTACTGTTTTATTCTCCCTCGGTCCATATTCGTATAGTTCAAGGCGACCGAAGTCTAGAAACACGCAATCCAGGGTTCTCAGTAACTGTGTGATTGGTAAGTACATGAATTAACTTTCAGGAGAGGAAGAATGACAAACCTCCGTTTCTTCCCGGCCAAACACTCTTCGGTGTCGACTCAAGTGTATGAGCAACACCGCTTCCGTCTCTCACTTGCGATATAGGCATCGCGAAGTTCTTTGTTGGCCATGGCCAAGTCGCCTAGCAGCCGGATCTCGACGAAGTCCTCCATATCAGCCGCATCGTGAATGACACAACCACGGCATTGGTCATCCTCAGTCTGATTATGGCTTTCATGTTCGGCTGTTGCATTCAGATGATTGAGTAACTGCGCCTTGGCGTAGAAAACGGCCACGTCAAAGTTGTAAGCTCCCGCCCTTTCCAGCTCGAGAATGTCGGTATCGACGATTGTCTCGACTTTGGCGCTGGTCCATGATGTTCCAGGGAACAATGTGACTTCTTCTTGATTGACGCGGCCATTCTCGCGGTCCACACAGTCGAAACCAATTATACCAGTCTTCCAGGTCGGCCGGGGTACCACCCAGATCTGGGCGCCAGCACGACGCTCAACAGGAATACTGACACTTGAAGGGGCAAGTATTTCATTCGGCATGAACTCCGGCGTGGCCGCTGTGATCTTGATCTCGGGGATCGTGTCACACGTTGGCGGTGTGTTGGCCTTCTGCCGCTTCTTGGCCTTCTGTGGTTTCTTGTTCTTTGGTGAAGCCGCTGTGTCAGGCAGCTTTTTATTCTTCGGGGGTTTTCTGGCCCGCTTGGCCCGGACTCTCTTGATCGGAGGCGGGCTGTCTTGCGTGAGATTACCAAGCGCAATGCCCTTGGTCTGAAAGGGGCAGCTTTGCAGCTTCTGGGGCAGCTCGTACTTCCACGGGGATTTCTAGTCCTGGAAGACGACATCCCAGAAGAGCTTTCGACCCTCTTCGTCAATGACTTTGCCCGATCGGTTGACCTTCGGGAGACGGGTGATGATGTTGTCGCAGCAGCGCTTCTGGTGATCGGTGAGGTCGTCGTAGCGTGTGGGGACGACACGTCCGTCCAACTGCGGGTCCATCACGGATTGTGGCAGGGGCGTTGTTGTGTTGTGTTCCGAATGGAGCTGTAAATTCAACTTGATGAGCAATGTGATGTCATAAAATGGGAAGGTGGGACTTACCTACGATGGCTGAAAAAAGAAATTCACCGTTATCCTCCGAGTTGTTCCGTAGGTGATGGACAGAAGAAGATGCGAAAGCGAAAAGTCGGTAGATGTACCCGGCTGTCGGAAGAAGAAGGAAGTTGTTGAGCGGAGGATGTCCGAGCGTGAAAAGATTCTTCCTACCTTAGACCCAGAAGGTGAGATGCAAAAGTCGAAAAGGGCAAGTGCCTAGGTAGCTCCTGAGGCAGGAGATAATTATGAAGGAAAACACTTTGACAAAGGGACAGGCAGCAGCAGTAGTGAAAATTGTGCTCGAACGACCAGGGTTGTCTGGTCTTTCGAGGTATCATGGAGCGCACCGTCGAAATCAATATCTCATCTCTGAAATACCTAGGCAGTTCAATGACGAAACGGGCAGGAGCACCACTGACTAGTCGCATGCTTGCTTCCATTTGTACAGTAGATGTTGACTTTGAATCAATCCATATTCACCAGCATATCAGAAGATTGAGAAGCATTTAAGCCTTCATCAGTGGCTTGTATTTGTAGTGGGTATCAACCTAAATAATCACAACGAAGCTGCCAATACACCTGGCAATTGACTACATTTCCTGCATTTCGAGAGCCTTTTCTCGGCAAAACATGCGCTTAAGAGCGCGACCTGCGCAAAAAGATGTGAAGGGCAAGGTACGAAGCCACACCCGTGAAGCACATGCCGCTGATGACACCGAAGCCCATGAGGTACTTGGGAGCATCCTTGGAAGGGAAGAGGTAGGCGCCGTAGATCTGGGCAAGGTTACCCATAGCGTTGACGAAGGCAAGCGCTACGGCCTTGGTCTCGTTGGACATGTTGCCGAAGCTGACGGAGGCGTACGAGAGGGCAAGAGCGTTCGAGGCCCAGAGACCGGAAGCCATGATGACGAGAAGGGCGTAGCGAGCCTTGAAGTTGTAGACGCCGCAGATGATGATGGAGCAAATCATGGCAACGCTCATCATGACGGTAAGGATCAGGCCACGCAGCTGGCTGTGCTTGTCGGCGAAGTATCCGACGATCGCGGTGATGACGAACGCGACGGCGAAGATGGGCACGGTCATGTACTGAGCCTGGGTCGACGCGTAACCGAGACCGCTGACGAGAGTAGGGTAGAAGTAGGACAGGGTGGAAGAACCGACGATGGCCTGTTTTGTGGTGGTTAGCAAACGACGACTCGATAGTGTCATCATCGGTGTGGACTTACCATGTAGCCTACAACAAAGAGCCAAGTCCTCCAGTTCGCCATGGCAAGCTTGAAGGCAGCCCAGTGACCAAGGATAGGCTCTTCCTCGCCACGCAGAGCCTGCTCGTCGCTCTGAAGTCTCCGGATGGCCAACGCGCGCTCCTTGTCGTTGAACTTGAGCTTCGAGGTCGTCGCGGGGAAGTCGGGAAGAACGAAGAAGGCGACGCAGGCGGCACCGACAGTAGCAGCACCCTCGACAACGAACAACCAGCGCCATCCGGCAATGCCATGGACGTCATGCAGGCCGCCGGTGATGGCTCCGGCGAGGAGACCACCGAAGGCACCGCTGAGAATGGCAGCCGAGATGTAGACCGCGAAACGCTTGCTCTGCTCTTCCTTCTTGTACCACGAGGAAAGCAGGAGAAGGATACCAGGAGCAAATCCAGATTCGAGACATCCCATGCTGTGGAAGACATCCACTATTAGCAAAAAGAAAACCCTTGTATCATCATCAACTGGCAACCTACACGACACGGAAACCGACGAGAGCCTCGTAGGTGGGGCAAAAGGCCATGCCAATCGTAACAGAGCCCCAAGCAGCCATGATACCGGGAAGGTAGAGACTGGGGCGCGTTCGGGTGAGAACCATGTTGGACGGAACTTCGAAGACGACGTATCCGATGAAGAAGACGATAAGGGCGATCGAGTATCTATCAGAGTCGAGACCGAGGTCTTTGTCCATGCCGGCGATCTTGGCGTTTCCGATGCTGCGGTAGGGGAAAAGGGGTCAGCCTCCTTTGCGTCACATAACACTACCCAATCCTAAATTCAACTTACTTCGTTCTGTCCATGTAGGAAAGAAGGTACATGATCCACATCAAGGGAAGAAGATACTATCCGGGGAAGTCAGCAGGTGTCAATGGGTAGATGAAACGGCTTCCTAACCATATCAATTTTCCTGACGAGCTTCTTCTCCTCGTCGCTGCCCGGGACATAGTCGTCGACAGGGAGGTCCAAGTCCTTGCCGATGGCATGTTCTTCATGCTGGTCGGTAGTCATGTCGTTCTTGTCCATGATTGCGATTCGAAAAAGGCGGCCAAGATGCAACGTTGAGTTGGGGGCTGGGAGTTCTTGAAGTTGTCTGAGGAAAGACCAACCACAAAGCCAACAAGAAAAAGAAGGGTTGCCAACGAAGTGCCAGGGGATAGAAAAGCAAGAGCCAACTCAATTGGCAACTCAAGAGTTCTTAAGTAGACGTATGTGTGTGCTTGAAATGTCTTCGCTCGGCCGAGGAGTTGTATTACGTACGGTGTGCCCGGATACAAGGAGCGGTCGGTCGTAAGAACGAGGTTGCTGCCTTGGTCACAAGAGTTGCACGTCCTCTCTCCCTCTTTTGCTGTGTGCTTATCCGCATGTACACGCTGCATCCATTAATATGGAGGCCTACCTGTTATGCCTGGGTTATGCGCGTTGATCGTACCATCTAACCCGACTCGAGCATTCGGTGTGCAGGCTAGTGTAATTGGTAGAGTTCCTCCCGAAATCCCCAGTCTGGGGGAAACTGGGGTTGAGATGAACTTCCGGAATTCTGCGGGGTCCGGGGAGGCGTGCCGGGCAGAGCATCTCGTAGCGCAGGTTTTTTGGGCATGTTGTGGTCAAGTGCGCAAAACCGCGTCTCGAGGATGGTGGGAACTACGGGGCAGGGTGCAAGAGTCATTTATCTCCGTCGAGTTGTTGGTTGAAGACGAGTTGCGCTAAGTTGAAAACGTGGAGTTGCGGAGAGGTGAGCCGCGTCTCGTGCAACTCTCTCGCGGCTAAGTCGTGATGCATGAGTTGAGAGCCGCGCCTCGCGGCCTCACGCTGACATGGATGTTGCTGGGTGGCGACGGTGGGCAAACTGTCAGAGAACTTCACACCGCGCTTCAGCTGACCTCTAAGTCTCAATGCAGAAGCGCGTCATCGGGAGCCAGTATGGAGTTCAGGTATGCAGTAGCACACTGCAGGACGGCGGAGGTCCAACCCGCATGTCTGAATCGCGCGTCGCGGACATCACGGCTTCGGACCACGATCATGCAAACGGCCCCACGGGCGTTTCCGCCGACTGCGGTTTGCGGCCGATTCCAGGAACCCCCGACGGCATACTTAAGACGCGGAAAACTTTCCCGTGATGTTGAGGCCACGGCTACATCTCAAACCAAGCTTGTTTTGTACACACACGATCTTTTCTTATACCAACGATACTTGCTTTCAGCATTCACTCGTAACTTTACACTTATTGAACAAACTCACCTAATCATTCAAAATGGCTCAGAACGGCAACGGCGAGGCCCCTCAGTACCTCTCTACCATCCCCCAGGAGGGCCATGACTTCAAGGTCTCCCTGAAGGACAAGGTCATCGCCAGTGAGTTTCCACCTCCCACAAAGATCACGTGGAAATCTGCAAGACGTACTGACATTTTCGGAAAGTCTCTGGTGCCAACCAGGGTATCGGTCTGGGTATCGCTGAGGTCTGCCTCGTCAACGACGCCGCCGCCGTCTACAGCTTGGACATCTCCTCCCCCGGTGATGACTTCGCCGCTCTGAGCAAGCGCTTCCCCGGCAAGCTCGACTTCCAGCATGCCGATGTCACCGACTACAAGAGCGTCGAGGGCGCCATCAACGCCATTGTTGACGCCAAGGGCCGTTTCGACGGCATGGTTGCCAACGCCGGCGCCACCAAGCACCAGCCCGCTCTCGACTTCACCCCTGAGCAGTTCGACTTCCTCTTCAAGCTCAACGTTACCGGCTCCTGGAACTGCGCCACCGCTGCCGCGAGGACGTTCATCAGACTCGGCTGCAAGGGCAGCATCGTCTTCACTGCCTCCATGACCTCTTACAGACCCAACCGCGTGAGTAATTCCCTAAATCGCAGATTCTTGGATATTCACGGGACTAACAAGACTATATAGGCTGCTCCCTCTGCTCCCTACGGTGCCACCAAGGGTGCTATCCGCAACATGACGCACACCCTGGCCATGGAGTGGGCTCAGCACGGCATCCGTGTCAACTCCATCTCTCCCGGCTTCGTCAAGACCGCCTTGACCTACTACGTCGAGACCTCTCCCGACTGGGACACCAAGATGAAGTACTACGGCGGTATGCCCCGCCTGGCTCTGCCCCAGGAGCTGGGCGGTGCGTACGTCTACCTGCTTAGCGAGACTGCGACTTACACGACTGGTATTGATATCCCTATTGCGGGTATTGTTGGCGCTTGGTAATTGGACTTGTGATACCACTTTTTGGGCTAAGGGATGGGAAAAAATGAACGTAGACATGAAAGCAATAGACTCAATGACATTTTTCGTTTGACAACCACCCCCTTCGTCCAATGCCTTAAGATACAGTATTGAGTAGTGGAAATGAGCTCTTGTCAACATCAGGTCGCTGTCCACCGCTCCTGCCTTCATGAGATTCCAGTCACTTCCATGATCAACGTCCGTCCAAGAGAGTTCGTTTCGTGGAGTGACCCGACTTCTATCCTTCAATGTAGTCGTTAATGCTCTCAAAAGCGCCAGTTGGCTTCGTACGTATTCCTTTTGCCGAAACCATGGCTTCTCGGCAGGCTTAGCGGATGAGATGAAGCATTATCTTCTGAGATGAAAGTTGTAGCTTGATGACCCGGCAGAAAAGGGTTCACAAAGCCATCATAACACATTTCAAAGAAGAGCTTAGTTTTACATAATACCAAAGACGGCAACTTGAAGACTACACCAGATGATCACGCCACAAGAAATTACAATGTTGATCAGCAATAAAGTGAAGAAACAACTTGACTAAATAATAACAACTGGAGGTAATATTGGAACCATTAACATATCCGCTTTTGGCCATAAACACTACAAGTTGCGGACTGCGTCAGCCACAATCAGAACACAACGTTTGATATCTGCCCAAGATCCCACATCCATGGCCACGGAACACCTGCAGGAACTGACATGGGAGCAGCTGCCTACTGCATCTTCTCCGCAACATCGGCTTCCTTTCCGTAATACGACCCCTGATGATTCATGCAGGACTTGTCCAGGCCGTCGTCGACACGCTCTTATGCAACAATCATATACACCATGGGGTGAAGCCGGCGTGATTAGTGGCGTTAACATCCGTAGTTGGAATAGCCCCCTTTACCCCTGACCTCGCGTACGGCTGAATGTATCGTCTTTGGCTGAAATTGCTTGAACTCCGAGGTCTACAACTACACTCGGGGTGCTTCGGAGTGTCCATGTCTGTAAGACGGGCTGACCGGGTCACCGGAACTTGGCTTGACTGGATCAGTATCTCCGAGGGTTTCTCATTCAGGCCTCGGGACCAATCGAACCACTCAGCCGACATACAGGTTGGGTCTGGGGTTGTCAACTTGTCCTGGTTGCATGAACTTTACTACTTGGACTAATAGTCAAGATGCGTCGTAGATGAGACACTTCGTGAAAACCGTGAACATCTTTGCTATTCGCATGAATCTCCCGTTGTCATCGTCATCAGATCTATTGGGAACATGAGTATGCGCGTGTTTGATTTTAGTGAAGCTGACGAGATTTGTCTCGTTTAATCAGGTTCTAATAGTTTCCTCACATGGCAAAATATTAGGTTTGAGAACTTGCGTTTGATGTCCACACCCAGAGTTGAAGCTGCTAGAATTCTGCAAAACCGTCGGTTCTCTGGTGAAAAAGGCTCATTCACTCTTACTCGTCATTCTTCTCTAGGCTCAAGGAGTAGCATTTTCGTGAGCAAGTTCTCGGGATATTCACAGAGAGAGGAGATTGCGAAGACGACCCGAGTTGCTTTCAATCAAAATGCTTTTCATTATTCATTTGTAGACCTCTATATCATCAAATCATTCATGCGGCAGAAGACACCTTCGTCTTGGCGTCGTAGTCATCAATAACCTTGACCTTGGCCGCGGAAGCAGAGTTCTTGAAAAGTCATCGTCAGTACCGCATCGCAAAACAACTCAGGGTTTTACTCACGAGGTCGAACTCGTAACCCAGCCACTCGGTGACGAGCCTCCTGGCGAGCTCGATACCGATGACGCGCTGGCCGAGGCACAGCACCTGGGCGTTGTTGCTCTTGATGGCCCTCTCGACGGAGAAGCTGTCGTGGGCGGTCACGGCGCGGACGCCGGGGACCTTGTTGGCGGAGATGGCGACGCCGAGGCCGGTGCCGCAGATGAGGATGGCGCGGTCGACCTCGCCGCTCGCGACCTTCTCGGCGGCCGTGATGGCGTAGGTCGAGTAGGCCGTCTTGTCGGACTCGGAGGAGGGACCGACGTCGACGACGGAGGCCACGCGCGGGTCCTTCTCCAGGTCCTTGGTGATGGTGGCCTTGTAGCCGAAGCCGGCTTCGTCGCCGCCGAGAGCAATACGCAGACCAGGCATTTTTGGGGACAGGGGTTGAGAAGTGTGTGTAGGTGAAAGGGGGTATTTGGAGTGATTTTGCTGAAATGGGCTAAGAGGACGGTTGTGTTCGGTTTCGATTTGATGCTAGAGAGCCGTCCGCGGCCCTCGTCGGCAGCTTCTTCTATACGATTGCATTCTGCGGCCTACATACGCGATCGTCCATCCGACTTCTCTTGGACATGCACGATACTCGTCACGAAGCTCCATTCGGTCGCCCGATGTCGATGCTACCCATACCACGACGGGACAGGGATCACGAGTCCGCGCATCGTGGCCGGGTGGGGCGTAAGCCTGCGGGTTGACCGCGTGTCGTGGCCCGGCCTAAGCCCCGCGATTCGGCTTCATGGTTTACAAGCCACATCCATGGAGCATGGCGGGAGACGCGACGCGGGGTGGAAGCCGTCGCGGGGTCGGATGGAGGGGTTGTTCGATCGAGTCTCGAGCTCAGATTTAATGTTGACGTGCAAGGAACCGCCAGTCATATCTCGAACATTAGAAACCAACCTTGAATACTGTATCTGAGAAACGCCGTTTAGCTGTTTGTTCTGCAAGTCATCTACTACAAACGAGAGGCAATACACCTCAATTGAAACATCACAGACTCATATCATCGAGAAGCATCACAATCACATTCACAATGACGTGGGACCCGACCAAGAACAAGACCTACCAGATCCTCAAGGCCGCCGAGGAGGGCCAGTACGGCGTCGTGGCGCCCATCGCCTACAACCTCGAGAACATCCTCTCCTTCATCCGCTCCGCCGAGGCCAAGCGCAGCCCGCTCATCATCCAAGTTTTCCCCTGGGCCATCACCTTCTCCGACGGCCTCCTCGTCCACGCCGCCGCCCTCGCCGCCAAGTCCGCCTCCGTCCCCGTCGCCATCCACCTCGACCACGCCCAGGACGAGGCCATGATCCGCCACGCCGCCGACAACCTCCCCTTCGACTCCATCATGGTCGACATGAGCCACTACGAGATGGAGGAGAACCTGGCCAAGACCAAGGAGCTCGTCGCGTACTGCCACGCGAGGGGCATCGCGACCGAGGCCGAGCCCGGTCGCATTGAGGGCGGCGAGGACGGTATTGCGGACACGGCGGACCTGGAGGGCGCTTTGACGACCGAGGAGCAGGTTGAGGACTTCATTGCGACGGGTATCGACTTCTTGGCGCCTGCGTTTGGTAACGTGCATGGCGAGTACGGTGCCCGGGGCCCCGTCTTGGAGTTTGACAGGTTCGTATTTTGTTCTATTGATTTGAAATTTCATGGAATGTTTGACTTACTGGGCGATGCAGGCTAGAGAAGATCCGCGCCAAGGCTGCGGGCAGAGTTCGCATTGTGCTCCACGGAACGAACGACTTCCCCGAGGACCTGATGCAGACGTGTATTCGCGGCGGCGTCTCAAAGGTCAACGTCAATAAGCTGGTTCTGGACGACTACCTGGTCCACCTTCAGAAGAACGCCCCGACCATGGGTCTCACAACATTGCTGGAGCAGGGTGTCAAGGAGGCACAAAAGTTGACGGAGTGGCAGATGGATGTGTGCAAATCTGCCGGCAAGGCATAATTCCTGCCGCACACTTGATGTATATTGCTTTTGGGTGGGAACGAAAAAGAAAATAGATATGAATGATACCAGAATAGACATGGGGTATATGTTGTACATGCGTTGAAATCGTCAGCGGGTGGCATCCGGACTCTTGGTGTCGGCGTCCGCCCACGCGTGTCTTAAATCGTCTCGCCAGGTAGCCATCGGCGTCCACCCGACCCTTTCCTCGCTTTGCTCCATCAAGAAAAGAATCTTTTCCCTCTTCGCGGGTTCCTGAACGCAGAGGCCGGCGCCGTACAGACACTGCGCAGAAAGCACTTGACAGCCTTCGTCTTTCAGCTCCATAGCTATGCCGCAGATCATGTCGACGGCCTCTGACAAAGAGCGCTGCATCTTCAAAAACCCGTTGAATCCCGAGGGCATCGGGCTGTGAAGGAGAATGAGTATTCGCGCAAAACAGTAGGCCTGTAGCGCAACGCCAAACTCGGGTGGGTGAACCCAGAGCGGAGTGAAAACGTCGGAGGGGTCCCTCGGGGATGGAAGAGGCTTGAACTCATTGCCGAGATGCAACCTCCATCGCTCCAAGGTTGTAAGCAGCTCGTTTCCAGAACGTAATCTGTTCGCCGTGGCCGCAGGATCAGGGACTGCTGCCGCCTCGGCCATCCGGGAATCCGCACAAAAGTTTACCGCTTGCGAGAGAAGATATATGGCCTGGTGAGCGAGCTCGTGTTGGTCGAGCTCATGATACTCCTTGTATGGCGCCCAGAAGCTGAGACAACGTCTCTTCTCTCGGAAGGCGGACCAGATATCTTGCTTCAACCAACACCACCAAATAGCCTGACGGAGGCCACCGGAGCAGCCGTTGACGTCCTGAGACCGCTGGATCCAGAAGACGCCTTTGAGATGTCTTTGCCAGTTACCCCTCCCATCGGACTCGTCGAGCATCTCATAGGCCGAGATGATGATGGCCGTGGCGTTTAGTTCTTCCGAGTTGGTATAGCTGGTGTAAGCTAAAGCCTCCTGCACGTAGCGCAGGGTCTCGTAGTAGTACCGAATCCACTCGCCGTCGGAAACCTGCGCTGGACTCGCGTCGGCGGGAGCCAATCCCGAGAGCGCCCCCTCCAGCTTGGACAGATGCTTGGCCGACAGAGCCAAGATGGCATTCATGAGACCTGCATTCCGCAGGGCTAAGCGGACTGCATAAGTGGAGAAGTGATTGCCAGGATCCAAGAAATCAAGCCAGCGCGACGATCGCTCCGTGAAGTGCCGGAAGAGAACGGCCTCGCGGTTGGTCAGCTTGATGTTCCGATCGGCCTGCCAAGTCTTGCGTTCCGGGTCCGAGACCTCTCTCAGCCGAGACGAGAGTTTACTCGCGTCGGGTGGGCTATGCAGGGTCGTCGCGCGTCGTTGCTCCTCATCCTCCGGAGCAGGGCTAGGAGCGAGTGAGAAGCCGCTGTCGGCCTGAGCTGCGTCCGTGGCGAGCAGACCGAGCCACCGGGTCGATGCCAAGTCGGTGGTCCACAGCTCGGATGCGACGGTCTCGGGAGAGTAGCTGTAGACATCGCCGAGCGTGAGCCCGGCCGAAGCGGGCGGCTGGCTTACGAACGGTGCGTTGAAGTCGTCTGCCGGCTGGGACACCGGAGGCGCGGCGGGCTGGGTGACGGTGACGAGGGACGCGGGCGTCGTTGACTCAGTCACCGCCGTGGAGTCGGACGTTGCGTCATTGACGCGAGACTGGGTCTCCGCAACGCGCCGGTAACGCGTCCGCGGAGGTTCCGTGACGGAGACTGAGGGACTCGCTTGCCTGCCGGCAGCGGTGCCATCTTGCGCGATTTGAGGGAAGACACAGTGACGAGAGGAGATGCTGCATGGGCCGCAAACCGGTTGTTTCTCGTCGCACTTCTTGTGCCGCTCGCGGCAGGTCAAGCTGCAGGTCCGATGTCAGTTGGGTTGGTTCACGGATCGAGAGCCCGGATGTGGAGATGAGATGACGGGAAAGAAAACTTACCAGCCCGTCTTGGTGCGCAAGCCGCGGCCGCGGGGCTTTCTGATGCGCTTCTTTGGAGCGGAGGCTGCCGCTGCATCCCGTCTTCCGTCCATGAGGTCATGGCAGGCCAGGAAGGCAAGGCAGTTTGGTGGTGCCGACGTACTACGTACAGAAAACCCTCACAGGCTAACGATACTTGCTGTACCTGCAGATGGCCGGCATAAAGACTGCGAGACGCGGCTCCAAAAGTGCCCAACGGGGGTAGTTGTTGAGCTTCTTTGGGGCTAAAAGATGAGATTAACGAAACGAGACTTTGCGATCTACGTTTTAGTCTCCGTCAAAGTCTGGAGCTGCAAAGTCTGGGGAGCGGGGCCCCTCGTGACTTGTGACCTGGAGAGAAAAATGCGAATTCGAGGCGGTTATTTCCGTGCAAGTACAGAGCAGCGGAGCTTGACCGACGTCGTCACCAACGAGTTGGTTTGTCGGGAGTTGTCCGGCTGTTGTCGTGGTGTCAATCAATTGCGGAGTCTTTTTGATCGGAATTGCGCGGGGAAAAGCGAACCAACCCCAGAGAAGGCAGAAAACTTGGATGTCTCGTGCGGGGACAAGGGAAGGAAGGGGCTGACCGCGCCTCGGGGTCATTCCCTTTTTCCCTGCATCTTTTTTCCAATTCTTCCACATCACGAAAGTGTCCGCGAGACGCGCACTCCCAAACTGACTCGGCTGACATTACCCGCGAATTGTGGCTTGGGCAAACCAGACGCAACGTCGCAAATGGCGATGGCAATGGAGAGAATGCCATGTGCTCTCGAGGCGCGTGGGATTCGGCGACTTGCTTCGATGGATCGTGTACCGCAATGCGATCGAGACCTCGCGACGATGCTACGCGCTTCGATATCCGCACGCACGCTCTCCTTATATCCCGGAGTTGCAGCCGTTGTCGCCCGCACCACCAAGGCCCTCTGCAGCTTGTTGTAACCAGCAGTCATACTTCGAACCCTCATAATCATCATGTCGGCGACAAAGCATTACTTCCCCGATACAGCGGCCAACACGCTGGTCCCGAGAGCGCTCCGTGCTCTCGTCTCGGCTAACCCCCATCTCGTCCTCAACGAAGCCGAGCGCGTCGTCGCAAACTCTCAGAACGATGCTTCGGCCGTCAGCATCATTGGCGGAGGTGGCTCCGGTCATGAGCCGGCATGGAGCGGATTCGTCGGCGAGGGCCTCCTCTCCGCCGTCGCTTGCGGTGACATTTTTGCTTCTCCCAGCACAAAGCAGGTTCTGGAGGCTATGAGATTAGCCCCCTCAACCGCCGGCGCGATTCTTCTCATCACAAACTACACCGGTGACCGACTTCACTTCGGTCTCGCTGCCGAGAGAGCGAAAGCCTCCGGTCTTTCCAACAACGTCGTTGTTCTTCCCGCCACAGATGATGTATCGATTGGCAGGAGTAGGAGCAGCAGGGTTGGCAGGAGAGGAATGCCTGGCCACATTTTCAGTAGGTCACTCACGACGACGATCGCCAAAGTCAATTGCTGACCAGATCACAGCCATGAAGATCCTTTCCGCTGCTGCCGCCGAGAAGTACTCCTTCGAACGCTGCGTGGACATTGGCAGAGCAGTCAACGACCAGACGGTCTCAATAGGCTCTGCCCTGGACCACTGCCACGTTCCCGGCAGACAGTTTCAGTCCCTTTCCCCCGACGCCTGCGCTCTCGGCGCCGGCATCCACAACGAGCCCGCTCAACAGCTGCTGACTCCCTTCCCGTCTGTAAAGGACTTGGTCGAGAAGATGCTGAAGCTGACGTGCGATCCGACCGACCCCGAAAGGGCGTTCGTAAAGTTCGAGGCCGGCGACGAAGTTACGCTACTGATTAACAACTACGGCGGTCTCTCCGTCCTGGAGCTGGGTGCTCTGACGGACGAGGTCCAGTCACAACTGGCGTCGACATGGAACATCAAGCCATGCCGCACGCTGTCCGGCACGTTCGAGACCTCGCTCAACGCCCCAGGATTCTCCATTTCTCTGGTCAACATTTCGGCTGCAGCCCGACAGTCGAGCGCATCCGCCGCCGAGTTGCTGAACCTCCTTGACCGTCAGACGACCGCCGTCTCATGGCCGAACATCATCCGCCAGGCCGCCGATGCCAAGGCCAACGTTTCCGTCCAATCGGACTCGAAAGCGAACGAGAACATGCAGTCCGATGTCCACATCAAGGTCGACCCAGCACTGCTCGAGAAGTCCGTCAGGTCAGGTTGCGAAACCGCCATCGCCGCCGAGCCCAAGTTGACCGAGTGGGACATGGTCATGGGCGATGGCGACTGCGGTGAGGCTGTTAAGGGCCTCTGCGAATCGCTCCTCCGCAACCTTGATAACGGCGTTGCGAAGAGCGGCTCGGTGCTCGCTTTCCTCGAGTCTACAATCGGAGCTGTGGACGACATGGGAGGTACCCTAGGCGCCATCTTGGGAATTCTTCTGTCGGCTTTCTCTTCGTCTCTGAGGACTAACGCTCAAGCCGACGCCGCCGCCGCCGCTGCGCCATCTGCTGCCCTCTACGCCAAGTCTCTGGCAACAGCCGTTGAGTCGTTGAAGTCGCACACCCCGGCAAGGGAAGGCGATCGCACCGTCATGGATGTTCTTATTCCCTTCACGGACAGCTTTGCCCAGACCGCCGACTTTGCTGCTTCCGTCAAGGTCGCTGCTGAGAAGGCGGAGGCGACGAGGTATCTTAAGGCCAGGTTTGGTCGTGCTACCTACGTGGGAGATGCGGCTGGACAGGAGTTGCCTGACCCTGGCGCGTGGGCTTTGTATGAGATCTTGTTGGGCATGGCCAAGGGTCTGGGAATCTCCGTATAGAAAGGCAAAAGCACAAATAGATAATTTAAAGAATACCCAAGCGCACCTCTATTCGTTCTCTTCGCTATGCCGAGCCTTCCCTTTGTCTGTAGGCTGTCTTGACTGTGGCGCATCGACCTGGTCATCGTGTCATTGGTAGCATTATTTATGTTGGAAAACTAAGACACGTAAGGGCAAACAGAGCCGGGCAGCGCTGGAGACGTGTGAATTCAATGACTCCTGATGTTCAATTCTTAGCATCATCTATTCTGTGAAGGATTCTGCTAGCGTGGATGGAGTTCATCACTTGAGCGCCAACATCTTCCTCAGCCATTCCGACCTTACACGAGCCGCCGCCTTGGTAATCTCCGTCTCCGTTGCGTTCTCGAAACCATGGCATCCGCCTCCCCATATATGCAAATCCGCCTGAGACCCCCCTTCCCACATCTTCATCGCGTACAACACCGCCTCATCCCGAAACGGCTCCACCGAACCGGCGTCGATGAACGCCGGCGGGAGCCGCGACAGATCCGTCGCCCGGCCCGGAGAGACGTAACAACTGACATCGGCCCCGCCGGCCCGGTCTCCGAGAACGAAACCCCACGCCTTCCGGTTCTGCGTGGTGTCGTAAGATCCGTTGTCCAAATCGACACACTGCTGGGCGGAAACCGTCTCGTTCCGATCGTCGAGCATGGGGCCCGAGAGGAGCTGCGCGCACAGCTTGGGCTTCCCGCGGTCCCGTGCCATCAGGGCGGTTCCCGCCGCAAGCCCGCCGCCCGCGGAGAGCCCGGCTACCATGAGGCGGTCGCCGTCGATTCCGAGGTGGTCGAGGTGGTCGCCGACCCAGCATAGGGCGGCATAACAATCTTCTACCAGGGCCAGGTCGGCGAAGTCTGGCGCGAGACGGTAGTCGACGCTGATGATCACGGCGTCGAGGTCTTTGATCGTGTGGCTTATGGTTCCGAGTCCGTTAAAGGGATCGCCCATTATCATTGCGCCGCCGTGGAGATATAAGATGCCTGGGCGTGGCGTCTCCGACGAAAGGGAAGGCTTCAGCCGTAAAGTCACCAGAGGTATGTCACCTCTTGGGCCCGGAATTTCGAATTCTTCAATCTTTATGTCATCGTCCGAGCGGAGACTCTGTTCTATCGGTATCATCCTATTGGGTATCTCATCGTTGAATCGACGGACATCCTTCGGGGTCGCCGGAAACTCGAATTTGGGTTGGCTTGCCAGAATGGCTGCTATTGCTGGGTCAAGCGGCGGAAGCGGCATTTTGTTTCCTAGTCTTGATGTAAGGAGATGGAATGTTAGCCTTATTTCTTCTCAGAGTCAATAAAGCAAAAGCGAATGTCGTCAGGTTTATTTTGAGGCAGAGTCGTTTTGGGTTATACTCGGGCTGGATGTGTGGGCGTCGTCCCAAGTTACTCGTGCAATGACCAATCTCCCACGCATTGATCATAGCAAGACTTATTTCCACTCCGTGATCGGAAAACTCAACCATAGTAACTGAAGAATATCGAGTTGAATAGTAAAAATATCATACAAACGAAGAGCCTCTAGGCTTTCACGTACTGCTTCAAACCGGCTACTTCAATTTCGGGGGCTGGGATGTTCTTAAGGCAATCATCCTTCGTATCATTGCTGGAGAAGTGACTGGCATCGGAGTCAATGCCCGCCCTTATTATCTTTTTTGATACGATTTCTTCGGAAATATTCCTTGGTAAAAAGCAGTAACACCAAACAGATATCGTCAAGAACTCTGATTCGCCACGCGCGAGCTCAGAGTCGCATCACCCCTCATCCGAGTAGTGTTGCCCCTGGCCCTTTTCGCGACGGCATCTTTCATCACCGTTCTCTTCTTCCAACTAGAAAGGAAGTCCCAGCAACTCCGGTCCTTCTGCTTGTGTGCTCTCCGAAGTGGAGTCACCCAAGCTTCCTCGAACATCACCACCACAGCGACAGCAGAAGCTGGATGCTCTCCTTCCACGAGTTCATTTCAAATAGCTGCTTCCTCTTTCCAACCCACCAGAGTCATGACCTTTATGAATGAACATATCGGAAGAAGTTTTTGACACAGTACAAGCGTGCGTATGGCCCATGAAGAGATCACAGAGCACGCTGATCCTTGATAATATCATGACCAGTCTGAGGCCTTTCTTTTTATTGAGATAGGGGAGACGCTGGCTTTTATACTCATATGTTTTTGCATCTAAGTGGAATCGCAAGGTTATGCAGAAAAGCCTACACGAGAACTTCTGCCTTGATTTAAGCTTTATCTTGCGGCTGGCTACAGAGTCAACAGCCGCAGAGGTAGATGGCAAAACTCAAAGATCGTGGCTTTCAAGCACACCTAATCTGTATCGCACAGCCGATAAAAGTTACACCAGCACGAAGTTATGCCCCCATTTCACGGCAGTTCGTCGCGTCTTAGACGAGTCGGCTTCGACGGCGATGGTTGCAAGGGCTACTGAGCCACCTTGGGAGCCACCGCCCGCGACTATCCGGTTCCAGCAGAACGGTTCTGCTTTAAATTACCGAATTTTCAGAGGCACAAAAGGGATCAAGCATGTGTTCCTTTGCCGTACGTGTGGAAAGACCGACTGAACTGGTCCAAGGAAGTTGTGCTGCTTCAGCCCCTCCCGCGCGAAAACCAAAAGAAAGCCCTGAGGGACAATATGGAGTTTTCCGCATGTGTGTATGCAGGTCACGATGGTCCTACCAAATTTCTAATTTTCGTGTTATACGGGAAGACGCATTGGGATGGGCTTGGTGCGTGGATTGGGTTGTTAAGTTGGAAGCGAGAGGGCGTATTCCCGGTTTTGAGGAAACGGAGCTTCTCACAGCATAGGAGCCAGACCATTTCAGCCGACTTGCTAACGCACTGCAACGGACTCATCTTTTTCTTTGCATTATTCTAGTGATATCAAAACCTACGAGGCTTCATCCGGGTAGGGTTGCCAGGGATGTCAGCGAGGTAGGTAAGCTGAGTAAACTGGTTGAGAGATGTGAGCTCCCTGACTAGGTTACGTCCTTTCAAGATTCGATGATTCGTGGAGCTCCGCAATTCACCTTTCTTGTCATATCTCGATTCCTTTTTCATTTATACCGGAATTCAGATCCTGTTAGTAATATTTTGGACTACCGCACACTATTTAAACCAGGGTTTGCGTTCGCTCCGGCCGGCGCCGATCACGGCCCCACCTATCGGGCCGGGGCCGGTCCCCAAAACCAGCGGACTAGCCCTTCATAGATCTGCAAAGCCTCACCTCCAGTGTCATCAGCCACAATGCCCAAAACGTGAGATCCTATCCCTCTGTGTTCAATCTCCCATCTTGCGCCTGCATGGAGTCATTTACGGCACAAATCCCTACAGATACACGCCCGAAGTATCGACTTTCCATCAGAAGCCCTCTGCAACTTCCATCGTCGTTTCTGATGACACCGCAGACAACCGACTTGAGCATTGGTCAGTGCTGCCTTCTGGAAATGCCTTATTGTTGTCCCTCAACAAAATCCAGATATCTTGAGCGCTTGTATGCACTGAATGGCCGACAACAAGGCTCCAGATGATGCCTTCGCCTCAAGATCGCGAAGCAACCCTCTGACCAGATAACGAAGCCTCTTCTGAAATCGACCCAAACATAATAGTTAAATGCTCACGTATACTTCTTTTCACCTAAAGAATTCGGGCGGATGCTTTCCATACGTGTCGGCAGCTCATTGCTATTTTCGTCGAATGCTACTCAAAGATGAACAGCACCGCGAGCTGGGAACAGTAGGTGATTTGCTTACAAAAGTATTCTTTCGCTATTTTTCTCCTTAAAGAGCCAAAGATCAAAGTGCAAGCGATAAGATGAGTAAGATGATTTTATTCGTCCCCGACTTGCGCAGGTGGACCTGAACAGCCGTGAGCAGCATCAAGGCTCTGAATTTTCGCCCTATCTGGATCTCAGGATCTTTAGCAATTCTCGGTTCCCATTCTTATGGCCTTTTACAGGGGGTAACAGACATGCAGGAGTACAAAGGGAGCATCGGGTGTCTGTCCTGGGCGTGGCCCCCTGTGACCTGTCTCAGCCATCATCGCTGATAGGAATGCTGTATCACTGTAAGAGTCCAGGAATTTAATTGCTTCCCTGATATCCAATACAGCCCACCGCATGAGCAGCGAACGATGCGGAAAACTCATGCTGAACCGTTCCTTCAAAGGGAGAAGAGGTGACGGGCGACGAAAACGGCGATGTGGCACAAAACGATGGCGCTCCCTCGTTACCACCCTCTCAAGCTTCCTCACCCAAGCATGACTTCCTTCTTCACACAATCATATCGTTTTCCCGTCTTCTACACCGCAGCGACGAAGGCAGACGATGTTGCCAAACATCGGTCCCAATTTCAGCAGCCCTATCGTGCCGGCTGTTATATTGATTCTCATTTGGGTGCTCGCGCTATCGACAAAGGAAAACCGTGCTGTTCATGGAGGATGGGACAGTAAAGATGATGGCGATCACAGCAGTGGGAGTAGCGGGGGCTACCGGCTTCTCCATGGAATATGGGACAGCAAGAGTGATGGCAGTCACAGCAGTGGGAGCGGCAACAGTTTGTTTGCCAGTCCCTCGCCTGAATCCAAGTACGACTCTGCGGATCTCGCCTTGATGGAAACCTGTAAAAATACCAAGTGGACAGATGGACTTTGGTTGAGCTGCCACAGCGAGTGTGGCCCCAACAAGACGTCCATTTGCGGAGGACTCAATAATGCCCGAAACCGTCTGCAGACCTGTCTGCGACTGGCCATCGATATCGGCGCGGGTGTCAACTTCCCTCACGTGGTATGGAGATCATCTACAGCCCACCAGACGAGACACAGAAGCTGACAAAAGGCAGACGCAGCGCAGCGAAGGCGACTGGTTCGCGACCGACAGTGGTATCATCTGTCCCGACAAGTGGTACGATATGGAGAGGCTCAAGAAACACATGGCCGAGCGGTGTCCCAGCCTGCGCATGAACGCGTGCGCATCAGAACTGGAGGGGAACAGCACCGAACTCAACATCCCTGGCAGATACTACATGGATAAGCCGCATTTCAACGAGACATGGCGCACGCTCGTAAACGACACACTCGTCCAGAGCAACGTCTCCTTGAGCGACGTAAATCCCGAGAACCAGCTGCTCTTACGCTATCAAGACAGTCACGTTGCGTGGAGCTACCGCGACTCGCGCGAGATGACAACCATGCGCAAGGCGCTTTTCAACGCCTTACACTTCAATCGAACCCTGCTGGCCATCGGCGAACAGCTGGTTTCGTCGGAGGGTCTGAAGGGCGGCAACTTCATCGGTATACACTTGCGAGCCGAGAACGACTGGCCGCTCAAATGGGGCACGCCGGAGGTGCAAATGGAGCAGCACGCCGCCGAGGTCCGCAAGACAAACAAGGAGGCCGACACCCCTACAAAGACTGTATACGTCAGCTGTGCCGACCGCGACGTGATTCAAAGGTTTCGCGACATGATGGCCCCGGACAACTACACCGTGACGGATAAGTGGATGCTTTTCGCGGATCGGCCCGAGATGCTGGAGATTATCGGGAGTCTGCCATTCGACCAGAAAGCGATCATCGAATATGCCGTGCTGCTCAGGGGTCGTTACTTCCAAGGCAACCTGATTTCTACCATGTCATCGCTCGTGGCGTATGCGCGCACCAGGGACCAACCCGAGGAATTCTTTTCCACACATATCTACCCGAACACAATCAGATGGGGAATAGACAGGTACTACAGTGAGCCCTTCACAATGAGGGGCGATAAGCACACAAAGGAGTTTATAATCAGTGGGCAGGATATTATGGATGCTTTTCCTTAAGCATATGCCACGTTCTCACGTACCGCGGCATGTTACACCGGGAAATGTTAGACTTCAGATACTACGCAGACTGAATCGAAATGTTATGAGTAATGTGAACTGTAGGATTCAATGCAACGTTAAACCTGTCAACGGGAAATATAAGGTATGTAGCCGCCAAACATCCAATCTGGCAGGGTAGTTTATGACTTGATTCAGCGGTTCCTGACTCCCGAGATGGTCTAGAATTGGAAATCGGCAACTCCCTTCCCCGTATTGAGTTCCTCCTCCTCCGTTCTGCTTTCGCCACCAGGTACTGCCTGGAAATCTGATACAGTAGATACGTATCCCGAGTCCCAGTCACTCTGGCCACTCGATTGATCATTCATGTCCGTGACCTCCTGGCCAAAGTTCGGAACACCTCCGAAGTCTGTTGATTCTAGATAGCCTCCAGCTTCTTCTCCTGAGCATACCACCGTGTCAGATGTCAACTCGAAGAAAAGCCCGTTGAATTCAGGTAGGTCGCCCATGAGGTAGGGCTCAGGCCTGTAGGCTTGAAGGTCGTCAAACTCGCTTTGATCGCGACTGGAAGAAGGCTGGACATGTTCTTCTGGCATGGGGCTGCTTTCAGCATCTTTGCTTTCGGGTTTCTTCTCATTCTTGTCTGAGTTGGTGGATATGAAACTTTGAAACAGTGAAAGTTGGGCATCCCGCACGATGTCGACGATTTGGCTCTTGAGAGTCTCTTCTAAAGGCTCGAGAGCCTGATCGATTCTCGCCTCAAGTTCGCGCCGAACCTTTTTGGGCAGTTCTCTTCTCAAAGAATGCTCGTACCGAGTGAAAGATGATTCGTCTCCTACATGGTTTGCGTTATTCCGGAAATCAAGATCTAGAGAACCATCAGCTGAGAAGAAAATCGTTTCAAGACGTAACGAGCTCACAAGGACTGGGAATGTCGTTAGGATCAGTGTCAGGAAATAGAATGAGATACACGTCTCGCCATTTTTCGGCTTCGCTCATGTTTTTGCTCCCCTTCTTTCGGCTTCGGAGTGATTTCTCCTGGTTGTCATCGAAGCCATCTAGCTGTGGCCTGTCCCGAATTTGGCATCGTTCGTCTGCTACAAGATGATCATCCCGTAACACAGGAGTGTCAAACTGCGCATGACACCTTGGACAGGTGATTGGTAGATGGTGACATCTGTAAAGGTGTTCCCTATGCGATGTGTCAGCTGAAGGATAGCTGGTGGTCAATTAGGTACCTACTTGACACGATGAATTGTGCTCCACCCAGGCCCAGGACACGATCGCCATTTGGACGTGCAATATCGTTGCGGGCTATGTTTGAAATAGGGGCATGCCAGTCTGGAGACTTCTTCTTCGTCCAAAACGACGACACATGCTCTCTTGGGTCTCCCGCCCCCTTCAGAGTGTTCATCCTCTTGGTCGTTGTGTCGCCGCTTTCTTCCCCCTAATCTCGATTCTTTTGGCTGATCGGAATCTCTGCAAGTGGATGACCTCTCTTCAACCTTCTGTTGGGTGTGATCGTTACCACTGGGTCTTTCCCTAGACACCGAGGCTGAGAGACTTGGAGAAACCACGGAGAAGAAGTATCGCATGAGACGATCGAGTAGCACCTCTTTCTGACTTTCTCCACAAAGTAGTCGATCTATGCTAGACGGCGAGCTGTCAGAGGCGCTGCTGTTTGAGGGGCTTTCGGATTCTAAGGAAGAGTCGGTCCCTGTACCACCGTCAAACTGACTCAAGTTATCCGTGGAAAGGGGAGGCCGCGAGGAGCGAGATGCGGGGGACAGATGTATTATGGAAGATTGAATCGGGGTATCTCCTGAGGATCCATGATCCTGAAGGCCAGTCGTGTTCACGTCTTCTATTTCGTTTGGCGCAGTCTGAAGAATAAATTGGCAGTCCAGAAAATGGTTGGGTAAGGAAAAGTCCAATGACTTTGACTTTGGGGAAATCTCCGAGCCCTCTTGGGCTGATGTTGTTGGTTTAATTCGTGAGTAGGATTTGCCTGAGCGATGTATCCTCTCATGAATCGATGATGTAAGGGTTCTGGAATCGATTGTGCGCTGGGTTCTTGCCGTCGACACATGTAGTGCTGTAGTGCCGTCATTGATCTTCTCAACTCCTGCTTCAGGACGCGCTGTGGGTTCAAGCCAGGTTGGATTTGGTATCGAATCATTTGATTTGTAATACAACATTTCGCAGTCTTCTAGGAATTGTTGACCGAACTCTTGCTCGATCTCTCCCCTGATAGTAAATACACACCCGTGTTGTGTATCGTAAGTATCGTTAGTGCTACAAAGCGAAGGCATGTCGGAAGCCTCAGTGCTCCTAGAGCTACCACTGTCTGTAGCGATTCTTATGTTCTCAATTGTTCCAAGGTCGAAAGCCATTGTATTTGCATCTGGTGCATCTATCGACACCACGTCCGGTAGGTGATTTCCGCCGATAGTAGAGTCCTGAGACCTAGCGCGTGCTTGGGTGATGAAGTCTTCCAAGTTTTTTTGGTCGAAGAAATGGGCCATCTTATCGGTTCGCAAAGCGAGCTTGCGAAGGTACAACTTTGGACTGCGTTGTATTGATTTGAGGAGAACGATGAACAGGAGCTGATTAAGAACTGGCGATCTCGAATATGAAGTGTATGACCCCTATCCAATTCTCATGTTCCCGACACGATGCTCGTCCAATGTCGGTAATGCGCAGTTGCGCAGGTTCCGCCGAGAATCATGCAGGCGTGGATTGGTTACAGCAAGGCCTCCAAGGGTTACATGCGGCGCAGCATCGGGGCATTCTGAGAGACCTCTAGTAGCGGCTTTCAGAATAAAAGATCAGCTTTGCTTGAGAATTCCCCGTCACATTGGAAGAACTTGGTTCAACAGATATTTCGCCTTATTGAAATCACATATTCGCAGAGCTGGCTTCCGGCTTTCTCCATGCTTCCAATATGTTGCTCAGTTGCAGCCGGCTCATCTGCCGCCCTGGTCCGGGGTAAGCGGGAAGTAAGCGGGCTGAGAGTAAGCCAGGCATCTTTGCAGGTTCTGGATTCCCGGAGCCCGTTGTCGTTCGCCTCATTTTCTTTCATATTGCCATCGCGAACTTTGATTTGTTGATGCTGTGCAACAATATTGCGGTATATCATGTCTCAATACATCTACGCAACCAATACGAGTCTGGCGGTTAAATACCAGAAAGGCAGGGCGAAGTGTTCTCAGCCTCAATGCAACTCTTTCCTCTTTTCATCTCCGCGCAGACAATCAGGCTGCGGAAATTTCACCGGCACAGGAGTGGCCTCCGTATTTCTCGTAGAAGACGTATCCCAGAGCCTTATTTCTCCTTCGCCGTGAGTTCGCCTTCTCCTTTCCTAACTCCCAACTTTTCTAGCTTTCACAAGAAAGGTTTGAGCACCCCAAGTAAGCCGCCGCCATTATGTTCGATTTCTTGAAGAGAATAAAGAACAGAAAATCAAAGTCTAGCTACGTTTATGACACCTTTAACGAATCTGAATACATCGTGCCTGAAGCGTCATGGCAACCTGCGGGGAGGAGTAGCACCGATGTCAGCTCGACTGCCCCTTCTGAGGAGTTTAGAGGGGGCAGAAACGCCAAGTAAGCTTTCCAACCAGGTTCAAGTGATGGGCACGTGAAGCATGCTTTCAGGATAATAACCGTTTGATCTCATAGACCGACCGACGTATTCATCGCGATAATGGGGGTCACTGGTGCTGGAAAGAGTTCCTTCATATCCCTCCTCTGTAACAACAAGGCCAGAGTGGAACATAAACTGAACGCTGGTATGTTTCGAAATATTGCCTCGCACCGCTTTTTTGTTTCTTTCCCTGTGTCTTTGGCCAGGACGTTTCACCAGCAACTGACACGGGATGACTAGGTACCACCAAGGTTGAAGTCCACGCCCTTGAACTGTCGCCGGAGAGAACCATATACCTCATCGATACACCTGGATTTGATGACGTAGACAAAAGCGACGCAGATGTTCTTCGAGACATTGGAAATTGGCTTGTCGGATCGTACACCCACAAGATCAAACTACACGGCATCATTTACCTCCACCGTATCAGCGAAGCCAGAATGAAGGGCTCTGCTAAGCGAAACATTCTCATGTTCCAAGAGCTCTGCGGCGAGGATGCACTAAAGAAAGTCATTCTGGCTTCCACGATGTGGGACACGGAGCCACGTCACGTAGCAGAGGGTCGTGAAAGGCAGCTCATCGAGACTCCTCAGTGGTGGGGATGGATGATGGACAGGGGAAGTCAGGTGTATCGCCACTACAACACATCCGAGTCAGCCATGAAGATTGTGCGTGTCCTCGCTGACGGAGGCAGTAAAGTGAAGCTCGATCTACAGACCCAAATGGTAGACGAGAACTTGAGCCTCTACGAGACTACGGCGGGCAAGTCACTCAACAAAGAGCTCGATAAAGAGCGGGCCAAGTGGTCTCGAGAGCTCGCGAAGGTCGAAAAAGAGAAAGAGGAAGCTCTGAGAAATGGAAAGCAGGAGGCGGCTGATATCATGCAGGAGATGCGGATTGAGTATAGGGAGAAGCTAGCAAAGATGGAAGAAGAGAGGAAGAAACTGTTAGTCACGGCAGAGGAGATGAAGGCCGAAGCCAAAAAGAGGCAGCAAGATTTTGACGAACAGCTTCGACGGCAACAAGAGGAACGTGAGGAGAACGAGAGACAAGAACGTCAGAGACGAGAACATGAGAGGCGAGAGCATGAGAGGCGAGAAACTGAAAGGCTGGAAAGACGTAAACAAGAAGCGCGAGAGACACGAGAACAAGTCGAACGCGTGCGAGAGGAATATGAGAGAAGGGATCAAGAGAGACGGGAGCAGGAGGAAGCCAAACGCAAAGAGAAACAACGAAGAAGGGAGCAGCAGGAAGCTGAAGAACGGGAGAAGTCCAGCACGGCCTTGGTTCCATACTCGCCGCCGGCAGCTGCGACAAGAAGTCGGGACAATGTCTCCATGGTTCCGAATCCGCCACTGCCACCTGGCTACCCTCTCCCTCCCCCCAACGCTCCTTCCTACGCTTCACCTTACGCTTATCCCTACCCTCCCCCCGACGCTCCCTCCTACGCTTCTCCACCGGCCGCTCGTTTCGTTGCTTTCAGGGTGGTTGTCAGCCATTACCAACACGGTTTTACTGTGACTAGGGATGTCATGGTTTCCGGGTTCAGTACAGCAAGAACTCCATGCTATTGTTATAATTGCTGTAGAAGGCATGAAGGATACTAAACCACCTACATACTCTCGGAAAGCGAGGTTGTGCGGGTTCAGTGGATTTCTCTCTCTATCTCAGTTCTAGTTGGCTTGGTCTGATTTCGTCTTGTTATTAATTAAATCTAGTTATCTAAGTCTCATGGCTATGACATCGTCCTGGAATCAGTATGCGCCGCTTAAAGATGTCCATAACGCTGACTGCAACTACTTATTCTTGCTGGCACGGCAAGCTGGGTGTTGACCCTGATAAATTTACATGATGCTGCATACAGCTCCCGCAAGCCCTGTCGCCACTGTTACGACCAATTTCACTCGTCAGTATTTCACAAAAGTATTCAGCGTCATCAGCAGATATGGTATAGAGCACTCACCACCTGAAACAATGGACACGCCAGCTGCCTCAATGAGCTCCTTGCGCAGACTTCCACCCGACTTCTCGACCGCGGCGACGGAGTTCTGGCTGTCTTCGACTTCTTTTCGTTTCGAAACGACTGCCGTGGATTGGTTTTTTTCGGAAGCAGCATCTGATGCCAAACCGTTTAATCCCGAACTCCGCCCCATGATGATTGACTCTCGTCTTGCCAATTCTTCTTCCATTTCGTACAGCTCGTCTTGCTTTCTGGCGAGATCTTCACGGTAATACGACTCCATCTTGTCAAGTCGCTCCAACTGTCCACAGTCGTATAGTTAGTGTTTGGGCTTGTAAGAATCTTATTGGTGTATAGGAACTCCAAGAAAGAAAAGATCAACGGGATTCGTTGCCCGTTTCCAACGTGGGCGGGTAGGGAGAACCCACCAGAAGTGATTGTTCGAGGGCCGCCATCTCTTGCATATTCAAAGCCAACTTGCGATTTGCCGCAGCCACATCCGCAAGCCTTTGATCAAGATCGAGTTTGACCTCCATCAAGGCACCCACAGTATCCGAATCGTTCCGCTGGCTCGCCCGGCAGAGCTCGGCTCGGATGTCCTCGATTCGATGCTTCGTAGCCGACACGACCGTCGCCGCGGCCCCCAGCGCGATGCGCCCCGCGGCCGTCTGATCCAGTCTGAGGCGTTTATTGACGAGCTCGTGCTGTATGTCGAGAACGACGGGCGCTACCCGGGCCTGCTTGATGAGGTGGGACACGATGCGCCGGGCCGAAGCGGGGCCGCTCGGCAGGCCGTGCTCGGCGTGCCGGAAAGCCCGTGCGCCGCCGGCCGCGATGGGTCCGAAGAAGGACTCGTCCGAGACCAGCTGCCCCTCGCGCGCTTTGAGGAGGGACCTCGGCTCCGAGGAGCTGGCCCAGAAGGTGGTGGCAAGCGCGACGTTGGAGTTGGTGGTTGGGCCGCACAGGGCCTGGAACATGGCGATGGCGCGGCGGGCGGAGCCTGTGATGCGGCTGCTGGCGATTGAGTGGAGGAGCACTATGCCGTGGACATAGACGTTTCGGTGGTAGGATATGCTGAGATATGTTGCTAGGGTCTGGAGAGTATCGAAGTCAGAGACGTGAGTATCGTCGAATCTAGGGGATGTCAGAACGAATTCCCCCAACGGAGCGCTAGACGGCGATCAAATGGTCAACTTACCCAGGGGTATCTATCAGATAGACGGAACGTCCATCGACCTTACCATTGTATATGGAAATGCCGGACGTGCCTGCAATTACGGTCATTCAAAGTAACAATTTTTGGCGGGAGTGACTAACACGAAGAAAGGCCGTGCCCGACGGTAACATCTTTCCCAGTAGCCTGTGCGATGAAGGTGCTCTTCCCAGAACCTGTCATGCCCATGACCAAAATGAAGACCGCATCGTCGGAAGGCCTCTCTCTACCCGTGAACTTGAAGAAGTTTCTCTTCTGCTCATTGATCCAGTCTTCGGCAGCGATAGCCATGTTCAGCTGTCTCTGATGTCGTGCCAAGAGATGTCTGGAATTCTTTCGAGGGTGGTCCCGGGCATATACATAAGACCGGGCAGTGTCAGTGGATACTGAAATTTGACAGGCTGTTTGGTGAGTGGGGTTGAGAAAAGATCGACGAATCTGCAAAAGCCGGACAAAACCCCGGGCCCCCGGCAGCAAAGGAAGTTGGTGGGAGATGACTCTCTACACATTACTTATGAGTGGCAGAGGATACAGTGAGGCTGTATGAGTCCATGTTCTGACAGCTTAAAGCAGGTAACTTAGGTAGATTTCGACTCAGTCAAAGTCAGCGATGCAAGTTCAATCCAAAGCGCGTGGTGCAGATTGAGGCGGCGCAGCGGCGCAGTCGAGCGCCAATTGTCTCACGCTTGATACAACGGTCAGCAAGGCGGATTGAATGGATGGCTGTCAGTGCTGCCGCAGATACCATACATACAGGGCTTTACCGGGAATATTTCCACTTCGTCAAAAGCACAAGACTAATAAGTCATTTTGCAGTAGCGTCTGTGAAGAAGACAGTCACGGTAATGTCTTTGGCGCCTCACTTGCAGCGCCAGTGTCGACAACGCAGCAGCAGTGGTAAGGATGCACAACTCGAAGATTTGAACGGTTCAAATGAAATGAAGGTATCAATAGTATTTCTCCCAGTAAATCTCAACAGGATATACATATTTGTTCGATCTGTTGTTGTGACATCAAGCTCAATCGACTGCTCATCGTGGTGGCACTGAGACCGGCGTTCATCGAAAAGAGGAGCTGCTGTCCCAAAAGGGTTAGTGAGGGGCACCCCCACCAAAAATTTCATCCTCACCGACCAGGTCTGGTCATGCCGTACTGCCAGTGACATTCATTCTCACACTCACCTGAGCCAATTCGACGCAGACCCTCGCTTCAGTCGCAAGAGTGTGTCTCAAACTAGGGAACTACCAACTCATTTCTCTACAGCCACACAAGAACATCACAAGATGGGCAAGAAGAGGGAAAGAGAGGAGAAGCCTGCGGACGATGTTGCCGACAGGATGGACGAGGACAGCTCCGACGATGAGGTGAGGAACTTACCCGGATCAGTTTTTCCATATATATTCAACTAATCATATCAGGACTTTGACATCGTCAACGTCGACTTTGAGTGGTTCAACTTCGACTCCGAGATTGACTTCCAGGGCACCAAGACGCTCCTGCGCCAACTGCTCGATGTCGACTCCACGCGCTTCAACATCTCCGGCCTCGCGGACCTCATCCTGTCTCAGCCCACCATCGGCTCGACAGTCAAGGTCGACGGCAAGGAGAACGACGCCTACGCCCTCATGACGGCGCTCAACATCCAGGAGCACCGCCAGAAGCCCGAGATGGCTGAGCTGGCGAGGTACATCATCGAGAAGGCGCAGACCAACGACGCGCTCGCTCCCATCCCCACCCTCCTCAACAGCGGCGCCCAGGTCGGCCTGGTCCTCGGCGAGAGACTCATCAACATGCCTTCCGAGATCGCCCCGCCCATGTACCGCATGCTGATCGACGAGATCGAGGCCGCCGTCGAGGACAAGGAGCCGTACGAGTTCACGCACTACCTGATCCTTTCCAAGACGTACCAGGAGATCGAGTCCACGCTCACCGAGACGGAGAGGAAGGGCAAGAAGGCCAAGGCGGACGCTACCATGTGGCACTTCCATCCCGAGGACGAGGTCTTTGTCAAGCACGCGACGGCACACGGCTCCTTCTCTTACACGAATGTCGACCAGGCGACGGCGGACAGTAAGCGTGCTTTCCAGGAGATGGGTATCAAGTCGCATGGCTACTTGATTCTGATCGAGGCGAGCAAGTGGGACGGCGCGGTCAAGGCGGTGGAGCAATACCTGAGCCCGCCCCAATAGAACAAAAAAAAAGGAATAAATCATGAATCGTTTTGAGCATTTCTAAGTCTATTCTACCGGCTCAAGTCTTTGCATCAGGTACTCTACCTCAACTTCCTTGGTCAGGGGTATCACGAAATCCTTGTAGAGCGCCACGACGTGGTCGGCGTCGATCTTGGCCTGGTTCTCGGGGCCGGCGCCGATGGACGGGTCGGTGCCGTAGGTCAGGCACTTGAGGCGCAGACGCTCGAGGACCTTCTTCTCGACGGCGGCGTTGGTGATGGCGTCGGCGATGCCGTCGCGGTCCTCGGCCTTGATGAGCTTGGTGTACTTTTCCGGGTCCGACTGGAACTTGGACTCGGCGACGAACTTTCCAAAGTGTATCCTGCGGGACAGGGCCTGCAGGCAGGCGATGTCGCAGGTGGCGGAGGAGCCGTAGTTCTCCTGGGACTCGCCGCGGTCCTCTCGGCCGAAATCGGGGCAGAGTGCGGGGAGGAACGTCTCCACATAGAACTCCTTGATCTTGCTGTTGACATTGACGTCGTTGGGGTGCAGGATGCGCGGGTAGTGCAGCGGCTTGAGGATCTGCTTCTGGAGGGCTTCGGGGAAGAAGGGGTACTCGTCGGGGGACTCGTAGCGGCGGATGATGGACTGCAGCTTCTCCTGTTCGCGCAGGTACCAGTCCATGAAGCTGAGTTCGCTGTTGGGGATGTCCAATGCGCCGGGGATGTAAATGGTCTTGTTCAGGGCGAATTGGGCTCGTTCGATCAAGTGGAAGGTAATCGTGTCTTCAAGGCGACTAAATTTGGGTTTGTTAGTTGACGAAGCGCGATGTCGGTGACGAGGAGTTTGGGACGAACATCAGCTGGTAGCGGATGCGGGACAAGTCCAGCGCCTTGGAGGGGTCTGATAGGTCGATAAGAGAATCCATTTCGTCGTCAATTGACTGGAAACCAGAGGCGAAATTGTAGACGGAATTATGCGGATTATTATGTCGCAAAATTGGCGTTTGAGTGTCTGGTTGGTGTGAGAAACGCATTCGGACTGCCTTTTGCCTATCGACGTCGAGTCACAAAATCTTGGGGGTAAGATTTACAGAGGTTAACAGTAGGAGGGCGCAGCCGAGGCCGATGACGCCGGCAGCAAAAGGGGAAAGGTCAGAAAAAAAAGATCTCATCTCATCTGCCACAGCGCAAGGCTGCCAATCTCGTACCTATGTGCGGGAAAAAGGACTTGCATTGTTCAGGTGCAGGGGTTCTGGTTAGGCGGGCACCAATCAGGCCCCCTTGCTATCAATTACAGCGACCACAGGAGGAAGCCCGGACCTCCCAGTCCACTGAAAGACAGTCCACACAGCCTCGTGGTCGCTGTAAAAAAAAACCTACCTTCCGCCCGGACACCTTCGGCTGGGTACGTACCGTTATCGGGGTGACCCGTGCACCTCGGGCAAGCTCTCGCCTTCTTAGCGCATCATTCGCACAACACAACCGGGGCCGGGTCCAAGTCACAGACCTTGCTAGGATCTGTCTGGTGTGTGGATACGTATTCGACTTTGACCGAGACAACAAAACTTGACCTTGTCGGAAGCAAGACCAGAGCTGTTTCCACACAACTCTGCAACCTGCATCCCTTCTCCTTTTCTCCGACCTCCAACCCCTTGTGCCTCCATTGTCGCGCGTATCAACGGAGAATACGTACGCATGGCCGCCTCGGAGAACGACCAGTATGGCTTCAATGACGATGCCGGAGACGACCAGTCGGTCTTGTCTGTAGGTCGCTCGCGTGACATCCCGACTGTTTCGACCGGCACGGAGCATCATGGGCTGACCAGATCTTGATTACTTGCAGACGCGTGGCATAGAGGCATTCGGGCGCAAGGTCACTACCACGGCGAGCCATTTGATCGGCCCTCTTTCCGAGCAGGGGAATAACAATCACCACTACCATGGCGCTCTTGCCGAGGTCCACAAGCAGCTACGCCGCCCGACTATCCAGCGCAGCATGTTCTCCATGGCGAAGACGACACCGACCGATATGGTGCGCTCGAAGCTGTCGACGACCGAGATTCAGCACCGCGCTTTGACATATTTGCCGGATGAGCTGCTGGCAAATATTCCGGAAAACGATAATTCGTATTCGCTGTTCCAGGGCTTCAAGGCTAGCTTCCCCGAACTCTCCGAAGAGGGTAGGAAACACAGACGGAGGGTATCGAGGGGCAGGAAGCTCCTGGATGATACGGTACAAAATCACGGCACGCCACAGGCGCTGCAGAACCTCAAGAAAGATAAGGCGTCCATGATGCACGAGCTCGAAATGTTGAGTGTTCGAAAGAACATGGCTAGTAGCGAGATTCGAGACATCGACAACAAGATTGCCAACTTGCACGGCATGCGACGGATCATTCTCGATAGGGTAGCGAATCTGGAGCACGAAGAAACACTACTGGAACACGACCGTAGGTGTGCATGTTCAAGGCACGGGGGCATCGGCTAACGTATCACAGTTATGGATTGCGAAGCTCGGTTAGAGGAGGCGCAGGAACTCGTCGACGAAGCCGAATCGATCGCCATTAATACACCCACGAAAACTGAGGAGGACCTGGCCGGCGATCAAGACGAGGCCGGCTTCATGTCTCAGTCTGTCTACGAGAAGCTGCCGGCAGGCACACCAGCATCTAAAGCTAAGAAGAGGGTTATTCGCCGGAAATCTGTACCGATATTGCACGAACACTTCGAGCCGGGGACCGCCATCAGGGAAATTCGCGCACACCAGGATCAGATCACGACACTCGACTTCGACGCACCTTTTGGAACTATGGTTACTTCGGCTATGGACGACTCGATAAAAGTCTGGGATCTCAACGCCGGTCGCTGCATTGGCATGCTGGAAGGTCACACTGCGTCAGTCCGGGCCTTGCAAGTCGAGGACAACTTCTTGGTTACCGGAGGCATGGACGCTACTATCCGCTTGTGGGACTTGAGTAAAGCACACTACGACCCGCACGGCAGCCAGTACGGAAGGGACGACGACGAAGACGATATCGCTTTTGAGAATCCCGACGACAGCCCGGTTGACCCTCCTGAGGGAAGCATGAGAGACTGCCATCTGTACACTCTGCAATCCCACGTCGACGAAATTACGGCTCTCCACTTCAGAAACGATATTCTGGTTTCCGGTTCCGCAGACAAGACGCTTCGCCAATGGGATCTTGAGAAGGGCCGCTGCGTCCAGACCCTCGATGTCATGTGGGCGGCGGCTCAAGCTTCGGCTTCGTTCGGCAGCGACAGCTCCTGGAGGCAAACGAACCGGGCACCCGCGCAGCAGGCCGACTTCATCGGAGCTTTGCAGGTGTTCGAGACGGCTTTAGCCTGCGGTACGGCCGACGGCATGGTTCGTCTTTGGGATTTGCGAAGTGGTCAAGTTCACCGAAGCTTGGTGGGACACACCGGCCCGGTTACGTGCTTGCAGTTTGACGACGTTCATCTCGTCACTGGTAGCATGGACCGAAGTATCAGAGTGAGTTAACTATCCTCGCCATAAATGAATTTTGCTAACCAGAACAGATATGGGATCTCCGCACAGGATCCATCTACGATGCCTACGCATATGACAATGCCGTGACCAGCATGATGTTTGACGAGCGACGAATCGTCAGCGCCGCGGGCGAGGACGTTGTAAAGGTGTACGATAAGGTAGAAGGCCGGCAATGGGAGTGCGGCGCCGGCATCGCCGAGGCCGAGGATAACAAGACGCCTGCCATTGTAGAACGTGTACGTGTTAAGGACGGGTACCTTGTCGAGGGCCGACGAGACGGTGTTGTAGGAGTATGGACGTGTTAGATATACAGAGCCCCTTTCAGTGCAGAGCGAATCAACGCGATATGAAGGAATCCCTATCAGATGCACCGTGATGTTAAGGATCGAGTGAAGGACGCATCGCTGTTGTATCCAATTGACTTTATGCATGGACTTTGATCTTGATTCAGAGCTTGGAATGTCATGTTTTAAATCGTGGACTAAGAGTGACAGGAGTCGTTGTCTGAACTGTTCATCTTATCTCGCGAGGGCGCAGTGAGGCGGCATCTTCAGACGGACCCGCTCCGTGCGACTCCAACTTTTGACATCTCACTTCATTCACGCACTCATTATTCAACCACATATCTCACCTCACCAAATCATTCCAAAATAAGCGTAACAAACACAACATTCTCTATCCGGTTTTTAGAAAACGTTACTAACTACTGTCCAGATGTCAACACTCCACAACCCAGCCCTCATTCAAGAATGCAGAGACCTACTCGCCGACATACACGCAGACGCACACTTCACCCCGTCATCCACCCCTTCGCCAACCCGCCCGAAAGAGTGGGAAGCAAACGGCCTCGACGCTCTACCAGATGACGTCCTCAAGCACCTGAGGGACCTGGCGTCTGATGCTCTTTCGGCACCATCGCCTAAGGCCACGACGATCCAGCTCATCGACAAGGAACTCGAAACGACGTACAGGAAATTCTACGAGTTCGTCTACGCGGATCTGCCATATTGCTGGAGACTTCTCTACACGGACCTAGCCCTTCTCAAATTCTCGCTCCTCGTTGTGGACAACGCCGCACACGCAGATGAAGAGAACGATGACGAAGATGAGCTCCTCTCATCCCTCGTCGCGATCCTAGACAAAGCCCTCATCCTCGCCGGCGGCGCAGGCCGCGCGCGCGGCCGCAAGACCATCACGAACCTCCTCACCCACCTCGAACCCTCCTCCCCCAAACTCACGCATCGCTTCCCGCACACCTTTCCCACCGCCAGGACCTTCACGCCGCCCGTGACGAGCCCCATCAGGACCGTGGAAAACATGTCGATGGCGGAGTTCCAGCGGTACCTCGACGACAGCAACGGCAGCCCGGAGCCGCTGGTTCTCAGGGGTCTGATGGGCGACTGGCCGGCGCGCTCGACGAGGCCGTGGGACGCGCCGGGGCACCTCATGAGCAGGACGTGCGACGGGCGCAGGCTGGTCCCCGTGGAGGTGGGACGGAGTTACGTGGATGAGGGGTGGACGCAGGAGTTGATTTCCTTCCGGGAGCTGTTATCTCGGATCATCGACGCTTCTTCTGCTTCGGAAGGAACAAATGGAAAAGAACGAAACAAGACAACATACCTGGCCCAGCACGAACTCCTCTCCCAGCTCCCCCACCTCCAAAACGACATCCTCACCCCGGACCACGCCTTCACCGCCCCGCCCCCTCACCCCCTCGACCCGTCCAAGAACAAACCCGAGCTCGACCTCCCGCTCGTCAACGCCTGGCTCGGGCCCGCGGGGACCATCACCCCGCTCCACACGGACGGGTACCATAACCTGCTCTGCCAGGTCGTCGGGGCCAAGTACCTGCGGCTGTACGCCCCGCGCGACTCCGAGGCGCTGTGTCCGCGGGTCGACGGCGACGGCGACGGTGACGCCGTGGATATGTCGAACACGAGCGCGTTCGACGTCGGGGCCGTGGAGGGCTGGGACGCGGACGGGGAGGAGGAGGAGAGGGACCCGATCGAGCTGGAGGAGTTCCGCGGGCTGAGGCACTGGGATTGCGTGCTCGAGGCCGGGGACGTGTTGTATATCCCCATGGGATGGTGGCATTATGTCAGGAGCTTGAGCGTGAGTTTTAGTGTGAGTTTTTGGTGGAACGGGGATCACTTTGTCACAGGGGATGAGTGAGGTGAGTAGGGGTTGATATCATTGATTGTTTTCTCGAGGTAGAATAAGATACCCCCAGCTTGAAAACCTATGTACACGCTTTTCCGGTTTTCGCTCATACCACGTTGAAAGAATTCGTAAAACATGGACGACGCTCAGTTGCCCCCGCCGGCCGTCTCCTCCGCCTCGGGGACGGCCTCGGCAGATCCGCCCTGCGCCTGCCGTCGCGCCTTGGCGCCCGCCTTGAGCTTGTCCCACTTGTCGCGGTACTTCTCCAGCGTGCGGGCCATGGTCCTGTTCTCCTTCTCGAGGGCCTCCATGCGCTGGATGGCGAGGGTGAGCTGTTCCTCGAGGTCCTTGTTCCGCGAGCGCAGGACGGCGTCGCCCGCCGGTGTGCCGCCGCTGCTGGGGGTGACGGGCGAGCCGGGCCTCCTGAGGCGCATGCTCTCCGCCAGGGCGAGGCTAGAGCTCTGGGCGCTGGCCTCGAAGGCGTGGAGGCGCTTGCTAAGCTTGTCCAGCATGTCCTTGAGGCCCTTGTTCTCGAGGTAGAGCTCCTCGACCGTGTTGGAGAGGTCGCGCTCGGTGCGGGACTTGGCGCCGCCGCCGCCGACGCGGCGTTTCGCGCCGGGGGAGAGCTGGGTCTCACGGGCGTCTACGAAGTCATCTTCGTCATCCTCGATGAGGCTGGAGCCGTGGAGGGAGGCCTCGAGGCGGCGCTTCTCCTTGTCGGCGAAGTTGAGGATGTTGGCGTAAGAGACGGTGTGGCCGCTCGTCGGGACGACGTAGAAGGAGTCGCTGGGGTTGTGTGCTGAGATGGCGCGGAGGGTCGCGCGGGAGTAGATTTTGGACAGGTCCGGTTCGGCGGGCGCTGCTGGGGACTTGAGCCTGTTGCGTTTCGGCGGTGCTGGTTCTGGGGCTTCGACGGGTTCCGGGGTGGAAGGTTCCTCGGCGACGAGAGGCAGACCGGCGAAGGCCAGGGGCGCGGAGAGCCGGTTGAGGAGGCTGCCGAAGGTGTTGTAGAATCGCGAGTATCCGTCATCGCTGGCCGGAGACATGGCCTCCTCTGATTTCTTCGCCTCATCCCTCCGCTGCGATTCGGCGTGCGTGGGCGGGATCCATGCCGGCTTGCCTGACTGATCCAAGACGTTCTGCATCCTGGCCCTCGAGCCCTCCCGGCGCGCCTGGACCTCCATGTTGCCCGGCGCCTGGTCGTTCGTGACGCTCGGCGGGATGGGCTGGCTCCTGTTCCTGCCGGACCTGATGCCGCGCGCCGAGGCGAGGTTGCTCGCGATGGACGAGGTCATCTCGCGGCTGGGATACCGACGCTGCTGCGTCAGGGACGGGATGGCCTTGGCCGCGGCGACGGGGCTGCCGGCCCCGGCCGTCTCGGGCTTTGCGCGCCCATCGTCGGATGCGGAGATGTTGTTCGTCTCGGGGGACTGCGACTCGGACTTTTCGTCGATGGTGTCGGGGTTGGAGGTCTGGCTTGAGCGGCGGTCGAGGGGGAGCTTGAGGAGCTCGGAGAGTTGCTTGTGGTGCTGTTCTAGGAGTTTGAGTGTGCGCAGGGCCTCGAGGCTGTCTGTCGCGCGGGCGGCGTTGGCGAATTCGCCGGCGGCGAGGGCATGTTCGTTGATTGCGACGGTCGTCTCGGACTGGTGGGTTGCGTTGGAGGCGGCTTTGGCGTGGTCATGCGCCTTGGGTGAGAGGGAAAGTTAGGATGCTGCGGGAGAGACATATGACGATGCGACAGGCGGGCATACCTTTACAAGAGGCGACTCGTCCATGCTTGAAGCCGCGGCGATGTATGTGGGCTGCCGAAGGTGGTCTCTACGGATGATGTCGGACGGCTTGATCGGGATGGTGCAACTACTTTTTTTGCACAGCGTCGCATTCACGAGACTCTGAAATCGAAGGTCACGCGCCTGCCACGGGAGGATCTAAAACGGTGGCAGGGGAGATGGATGGGCCGATGGCGGGACAGCTCTGGTAGGCGGTTGGGTTCCTACAAGCGGCGGGCTGGGATGTTCGATGGTGACTGTCACTGATGGGCAGGTGGTTGGTGGTTGCGGTCGCGGAAGTTTTCCCCAGAGTTTCGCTAAGAGCTTCCCCCGCTTGTTCTGTCTTCCAGCGAGGCGGGTGGCAAAGGGGGCCTGGAGCGGTCTGCTAAGGACGGGAGTATGAGTACGTAATCTTCGTCAAAGCGCGTCACTCCCAATGACGAGCAGCCTTTTTCACCCAACCCACGTCACCAGCATGCTCAGAGTCAATTCCGATCGGTGACATTGGGCGAGATGCAGTCTGAGCCAAACCGTTGATCTTGTGCAACGAGAGTCATTACGAAACTAAAGGATATTCAGAATTCTACTCGCTAGAGCCGGCACCTTCGATCTCCGGAAGTCAGGGACAGACGCTGGCGGATGCCTTCATGCGTACCGCTGTGGTGGTTCAGGGTTTCTGTCTTTAACTGGCATGTGTCGACTGTTCTCCGGTCTTCTTGGCCAGGCAGATAGAAAAGTCCAACTCTGAATGCCATCAGTTGTCGGAGCACAACACAGCACTGTCTCACTCGATAGGAATTGTGGCGGGATGACGGAAGATGCGTTCCAAACGGCCAAGAGAAACATGGCAGGATCAGGAACACAAACTGCGCCCTGTCGGGCGGCGGACCCAAAGCACCAAGCACCAAGGATGCAAGCATTGTCCAATGCCCAACAGCGCGGCGTCTGGATCGCCATGTCGCTGTAGGAACTGGCCTATCACGGGAAACCGTTCTGGTGGCCTGCCCAAGACAACATTTACGTAGTTCACACTTGCAGCCCCCCTGACGTCGTTTATGGGTTCGTTGGCTTGCAGGTGATCCAAACGGGCAACCCACCAGCCACTGTAGCCCCCGATCGGGCCAGCCATCGAAACCTTCTTGGGGATTTCCATCTGCCAGACGTGCATCCATCGGGGCGGCAAGACGGACGACGAGATGGCCAGTAGGGATAACGTGGCGAGGTGGGATGAGGGCTGTACGATAGGCTCCGAAGCTGCCGCAAACGGTACCGTACCCTTTGCTCCTGAATCAATAGATCATGTAGATGCAGGGCGAATTCTCGGGTAGGATGGAGTTGCCTGGCGAGGGAGGTGAGATTTACGATCCGGGCCAAGACGGAGGCGGGCCGAATACATGATCTTGTTAGGGACGCTGGACGAGAGAAAAGTCGCCGCGGCCTCAAAGGAGCGAGATATCTGGATTGAATGTTTGCCTGCCCATGCGAGTTCAAGGGGGAAAAGGTGGAATTCTACGCAGCCGCAGTCGCATTCTGATCCACGCAAGCGAAGGAAGCCATCGAAAACAAAAATAGCAGCGTCGACCTGGGGGAAGCAAATATTGCAACCTCGCCGACCCATCTAGGCCGCTGCATTTGGCGTGGGTTGACGGGTCCAGATTCCCAGTTCTTCAGGATTCCAGGCCGCTCGTAATAACGGGCCATCTCAGGGCTGGACGTGAGGCTGCAAATCCAGACGAATTACTCGTAACATTATTCCGGCGGGTGCAACGGGCGGCACTACCTAGGTAGGTATTTCACAACACCACCAAAGCCGTTACAACTCAATCGTGTATGCAAAACCTTGGAATGGAAGCTTTACGATGTAAGAGGGGATGTATGGGGCACTAACAAGAATGGGTACCTGCCTCTCGTGATCACCTAGGTACGGTAGGTTGTGCTTGGGGCCTCCCATTTCGGGCCAAGAGGGATTCTCCCGTTTACCCCGGCCCAGCACGCCCAGCCTGTACAAGCTATTTGCCTCAAGTGACGATGACGCTGCTGGGAGCCGAATTGAGCTCCGTCTTGGGTTGGTCAACTTTCACCAGATACCTTTCGGCACGCTGGGCTGGGCACGCTGCTGAGGTGGGCAGGTCGCAAGCGAGCCAAAGGTGGGACTGACCTACCTACCTTGCATACCAACCTGGAGTACTGGTACTGCAATTATTAGTTCGTCTCCGAGGTCATATTGACGAAGTCAGTCAGTCGCCTTTCTGCTTCTTTTTTCAGTGACGTGAAAACAACCCATGCAACATCCCGCGGCTTTGCAAGGAAAACGACATTTCTGACCTCAAATCAAACACCAAACAAAGACCTCCCTGAACCCCTACCGAACCTCTCCTTCTCGACCTTATTAATTTCCTGGACCTTATTTCCCTGCCGCCTATCCCCTCGGAACATGATCTTCGCGCCCACTTCTCGGGTCCAATGCGCGTATTCCTCCTGAGTCCTGGACCACGTACCTGACAGCTTGCACACTGGAACCCGCATATCCTCGCAACGAGTACGACATTACGGTATTTACGAGCCCAGCAAACAACTGGAGCCTGGCATACCCGCCGCCCGCCAACCGCCAACCGCCAACCCAGCCAGCCACGATGGACCGGGACAGCACCGCGGAGAGTGGAGGAGGAGGAGGAGGGCTGGCGAAGCTGCTTCCAAAATCCATCGCAGCCAAGCGCCGCCGCAGGAAGCAGGAAGCGCAAGAAGAAGAGGCTGCCGCAGCGACGGCGGCATTACTATTGGGAGTCAAGGGAGAAGATGTCACGGCCCCGGCCGACGAACACTCAATTTCGCATGCACAGGCGCCGCTAAAGGACGGCGACGACGTCAGCCAGTTCTCCAGCTTCTCCAGCAGACGCGACAGCGGTTCCTACGTGGGATTCCATGACACGGACAGCCTCGCAAGAGAGAGCAGAGACACCACAAGGGAGAGCTCGACAAGCATACCCGACCCGGACTACGAGTACCACGATCCTCGCGACTACGCGCCGGGCGCCCCAGACTACGACGGTGCCGAAGCCACTGGCATGGTATCGCTGGACAGTTATGAGGAAAAGTGAGTGCATTGGCGTTTCTTCTTTTTCCTGCTTGTCAATGTCAAGTTTCTGTTTCTTCAACGTGGTCAGTCTCGTCTCAGTCCGAGTCTCACTCTTGGCAGCCGTTGCTTGTCTACATTGCTTATCTCTCTCTCCGGATACTCTGTACTTCACATTTGCACTTTATCCCAAATCACCCATTCCCTGTCGAATTCATCTGCACCGGTCCCCTTTTGCATGCATCCGAGCGCACTGATGCCGCAATTCATCTGCCTCGCAAGGCCACGTCCCTCGCGTGGCGCACTCCCAAAAGTTGTCGTTGGAGGCTCCATCTCATGACGAGGCGGATTGCTACGCTGTTCCGGCTCGCTGGACAAACCTAGCACATCACGCCGCTCCCTATTCCCCCTACTAGGTTCCTCCGCACCTTACCCTGCGCAGAATGGCCAAGGCAGGGAATTAACAAGGGGAGCAACAAGCACCAGATTTGGGGGCGCCATCCCGGGTCTGACAGTCTGACTGGCCCGGGGTTCTTTGAGCTCTGAGGGGCTGAAGTGACCGCCGCCTACGAATACGCTCCTCTCTAGTTCTGGTGCTGGGTCTCAGCTCCTCTTCATCCACTCTCTGCGGCAATCGCCGTATGACGCTGCCTGGGGTCCCTTCAGTACCTGGTAGCCTACAATCTCATTCTCGGGGTTCCTGACCACTGTTCCATTTCCCATTTCAAGCGAGGAACAGAACACAGGGTCGTCCATGTTTCTCCTGCCTCCTTCGTTTCGCATCTGACCTTAACCATCTCGATCCTACCTATCCTCCTCGACATCTCCAACTAACTCAACCTTCTTACCTGTCTAGATCCTCCCGCCCAAATGCTATCTCGACCCATCCTTCGCAAATAGGTTACTTGACAACTTCTTCCCCGATCGTTCAGGCAACTCACTTGCCTGAACCCCAAATCCAGATACTGGACGAACAACTTACCGAGATCGCCTCGGCGCGATCCACATCCCACTCAGCCAAGCGGACGCAATCGGCCGAGTCGTCCACGGATTCTTCTTTGCGCTCCAAACGCAGCCTGACTAGTCTTGTCCCTCCCAAGAAAAACACCACTCGTTCGCCCTCCCCCGTCGGCCGTCTTAGGGGGGTTTTCAAGTCTAAAAAAACCCCGAGTGCTACCACCAGTCCGGAACGCAGCGTCGCTGGTGACGACACCGACACCGACCGAGACATACGCGGAGTAGCCTACCGAGGCAGGGCTGCAGCTTCAACATCTGACCTCACCACCTCCTCAAAGCATTTCGACCTACACGACGCGCCACCAGTCCCACCGCTCCCGACTGTTACGGCACCACAACCCAATCCGACAAACAACACGAATGCGTCCTCTCGTGTAACAACCTCTCATTCCCCGGAGCGACGTCGCTCGAGAGCTTCCACCAACAACTCCACCAAAATCGACACTTCATTCGTTCCCTCCACCCCGCCCAACCAAGAGAAAGACACTCCCGTCATCGTCAACACCCCTCCGACCCCGACAGACCACAACGCTCCCTCCGCACATTCCTCGCCTGAGCCCGGTTCGCAGTCCGCATCCGCCGTTGATGCAGCTACGAGCACTTCGGCCAACACGAATGGTGGTTCCCCCCAGGGTAGTATGATTGCTCACCGAAGGGGCAGATCTGGATCAGGCAGTATAGGGCCTAGCAAGCTCTCCAACATCACAAACGCTCCTTTGACACCCATCCCCGACACCTCCGCAAGTAACCCAGGTACCCCGGCACCGGGAGGCGGCTTCTTCTCGTCCGTTTTCTCCGCCGCGCAGAACGCCGCAACACAACTCAGCAGCACCATCCAAAACACAAGCATTGGACCAACACCTCCCAAAAACAAGACTACCAATAGACCACCCGACATCAAGATCGAAGACCATCCCGAGGTCGAGCCACCTCTTCCCTCCGTGACTGGATCCACAATGGAGAAGGAACCTGCAGTCAAGACTATTGGCACGGGAGAGCTAAGCCTCAGCCAGCTGGGGATAACAGATACAGGAAGCGCCGCCGGGACCCCTTTGACCGCGAAGTTCCCGGATACCGTCGACTCCCGTTCTAGATCCGAATCCGCCCCCACCGATGCCGCATACGCAGCCGCGACCCGCGACCTTGGACCGGACGACGGCCGGCAGACCACGAGACCCCAATCGCTGTACGATCCCGGAAGCGGAGGCGACCGCACACCGCCGTCGAGTAGCATAAACGAGGACAAGAATTCTGGCATCCACCGAAGCGGAAGCATCCGAAGCGCCATTGGACGCCACCGCAAACGAGGAAGTTCTGCCGTCTCTGGAGGTACGGCCACTACTATTGGTGCTGCGATTGCTGCGGCTAACGCGTCTGTCGCCCATCCTCAAGCCAACGCAAGCGTCCCGAAACTTACTGGATTCGCCGTTGCGAGCAAGAAGCGCAACCGCGACTTCCACACCTTGTTCAAGAGCGTGCCGGATGATGATTACCTTATAGAAGACTACAGCTGTGCGTTGCAGCGCGAAATCTTGGCGCACGGCCGACTCTACGTCTCCGAAGGCCACCTGTGCTTCAGCAGCAACATCCTCGGCTGGACGACGACGCTCGTCATGAGCTTTGACGAAATCGTGAGCGTCGAGAAGCGGAGCACGGCCCTGGTTTTCAAAAACGGACTGATGATAACGACACTGCATGCGAAACACGTCTTTGCCAGTTTCACGAGCCGGGACTCCACCTATGACCTAATCGTCAACATTTGGAAACTGGGTCATCCGACCTTGAAGAGCTCCTTAAACGGAGTGCAGCTGGAGGGTACGGGTGGTGATAAAACGGAGAAGGTTGACGCGGATGCAGTGGCCCCAGAAGTTGATGAAGCGAGCTTGTCAGACGGCACCGAGGAAGACAGCGAATCGGGCGACGATGACGACGTCTACGACGAGGACGACGACAACGAAGATCTCCAGGAAATAACACAACCAACCGACATGAATCCCGAACCCGAGGTCGAGAAGACCGTCTCACGGAAGGTCTCTGGCGCCGGCGCCAACGGCGGTGTCGCCGATGTCGTCAAGGACGCTGTTGGCACACCCGCTGGCGCGAAGGACTATCCTGGCCCGGCGACCCACGCGCCGACGGATTGCGGTGACTCGGGCACCCATTACGAGAAGGTCGTTGGAGACGATGTCATTCCTGCGCCCATGGGCAAGGTCTACGATCTGCTCTTCGGCCCTGCATCGGTCACATGGATGTCTAAGTGGCTCACCGTGGAGGCCAAGTGCACCGATCTGCAGATGGAAGACAAGAAGGGTCTGTCGCCTGACAACAAGTCGCGCTTTTTCAGCTACATCAAGCCTCTGAACGGCCCTATTGGCCCGAAACAGACAAAGTGCCTCGTCACGGAAACGTTGGATAACTTCGACCTCGAGAAGGCGATCAACTTTAACGTCACTACTCAGACGCCAGATGTTCCCAGCGGTAACATCTTCAGCGTCAGGACAAAATACTGCTTGTCATGGGCGGAGAACAACCAAACCCGGGTCCAGACCAACTGCACAGTTGAGTGGACGGGCAAGAGTTGGTTGAAGGGTATGTGTTACGTCTCTTTTCAGATGAAACTTTTTTAACATTTCACAGGCCCCATTGAAAAGGGAGCAAACGAAGGTCAGGCACAGTACTTCAAAGATCTCTTCGCCAGCTTGAAGTCCGCCGTATCGACAAAATCCCGCGCAGGAGGCGCGGCCGGCGCCGCCTCCAAGGGCAGGAAGAAGGGCAAGAAGGGCAAGGCCACCGGCTCGTCAACGGACGTCGAGGACGAGCCCGCCCGCGCGAGACACGTCCCCAAGACGGACTGGGGCCCGTTGGAGCCCGTGCGCGGCATTCTGGAGCCGATCCTCGACATCGCCAAGCCCCTCATGACCGGCAACATGATGTACGGCCTCCTGGTTGGTCTCCTGGTCGCGACGTGGTTCGGCTTCGGCCTACCGGGGCGGCAGTCGTCCAGCGACCTCCGCATGTACGGATACCCCGACCGCCTCGCCGCGTACGACGAGATGTGGCGCCGCGAGGAGAGCGAGCTGTGGGAGTGGCTTGAGGAGCGCGTCGGCCTCGAGCGGCTGCACGACCCCAACATGTCGACGCGCAAGAGGGCGATGGAGCCCACGACGGCCGAGGAGAAGTTGAGGGAAGACCGCATGGACGAGCGGGAGATCGAGGAGGCGATCAAGGTCACGGAGGAGAAGCTCAAGGTGTTGAAGGGGGTCATGGATAAGAAGAAGACCATCACCTGAGGAAGAAGACGAAACCAAAGAAAAAAGAGGGAAATACCCCATAGGGAAAAAACGGACGGGCGGTACAAAACCGGTTCAAAGTCAGGTACGACACTACACACCGTGTTATCATTCTTCTATTTTGTCATTGTTGTAGCATATTCATTAGCGTCGCCAACGAGCAATCAGGGCTTGAGTGGATTAGCATATCCGATTTCAGTTTGTATCACCATCTTTTGGCCCTTGAACTGCAATTCGCGAGTGACGGAACGTATCGCATTCCAAATGGCCAAGTCGCCTCCTGGCCGGGATGCTTCTTACCGCGCCAGGTTCATCATAGTTAGGTCACAGGTCGAATGAGCAGGTGATTCTATCAAAGCAAGTCCTTATTCCATTGGCAAACATCTATGGAGTTACCTATCCTCAATTTTCATAGACGGCTTCCATTTCCTAGTCATTTTCAACCGCCATATTCAGCAAATCCGTCTTCCCTCCAAATGCTGTAGACTCATACACCAGACCGTAACGAATGCCACGCCGTCCCTTGAACATCAGTCGTTACCGACAAAAGAATCTATGTCCCGCCGCCACCTTGTCAGCATATCAAACGTGGATGCCGTAGCTCAACTCTTTCATCGCGGTTCTGAGAAGCTCGATGTCTTGGGTCAGCTGCTCGCGGGCTTCCCTAGTGTTCGCGTCTTCTCCCGCGATGGCGCGGAGCTGAGCATCGTCCAGGCCCATGATCAGGTCGGGGCAGAAGATCTTGAGGGGTCCGTCCTTGGCGTCCAGGAGAAAGTGGAAGATGACCTGTTGGCACATGACGTCAATGAAACGCTTGCGCGCGACTTTGTAGTAGCTGTGCAGGATGTCGTGGATGTCGACGCGGACTTGCTCGGCGTTGGACCGGTCTTGCGTGAGCTTGGAGAGCATCTCCTCCGTGACCCACCAACCCGCGGAGTCGGTGTCATCGAGGCTGGATTCCTTCTGGCCGGCGACTTTCTGTAGCGTCTGCTTGAGCCTACCAGCCTGGGCAACTTGGAGGTTACTGTTGAAGTAATGGTTGAGTGTGTAAGGCTGTCCGTTGATCTCAACATCGAGAAGGAACACGGCATGGTCCATGGCCCTTTGGTAAGCAGCTCGCAGCTTCTGCTTCAAAAGAATGTTGAAAACTTTGCTTCGGAGGTTGGCATCGGGAAACTTGATGACGAGCAAACGGCCGATGAAGATATGAACCAGAATGATGGCCCGGCTGGTTTGTTGAAGAATCAACGGTGCCCATTTCTTGGCTTGCTCTCTGAAAACCTCGCCCAGGACAGAGCTACTAAACTGTAAGAAGCATCAGTACTGTGGAACTATAGTGGGCAGCTGTAATGACTGGGAAATCAAATGACAGCAAAGGCAGATGACAAGGGGTATAGACAGATCTCACCGTTCCAAGCTCGGGACCTCGAGTCCTCTTGAAAGCCATCTCTATCTGGGCGGTCAGCGAATCTGCCCGAGGTGCCGGGCAGTCGAAGTCAAGATCTCTCAGTATTCCATGCAGGTCGTCAATCACGCCCTCCATCTCGGGACCATGGTCTTCGGACAGAGTAAGCAGAACAGGAGGGGTGTCTTGAATCTTTTTCTGGGCAGTACCCTCGAAAAGACGAGTATGGCCCCATTTCTCGAAGGTATCACTGAAGATCTCTTGAAGGGCCACGACGTTGGTGACAAGACGAAGCTGTTGATGCTGGTCGAAAATCTCCATACCACTGTAGTGACCGTCACGCGCACGGCGGGCAATGTCCTGGAAGTCCGTGCTCAACTGTCCCAAGTATCGTCGCTGGTTCTCAGGACGGTCCCTCGGCGGGCCCATCGCCTCAAGGGCGTTGAAGGCACTGAACAGGTTACGCTCGACTTCAGCCGCGACGTTCTTGAATTCCTTCTTCGATATCTCTCTGAGAAGGGTGCTAAGACGGACACGAAGGTTGTCGACGCCAATTCTCTTGGTAGTCCGAAGCCTCGACCAAGGAGTCGTAGAGAAGAAGTTCTTCTCGGATGCGTTTCTGTCTCCGAGCGTGGAGTTGTTGTCATCTGCGCTGCGATTCTTCACGACGCAGTATCCGAGACGCAGAGGAAATCTCTTTCCCTCGATGAGTTCGCAGACGATTTGCTGCGTAGCCCTCTCCGTGGCAAGATCAGGCTTTGTGAGGACACCCATCGTGCGAACTCCCTCAGGGTCGAACTTTTTGGCCAAGGTAAGAACCTCCTGGGTGGCAATATCGACATTGCAAGGAACAACAGCGAGGATGATAGCTCTCGAGCTGCTGACGTAGCTTTTGACCATCTTGTTAACCAGTTCGATATCGCTGGCGGTGGTCCAGCCGGTGGTGGCCGTACGAAAGATGCCGGGAACGTCGATAACCGTCAGGTGTTGTTGCTATTTATCCTATCAGTCAAAAGAACAACGATGTTAATGATGAAAATGCTCACGGTGGGTCCACTGATCTCGATCTTGAGGGTGTCCTCCGAAAACGTTGACATGGCATCGAAGCTGCTGGTAGTTGGAGCCTCGCGAATCTTCAGAATCTTGTTTGCCTAGCATATGACCACAATTAGAATGCATCCCATTGATTTGTTGGATGTAAGAAATTACCTCACGGAAGACAGTGGCAAGAGCCAGTGCCTCCATGCGCGGGGTTCTCTTGAACTGCTCCAGCTCCGCCCTGCGAGAGCCATCCGAGTTGGGAGACGGGATGATGGTGATGGTGACACCCTCGACGTCATCTCGTCGACAAGTTATCTGCGTAGCATAGCGCGTGCAGAGCTCCGGAGCGCGAGGGAAGGCGAATCCAGTCACGCTCTCCAAAACCGAGCTCTTGCCGGACGACTGGTCACCAACCACGACCAGCTGAGGAAGGGCGACGAGATTCGACAAGCCAAGCTCTCTCAGCTTGTCGATGGTGCGAGCGTACACATCGTCGGCGAGCGAGAAGCTGGCTTCGGTGTGATTGTCGTCTGTCATTGCCGCTGCTTCTCACGGCCGAAACAGGATCAGGACAACAGTTTGATAGGAAGGGGTAAGACGCTGGTATCGATGCTGGTCAGACAGGTGGAGGAAAGAAGAACTCAAAAAAGACGAAGGCTTCGTGGCAACAGAAGCGGTGATGCCGGAAGTGACGAGGGTTGATGTCTTCCTTCTGACGCAGGTGGCCAGGGAAATAAATGGTAGAAGACAGGTGTGAGGGCAGGAAGGTTGCTGTTCTACGAATATTGGAAGGTGCCGACCACACGTGACGCGGGCGGCAAGAAGAGAGGAAGAGCGAAGTAAAGGCAGGAAGGGAAGGAAGGTGCTCGTCCCCAACAACAAACGGGAGGCTTGGCACCAGAAAGGGGCCGTGGATTATCGTGAGATCGTGTTAAAGAGAGGAAGCGAAAACAGGGCTAAAGACACGGATGAAGGTAGTTGAGAGTATCAATTACTATCAGTTTCAAAGCAGTCCTTTGAGAATTATGTTTACTAACATGAAGATTGTTTCAACTGCGCTGAATATCAACATAAAGAATATCCAGAGTAAGTTGCTATGGTTCCCGTCAGCTTCGTGTATTCGATGCTGCGTCTGTTTGTGCAGCGCCATGGTATACTTCCACGGCTGTACCAACGCCCTCATCTACGAATCCTCAACCATTTTCTCCTCGGCCTTCTCATTTGGCACCTCTGCACCAGCCTCTTCCAAGACGCCAGTGCTCCTCGTCACCGTCAACACCGTAGGTAACGCCAGAAGCAACGAACCGATGCTCAGACCCCAGTTCATAGCAAGCTGGGTCATCGCGCTGGTGTGAATGGCATTGATCCTCCACGCCATCGCCCCTCCCGCTGCCTGAAATGCCTTGTAAGCGCCGACCAGAACGGCCGCTCTGCCAGGCGAGTTGGACTGGGTCCCCATGAGCCAGTAGCAGTACGACTGCCAGAGAGAATCATACGCTCCGTAGAAGATGTACAGGAAGATCGGTCCCGTAGAGATAGAGCCCTGCGTGTAATCGATATCCTGAATGAGGCCCTGGGCGTGGCGAGCATCTTGCCATATCTGAAACTGGTAGCCGCCGCCCCAGATCGCCATGCCGGTAACGAACAGCACTACCCAGCCCAACCGGGCACGTCCCGGGCGCTCCAGCATGGGGAGGTCGAGGAGGACACCGATGACGAGACCGCCGACCATCTGCGCCATCCAGTAGAGAGCACCGTTGAGCGACCGTGTTCGAATGTTGAACGTCATGCCGTTGACGTTGTTCTGCTGGTACGAGTAGAACACGTTGGCGCAGAAGAAAAGGGGCAGCATGCAAAGCACCCTCCAATTGCACAGCGTCGCCACGGACATGTCGAACATGCCCTTCACGCTCTGCTTCTCCGTCTCGGTGGCGGCGCTGAGCTGTGCCAAGCGGATGCGCTTGGGCGAGCAAATGAAGATGCCCAAAGCCCATCCGAACAGCATGATGGACATGAGCGCAATGTAGGTCGCGTCGTTGACGGTGCCGGTCGTGGAGTGGAAGTTGAGCCCGAAAGCAGCCAGAGAACCGACGCCCCCACCAAGGTTGAAGATGATCCAGAACACGGCGATGGCTCGGCCCTTTTGTGATTCGTGAACGTACGTCGTCATGATGGCGCCCTGAACAATCCAGATGAAGGAGGAGCCGATGCCGAGAATCGCACCGGCAGCGATGACGAAGGCGCCGTTTCCATTGTCTACAAGTGTCACGTCAGCGCTTGTGCGGGTACTTTGTGGAAAGAAATAGCTCACGGTTGAAGCTGAGCAGACTGCCGCTGTACATGGCGTACGTCCAGCCGCCCATCAAGAAGCAGATCTTAGGTCCGACGAAGGAGAAAATGGGGCCGACAATGAAGAGCGCGGCCACCGCCGTGGTCGAGAGAAGAGCGACGTTGGCGTTAGCTGCGACGGTTGAGTCGACCTGACCAGAGCCTCCCAGACCGGAGAGAGCATTGAACATCTGAAACGTCAGCATCTTGTCCTCTCATTCTGTATTCGAAAGACGTACTCCAGGCATGCAGAAGCATATGAAGCTGATGAGCAGAATCCTGGATCATGGTTAGCGTCTGCCGAAAACACTCTTGTCATGGTAACTCACTGTGTCCATGGGTGCGAGTACAGTCTCATCAATTTCGATGATTCCTTCTGCTCGAAATCCTCGTTGCTTTCGACATCCTGTGGCATCGCCACCGCTGGCTCTTCGTTCTGCGGCATGACGTTTGTGGTTGGTAACGCGATGACTGCTTCTTGATCTCCAAGTTCTCTTCAGAGCGTTGGCGTAGTAATTAAATCCCCGAGTCAGAGCAAACTCCAAACCATCATCCTCCGACAGGAACCTCGAGATGGGACAGATGACACGGAACAGCAACGTTGAAGTCGAAATTCAGGTCTGGTCCACCCCTATCAATCGAGCAAACTTTCCCTCGGGAAGAGAGACACGCGACCCCTTTTTTCTTACAATATTCGACATGGTAACAGCGCCCCGTTCTCCAGGCGGGGTGGATATCCATTCTTTTCGATAGATAAGCAGCGTGTTCGTGTTTTCTTCTCCGCATTATCCGATCTTTTGGACCGGGAACGCCGCTGTTCCTCCCACAGTCTTTGGGGATCTGTGCGGGTGAATGGTGAGCTGAGGTCCAATTCGTGTGCGTGATTCGTCGTCTGTCGGTTGATGATCCCGGGAAACTGGGTCTCGACCCCCAATTTCACGCGTCGAACGGTGCCACCCGCACCACCGGCCGCGCTCGTCCCTTGCAGCGAGGAGCGAGGAGGGAGGGTCCTTGGGGCTTGAGGCTCCGCCTGGTGGTTGGTGTCGCATGCTGTTTCTTGCCGATGGAACGTGACATTGGATGTTGCGGGTGGTAACGACATGGCAATCCGGATGTATCGTTGGGTTGTTTTGCGGTTCAAGTCTGTGACGTTGAGGATGTGATGGATTTCGTGAAGATTGAGGCGGCGAGTCATTGCTTTAATGGAAGCCGTCAAACGAGATGTCAAAGGCCGTTTTGTTTTTGGGCCAATCATTTCAGCCACTTCGACATCAAGTCCAACGTCGCAGTACGTGCAAGTCTTCGTAGACCATGACCACGGCACCGTGAGTCTCTCTATGGAATTTGGAGCTGGCAGAGTAAAAAAAAGAAGTTGATTTTTTCGACTAGCCAAATCGTTTTACGCCTGCCGTCATTGCCTCTGCCGCGACACTCCTACCCAGATACAAGCCATTTAGAAAAGATCAAAACACCACACTCCGAACCCAAGATAATCGCCAAAACAAGCAAAAATCGATAAAAAACAGAAGCAAAAAACAAAATGTGAAGAACGCGCTGTATTTCAAGCGCGCCACCTCGAGCTTGTCGAAAACACACAAGATACTAGAGACTCGAACTTGGTGGTATTTGTGCCGGACCCTAGGTTGTGAATGACACTTTTGCGGACTGAGCCAAATGGCTCGCATCTTCGCCCAACTTGTGATGACAGCCTTCTTTTTTTTAGGGGGCAAGTATCTTTGGACTCGTAGGTTGGATCGGGGCCTTGGGTTTGGGAGGTTCCCGATAGACCAGAAGGGTGGCCGTTGAGGACAAAGGAATCCTAGACTTCGGATGGAATGGTGGCTCACCGAGGCGTGAGAGCTGCGTTTTTCAGCGAGTGGGTCCTCCTACCTACCCTCAGAGTCCAGCTGGCGTGCACAAGGTGCGAAATTCCATGGCGGGGCAGTGTTGCCTCCAGGTCTTCTGCGGGGGAGATAACATCAATGGTAAAAGCAACCCGGATTCCCGGTCGCTGGAGAGGAAGTCGAAGACGGTTCTCAACTCACGATACTCCTGAAACGTGCCCTTATATCAACGACAGTCGAACTTCATCGAAGCTTCGGGGAACTGAAACGTTACCTTGGGGCACGAAATGAGAGGTAAGTAGTGTGAGTGGACACCGCCGCATGCCAGATGGGTTTAACCCTACATGACTCTCTTACTACCCCGTGGGGACGACAACGTCGCACTTGCGAAGACTCCACTCCTCCTGCTGCCAAACCATGAGGACGGTAAGGTATCATGGATGAGATGGTATCAGAAGGTGACGTAGCTGGAAATGAATAGCAGAAGGGCGATGCGTCGTTGTATTATATACATGTATGCTTTACTGGGTTCCCCCTTCTAGAGGCCGACGTTGTGTGAGAATAGATAGTAACACTTGATATGCTTGGAAAGTCTCAATATCATCAACATATCCAGAATAAGGGAGTACGAATCGTCTATAACGTGAACTTTATTGTCTCATGGAGCTCAACGCCGAGTTTGTTGGTTTCCAGCGACAAAGTGCTCAACTGATTTGACCAGTACTCACTTATCTGGACTCTGATATGCCACCTGATCTGTCCTGCTAACTTATCAATGCTACTCTCACTCGACGTCATTGCCCTTGGGACCTCTCTCATACAACCTTCGTCATCATCAACACCGTCTCCTAGGTGTTCCGCATCCATCTCAGCGCCCCTCCCACACCGTCAACGGCTACATGATAGCAACCAAAAGCAAACAATCAACTCAGATATCACCAGCTGATGGAGATCATCGCCCATGCATCTGCACCGCCCATCATCAGGCCATTCCACATGCACCCAAGTCGCTCACCATACATACGCCTACTCCCTCACCCCCAGAAGACCATCAACGATAACTAACTTGATCCCATCTCGCCTACGTGCCGTCCAACGGCTCTCCGCACGTGGTAGAGAACGAAAACATTGTAGATAATGACAACATCGGTCTGAGAAGGGTGTGTAGCTCAACCCAGCATCCCGCGCACAGCACTAAGACCATCTCCCGCTGCCCCCGTTTTCATCAACCGAAACCACCACCGCGTCTCTCAATATTGTCTTTGCCGCCTCTGAGAACCCTCGACGGGCCGGCGGCGCTCACGAGCCGAAGCCGCGCCTCTTCAGAACCGCTCACCGCCCTCCGCCCTCCCGATTGGTGGGCAATTTCGAGATTCAAACCAACCACCCTTCCCCGGCAACCGTTCCCATTCGTCGATAAGCAAACACCATGCCAAACATTCGGGACTCCCCCCTCGCGTAGCATCTCGGCATAGCAATAGCGCGGGCGGGAAATGCGAGATGGTATCCGTGACTTGTGCTTTTTTCTCAGAGTTGATATCCGCGCGAGCAAGGGTTTGTGTCTGAGCGGCCGTTGAAGGCAACCCTTTCGGATAAGATGGAGGGTGGTATTCCGTCACTCGAAAACAAGAGGGGGGATTGGAAGAGGGTGTTGGTCTCAACCCCTGCTTATTGCTGTGGCCTGGCCTGGCCTGGCGCACGTGGGAGAGTGGTAATCGCGGGACGAACGAGCTCACCGAGGCATAGGTCTCATTCGGACAAAGACGTCTTTGTACTGACCAACATTGATGAAGCTTACAATGAAGCAGTTCATTGAAACGAAGACAGTGTTGCAGATAGCTTCCAGAAACACCTCGTTCAGGAACAAAAAAAGACCACGCAGAGAATGTAGACATAAATAGACGACATCCTGTGAGATCCCAGACACCCCACGCCCGGAACTAGAACGGGAAGAATACCCAAGGTGAGTACACAGAGACGCAGACAATGTGCAAAGGAACAGAGACGACAATGTCCTGCGGCCACGCCCTCCGCTCCCGCCTCCAGGACTGTGGCAAGGGAAGCGAGTGCAAGGGCGCGGCTTGGCAGCCGGCTTTCCTCAACGACAGCTGCGCGGCGTGCCATCGGTCCATGAACCTCCGCCAGAACCGCACACGGTACGAGGCCGAGCAGGTCGTCCTGATGGCCGATTACCAGAAGGCGAAGAGCGAGGGCGACGACGGGGAGATGTGCCGGCTCCGGCGCGTGATGGTCGAGCATGCGAGGCTCTCGCGTACGGGGAATTTTGAGGTGAGTCTGACGAGGGAGGCGCTGCCGGGTCATGTACAGTGGCCGAACGTGAAGGGAAGCAGCGGTAACTCACGATAGAGCTGGTGGCGGACGCGAAGTGGGAAAAGTTGGAATTTTGGACGGTGGGGTATAGATACAAAACTCACAAGACCGCCCAATAAGAAACACAAAAACGCCTTGCACCATTTTATGCTCAAAAGATTCTCCTAAAACCCGCGATGCCCATCGATATGCCCCTCACCATGGCCCCGAGAACTGAGACAACGTCCCGAGCCGTACGTCGCCGGGCCCCATGAACTGCGCCATCTCCCAGGCCGAGGGCGGGTAAGGACCCTGGTTCACCGAGTCCTGCTTCAACTGGTTCGCGCTCGCCTGGGCCTGCGCGTCCTTCTTGGCCTGGTTGAACTCCTTCACCCTCGCCGTGCCCAGCTTGCCCGCCCTCCTCTTGTCCGTGTTGCAACGCAGGAGCGGCACCTGGATGACGGCGGAAAAGATGTCGCGGACCTTCTGCTCGGGCTGGTTGTGTCGTTTGGCCACGTCTTCGAACGGGAACATGTTGAGGCACGTGTCTGCGATGTCGACGATGATGTGTTTTGTCGTGAGCTGTGCTTCTTGCGCTCGGGTGGCTTGCGTGTGGTTGGTAGGTGGTTTGGCGGGCTTCGGGTTCATCTGGGCCGGGATGAATGATTGAGTTGGCGGCATCGATGGCGGATGTGACATAGAGAGCATGTGGCCGCCTGTCTGCTGTGCGGAAGAAAGTCCATGGGGGATATGGGCATGTTGCTGAGGGAGAGTGAAGTGGCCGTTTGGTGTCATCATGGGTTGCTGGAGCATCGGGCCGTACATGGCGCCGGCCATCATGTTGTGATATGGGTTGATGCCAAGCATGTGTGTCCACGGTTGCTGGATTGCTGTCGATGGAACGGAGGTTGGATTCGTCACAGGACCTTTACCACTCGCGGGAAGACCAGCTGCCGCATTCATGCTGGCCGCTTGGTTTGCTGCTTGCTGGCGCATTCTTGCTTCCATGCATTGCCGACATGGCCCCTTCGTCCCGCCTCCAGCACGGTTTCCGCAGGAGTCGGCTTGGGCTGAGGATGTACCGTGAGAAGAAGTGTGCGCTGACGGATGAAGCGGAATATGGGCAAGTGAAGACACTGGGCTAGCGTGAGGCAGAGGATGGTGAGTGTGAGATTGTCTGTGGGCGTCTGGAACCCTTTCTGGGCTGTGACTCCTTTGGTAATCCAACACGGGAACGGTCAGTGTCTGCTTTGGCTCAGCGGGGGCACAGGGCTGAGTATAATTGAATCCCGCTGGCCCCGATGGCATGGCCTCTGCTGTGCCTTGCTGTTGCTGTGAATTAGCTGTATCTACCGTCGCAGTGGCCAGACTCTCGAGGCCGGCGTGGCCAACGTTAGTACCGCCAGCCGGCTCTGGAAGTATGTCGACGGTGTGCGTGTCCTTTGCAGTCTCAGTTTGCATTTGATTATCCGCGTTGGTTTGAGGTGGCGTACCTTCCGCTCGTGTCGGTTGTGAGACATTGTTCGGGTCGTTATTCGGATAAGCCGATCCGGCAAAGCCAACGTCGCTTGTCGCGGCCCCGCTGCCGCTAGTCAACCCGTTCACAGGACCGGGCGCCGATCCAGGTTCTTCGCCCAGCCGGAGCATGGACGGAAGAACATGCTCCGGCATCGTCTTGGGAGACACCGGCGGTGAGCTCTGAGGACCGGTTGCCGGCGCCGTCCAGAATGAGTCTGGGTAGTGAGACCTCTCCGGGATCGGAACGGAGCATCCTCGCGTCGGGTCAACGTCCATCTCGTGTGCCGTAGATGACGGATCAACCATGCCGGTGCTCCCTCGCCGTTCCGGATTTGTGGTGAGTGCGGGTTGCTTGGCGGGTTCAGGTGGCTGCTGGATAGGTGCGGTGACAGGATGGTTGACTACCGGCGGTGGTTGCGTGGTTGTTGAAGGTGGCATGATCGGCCGATATCCATCAACTTTCCTCCTCTTAACCGGATTGGAGGACACGAACTGGACATCGTCGTCTTCTCGTTTTGCAGGTACCACGGGCTGAAAAGGCTGAGGAGGTGGGGGTGGGAGTGGTACTGTTGGGAATACCTGAGGAAACGCGGCAGGAAACATCATGGCTTGATGGTAGTAATGAGAGCTGTCCATGCTGAAGAGAGAAGAAGAGTGTTGGTTAGATGTTGCGGGTGCGGAAACGGATGCAACATGGATGAGACGGAGGGATGTGGCTACTGGACAAGAATGGCCAAGCATCCATATTTGAACCCTGTCGTAACGGCTTTGGCAGAGTGCTGAGTTGGAATGACGGGGACCCGGCACGGCAGCATTAGCAAGTCATTAACAGCAAAGAGAGAAGCCAAGAGAAAAGTGCTGGCATGTTGCACGGTTTGTCTTTCAACTCTTGTCTTTGGTGGATGACCGGACACTAGCCCGGTAATAAAAGGGAGGATTCACAGCACTCTACGTACTGTGACAAGCACTTTGAATCGATGGCCACTTTTTTCTCCCATCAGCATGCAGATTGCCACCTGGGCAGAGGCAGGGAAGCGGCATGATGTGGGTGAATGCTCCAACTGATTACACTGCAAGCTCACCCATCTCATGCCATCAAAGGTATTGACTGTTGCCTGCTGTTGATTGTCTGTAAAGCTCAAAAGGTCGACATTTGAGGGCAGTAGAAACAATGCTTGCACCCTTGTGTGGCAGCAGACACACACCCATGCCTTTCTGGCTAACCGAGAGCTCCAAGTTTGAAGGGGCTGGTTGTGCACATTGAGGGCCATTGGCGAGGGGGAAAGTGCTGGAATACTGAAATGAGTCCACTTGGTTCAGTTTAGAGAGGCGATAGAAGAAGAAAAGGCAGTGGAGAGGTGCTAGAGAATGCGACCGATGGTTGATAACATGGTGAGGTAGCCAAGCACCACTTTGAGTGATGTGAGGGATGCTGCAAGGGCAGAGCTGGCAAAATGAATGGAGGTTGGACAGTGAAGACCCACAATAGCTTCTTGATGTCTTCATTGGCTAGATAATATCGGCCAATGGGAGTCAAGGTGGCTTGGCCGTTTTGTTCAGCCTCATCTTCAGCCTCAACTTTGATTGTCTCCGGGTTGGGGCCGGTCAGGTAGTGTAGCTCCAGGCGCCTGCCTACCTTGACTCCCCACATCGCGGGGCATCTTTCCTGGAGGCAGCTTCACCTTTCCAACAACAATTACGATTGCAGACGACAGCCTACGCTGACTCTCCAAAACACCACAACTTCCTTACCAACCGACGTACTCAAAATCTTCCGCATGGTCACACGTTCCGAGTAAAAAGAAAAGAACCGACAACCCACGGCCACGGGCAAACACCGCCCACCATGGCCTCCTCCAGCACGAACCCGCTCATATCGAACCAGAAGTCCTCAGAGCTTCAAGCAGTTCTCCACCCCCTCGTCCTCCTCACCATCTCCGACTACATCACCCGCCACACCCTGCGCTCCCAAGCAGGCCCCATCGTCGGTGCCCTCCTGGGCCAGCAAAACGGCCGCGAGGTCACCATCGAACATGCCTTCGAGTGCCACACGGTAACAGCGCCAGAGGTGGATGGCGGATACCTGCTAGACTCCATGCGGTTCGCCGCGAGATTAGAGCAGAGTAGGTTTTGGATGCCTCATATCTACGCGCAATTAGATAACTAACGATCCCCAAGTGAAGACAGTCCACAAGGACCGCAGCCTCGACCTCGTCGGCTGGTACACCCTCCTCCCCACCACCGGCCCGACCCCGACCGTCCTCCCCATCCACAACCAACTCCTCGCCGACTTCAACGAGTCCGCCCTTCTCCTCGGCTTCCACCCAGAGGAGGTCCTCACCCACTCCGTCGGCGGCAAGCTGCCCATGACCATCTTCGAGTCAAACTCCGAGGTCGACGACGCCTCCAAGGCCGCCGCCGCGGATGGCGAGGATAAGAAGATGGAGGACGGCGAGTCCAACAAGCTCAAGCTCCGCTTCCGCGAGCTGCCCTACACCGTCGAAACGGGCGAGGCCGAGATGATCAGCATGGACCACGTTGCCCGCGGCGCCGGCAACGCCACCGCCATCCAGGCCCCGAAGGAAGCGAAGCCCAAGGTCGTCGAGTCCGGCGGAAAGCGCCGCGCCGTTCTCCCCGAGGGCGACCAGAGTGATGAGGCCGAGGTCCAGCTCTCGCCCGAGGAGGAGGAGATGATCGCCGCTCTCACGGCCAAGGCCAACGCCGTCAAGATGCTCCAGGGCCGCATCCGCCTCATCACCAGCTACCTCGAGCGCCTGCCCCCCGAATACCTCCCCGGCCTGGAGCAGCAGCAGCAGACCGCCGGCGGTGCGCATACGACGCCCTCTCACACCATCCTCCGTCAGATCCAGGCGCTCGTCAACCGCTTGGATCTGGTCATGCCGTCGGACGTGGAGAATTTCGAGAAGGAGGTCGTGGCCGAGGAGAACGACGTCGCCATCGTCTCGCGCCTCAACGACCTCATGCAGAGCATCAGCGGCATGCGAGACCTCGGCAAGAAGTTCAGCATTCTGGAGACCGCCAAGAATAGAGATCGCAGAGCGGGTCCTGCCGAATATGCCGGCTACTCTGGCTCGCCCAGTTTTAGCGTCTCTGGCGTGGGCGATGTCATGATCTAGGATACCGATGAAGATCGCAAAGGCAAGAGTAAGCGCAAGCTTAACGAAGGTGGCTAGAAATGACAAATGATGCCTGTGAGGTGCCCATATAGGGCTTCTACATCTGGGAAACTACGGCGTTAGGGGGAGTAATGCAGACACGACGATACGCATTTTGGCCTGATTAGCAAGCCTCGATCAAAAGAACCCATCATCAAGATGTTTACTGGACTAGACTTTGTGAAGTAGGATTGTACTTGATGATCTCATGGTTTGACTAAACTTCAATTTCTACCAAGTTGGTTTTCCTAGTTCACACTGCCCCATTTTGCCCATCGACACATTTCCGATTTTCGTGCCATATCCCCGTAGGAAAAGAAATCTATGAGCGTCCACCGTTTTCGCTCGCCCTCGACCGCTATTACTAGCCATACCCAACCGTAAATAAGAAACCAAACATGTATCCGCTATCAAAACTGGCTGAAAAGGAAGGGTCTAGTTTGGTATCAATCGTCTCCTTTTCCGGAAAGAAGTACAAGCAAAGCTGAGAACGCAGACTAATGGTTTTTTTTTTTTCTTTGTGTTTTTTTTTTCTCTCTTATAACTGAAGGAAGCCGAACACACTTCTTCAGGCCTCAATGACGACCTTCAAGACGAGGTTTCCCTCATCGTCGCACGTACGGCTGGCAAGCTCGAACGCCTTGGCGGCGTTGTGCAGGCCCTTGAATCGATGCGTGACCATGTCGTCAAGACGGGGAAGAACTCCTCCTCCGTTGCCCTTGGCGGCGCAGAGGAGCCGGACGCCGGTGGGGTAGGTGTTTGCGTAGCGGAAAATGCCCAGGATGTCGATCTCCCTCAGGTGCGCGACGGACAGCGGGAGGGTCTGGACGGGAGTGCCCATGCCGACCATGACGACCTTGCCGCCGGGTCTCGTGGCGTAGAGGCTGGTGTGCATGCAGATCTCCTTGCCGGTGCACTCGAATGTGACGTCGACGCCCTCGTCCTCGGCGTCCGTCTCGAGCTCCTCGGGCACCCTCGTGAGGGCGAGGATCTCGCCGGCCAGGGCCTTGGCGCCGTCGAACTTGCCCTGGATGCTCTGGACCGAGAAGATGCTCGCCGGAGTCATGACGCCGGGGTCGGCCGGGGTCGATGTTCCCGAGTTGTTGCCGTAGGAGGAGCCCGGCGCAGGGACGACGTAGCCGTGGGTCGCGAAGCCCTTGGAGATGGCGTAGTTGACCCGGCCGGCGTCGACGTCGGTGATTGTGACTTGGGCACAGCCGGCCTGGCGTGCCATTGCGGCGGTGAGAAGGCCCACGGTGCCGGCTCCGATCACCAAGGCTGAGGATCCGGGCTCGGGTGTCGCTCGGTTGACGGCGTGGATGGCTACGGAGAGCGGCTCAAGGAGAGCGGCGGCCTCGTAGGATACGTGATCGGGGATCTTGTGGCACCATGCCGCGGGGTGGTTGATTCTTTCTTGCAGAGTGCCCTGGTAATGAGGGACGCTTTTGGCGCTGGATCGGAACTTCATCTTCTTGCAGAGGTTGTATCGACCCTTTCTGCAGATGGTGCATTGTCCGCAGGGAACACCGACTTCGAGGGCAACACGGTCACCAAGCTTGAACCCGTTTACCTGGGGGCCGATGGCCACAACTTCTCCGGAAGACTCATGGCCGAGAGATAGAGGGTGGCAGGCGCAGAGGTCACCGTTGGCAAACTTCTTGTAGTAACTGACGTCGGACCCACAGATGCCGGTTCTCTTGATGGAGATCTGCACCTCGCCAACTCCAGGCTCTTCGATAGATCTCACCTCCTAGACATGTCGTTAGAATTAGGTCTTGGGCGGGGCGGGAAACATGTAAGGCGTATGGATACGACACGATCAACGTGGGGTTATGTGTGACAGGCTTACATTCCCCACGTCACCGTACCGCAGGAAGATGAAGACTTACCAATCGCAGGTCCCGCGGACCATGCAAAACAGACGCGGTGACGGAGGATGACTTTGACTTGTAGACGGGTAGTTGCATTGGTGCCGTCTCTGCCGTTGCGACTGGGGCCATGTCGAAGTTGAATGACGCCGGCGGCGTGGGATGAAGCGTGGGATGTTGGGTTGGTGATGGGTTAGGTTGGTGAAGGGGGCTTGGCCCAACTGCCTAATAGGGAGGGCTAGTTGAGTGGGATTGGCCCAGGGACTAACTGAGGGGAGATGGTGAGGATAGCGAGGCGGCGCCCTGGATTTGGGAGGGGACCAGCGCGGGATGGCTCGAGGATTGATAGGTTCGCTTTTGGGGTTGTGTTTGGGGGTAACAGGGTTGAAAAGACGTGGAGGATGTGGCAGGGTTTCTTGCGGGTGTAAATATGAGAACCAAGCTAGACGAGGTGACCTTATATCGACGAAGGTGGTGAGATCTCTATCACTTAACGTAGAAAAGTGACAGCAAGAAGAAGGGTGCGAGAATGTGATAGAGAGTAGGAGCGCTCTGGGTCAAGATGCCGTAGTCCTCCACCCCTTAAGTAGCTCTGTGGCGAGCCCGGCTCCGGCTGTCTTTGACGGTGAATGATGCTCATGGTGGTGTCAATCAGTGATTAGCAGCTTGCAAGGGCCTTCTGGGTAAAGGATGAGACGGAAGAGCTCTTGGGCCTTGGGCAAATGGAGGAGGGGTCTTGAAGGGTAGTCCAACCAAGTTCGCCCAACCAAACAACAGCAAGTTATCGGGGCCAAGCTAACAGCTTCTTCGTACATGTAATCTCGGGAAATCAGATGCAAGCGATACCTGAGGACGGGGCCGCCTCAGGTTCCGCGGACAGCCCTTGGCTGGTATCGGCGTGGATTACAAGATATGGAACGGACTACAATGCAGGAGAGATACAGAATAGTGGAAAAGATGCATGAGCTGGTCCAACGGGGCATGGGAGGCGGGACGGGAAGAAGGTGGCCGCATTTGGGCACCATCTGGTCAGTCATGGGCGTAGATACGTGAAGACCAGCGTGTAGACTCGGATGTAGGTAACTTTGTTGCCATTTGTAGTGACTGGGAACGCCGTCGAGCCATCCGAAACTCTGTAGATGTGACATGGGTAGACGTAGACTAGCGGCTGGTGATGATACGGTCTGGATGGCATCAGTGTGGTGACAGGTTTCGGCATGCATGAGCTCCAACTTTGAAAGCCACATATGCGATGCTTTGCTGCAGCTGGCGCCGGCCGCAGTGATGAGCCATGCCTTTCTTGGGGACGTGGTCGGCAGAGAGAGTAGGATTTGACAATGGCGAACCGCAGGAAAAATTATTCTCTCTTGTCCCCAAGGCAAAAGCCACATGCGAGTGCTGGGATTGCGGGCTAGGTGTGAGGGCTACTAAGGTAAGGTCGGTGAGGTACCCGGAAGAGAGGGCCCGGAAAGGACTAGAGGAACAGGGATGATGTCGAAGAGGAGATTCAGAAGAGGGGAGTCATTGTAACGCAGGTGCATGGCCCAAGGAGGGGAGGAGTTGAAAAGGTGTGGGCAAGGTAGATGGCGCAAGGTAGGCAAGCCAGCCATCATCTGTTTGGGGCTCTGTTAATTAGTAGGTAGGGGGACAATCGTGAATGAAATACGAGAGATGATGGCCTGGCCGTTGAGGTGAGTTGACGACTTGAGAAATCGGCGGGACTGGATGTGATAGACGGTTGAATTGGAGAGTCTGTCTGAGTGCCGAGGGATGTGGTAGGTACTGCGTCCTCATTGTCCTTGGCGTAGTAGGCAGACTGGGTAATTGAGTTCTTCGTTCCTTGGCCGGCGACGTAAAGGACGGTCAAGGCTGGACGTCTTGTCGAGAATGAACACAGCATGGCGCGAGACGGAAGCTATGTTCAAGAGGCCGTGACCCAACTTGGGCGAATATGCGGTGTCGACGAGGGCCAGGGACTGGGTTTCGACATATATCGCCAGGGGACGTGCATCGCATATGCATTAATGGAGATTCCAAGTTTGGGAGAGGCTAATTGGAACGGAAGAGGGAAACTTTCTCACTTCCAGCGGACCGAGGGTGTCGTCACTTCCAGCTTGGGAGCTGGTGGGAAACGGAAGGAGAAGTCTGCACTTTTCCTGCGAGTTGAAATCTGATTTGAGGTGCGAAAGTAAAGAGCAACCTGAGCTCTGATGGCAAGACAGCTGATAAACTTTCTTTCCTGTCATTACATAAGCAAACTGATGTTCGGACGGATGACATGGAACCCTACGCTGGAAGATTGTCTGTGCAACTTCCCTCCATACAATTACTCGACGTCTTCTCTTCTCTAACAGTGAACCTCCACATCCTCTCGACAAAACGAAGCTCGACCACGAAGCACCATCGTTTCATGCAGATTTACGTACGGCGGCTCCTCTGGGAAATTGAGCAACGACTAAACAGCTGACAAGCCCTTTGCGTTTTGCCGCCTGCTTCGCCTCCGGCTTGCGTGCCCTGCTAACCGCCAACCGGCTTTCGACGTTCTAGAATTGGAGATACCGCCCTGACAACTAATGCACATCGTCATCACCCATCTCGTCTCATCATTGAGTCCTGCAGCCGGTAAAGGGACGCTCTATGCCATCTCGACCACTCGTGGCGCACGTTCCGTGCCTCCCGCGGAACTGCTGCATGCTTCCACCAGCCTTGGTGGTGTTCACCTATTCTAACTCTGCCTGCCACGATGGCACGGCTATCAATATCGAACCATACTTCCAGTCGATCACCTCAAATCAAGTGGTAGAATGGCGGGATCTTCGCTGCACAAACGACATGCGCATTTCGCCAAATATATCACTCCTCAACCGCTCGACATCCTTGAAAAGATCCTGTTGACATCCAAAACATCAAAATCAATCTTGGCGCACTTTCTGCTACCGACGACATTTTCCAAGTGCACAAGATGCCTGGCTCCCTTCTCTTGGCTCTTCACACAGTCAAGCTTGCTACCGACGGAGCACAGAGGATTGCATATTGCGCCCCGCTGTGATGGACACGCTTCAAGGTCCCTTGTCGTGGTAGCAGAAGCCCCTCTTACCCTCTGAGGGGAAGACAAACCCTGGTTGCTGCCCCAATAGTCTTGGACCCTTGCGTCGCTCTGCTTGAAGATTTGAGCAGACGATGACAACCATGACGGCCGTCCGTCTTCTTCTGTCCGGGTACGAAACGGAAAGATGATGCAGTCGACAACGTCTCAACGGAATACCTGCCGCTTCGCCGTCTTTCTCCAAACTTAGCGGTCTTGGTAGAGTCGAGGCACCTTTCTGGACCGCGCCATCTCTTTTGACGGCATTCAATCACAGCCTATCAACCCTAGCACGTCAAAGGAGCCGGCTTGCCCCAAGAAACGAATAGGCCGCAGTTTGCGGATACACTGCAGCTGCAAGTCTCATTTTACCGGCCCTATGGCAAGACACCTGCACATGGCGAGTGCAGGGGCATCCCTAGTTGGCCTTCAACAGCTCAGCACTCAACCCATGGGCGGATCTCGTCTACGCAAACGTTCAAGCCCAAGCTCTCTGTCTGCAGCAACTCACTGAATGCTAGTCGTTTCCGCGAGGTGATCGATGGGTCCATTCCTATACGATGCCGGATTCGTTCTGAAGATACCACATTTTTGAGTCGAGCTCCGGAGCACCGGAGGCATCGGAGCAGCGTCTCTCCCTTCATCGGCGACGTCACAGAGAACCTTACATTTGTCCCATAACCTACGCCTCCAATCACTGATAACACAGTGAGTCATGTACGGTTTAGCAGCCCAGCTTTGAGACCGTTACAACTGGTCTCGGCGAGTATCGTCGTAAGTTCGAAGGTTAACATGGCAAACACCTACAATGCGTTCTAAAGAGAGTTGCAATGTCGAAACCGTTCGATCTTCAACACACATCATCCGGACTCCGGAGAGCTTGAGCCGCCGAAGCGAGCCCTCGACCAGGCAAGATCAACATCCCGGGCGTCACTCAATTGCGTCGACTCGCCGCTTGCCAAATTACTACAAGCTGGGGAAACCAAACACGCACCAGGGAGCCTTGTTACGTCTGTCGACGGCGGCTCGCCAACCCCAACCGTGCTCAAGAAAGTTGGAGACTGTCGTAATTAGAGAAACCCTTCATTACTTTCTCACGCAATCGAATCGCGCCACACCACATTCACAGGTGGGTGGAGGCGGACTTTCATCCAGGCTGCTTTGATAGAAGTCATCACATACTGCGCGTTGTGATTCTTGCCTCTGCGAGAGACATTCCAATACCTGTCGGCCGGCATCCCACGCCACCCAAGTGTCTTGGTAGCAAAATCAGAGGTTGGGCCAGCTATCAGTGCTGAATCAGGACAGTACATCGAATGGCCAGCACTAATACATGGTGTGAGCCGTTGAACTCGCTGTTGCAGGGATGCCATGCAGACCAACATTGTCTCCCTCGAATGCGGCTGCCGTGGCATCTGATAGATCAGACAAAGGCTAATATGACCTATGTGATGGTCCTACTCTGGCTTACAGTGGAAACTTTGCCCAGACACATGCAGGGCAAAACCCAACTCCTCTTGGACGAACTTCACCTACCATCTCCGAGCGTACTTGGAACACAAAGCGGTGAGAGTAATCGACGATTGTGTCTCAGAGGCTGTCGACGATTTTTATGTCTCTTATTGAGAGTGATATACTCGAAACGCATCAACCGAATAGGACCTCGACATCGGATCACGGATGGCATTGAGATAAGTCATTCGCCGTTACCAGATCTCTGGATCCAACTGAGACATGCCTCACCGATTTTTCAACCACCAGATGCCAGACAGATTGGACGAGGACTTTCACGAAGTTTTGTCACGTCCCATTGCCTCTTCAAATTCTGCCCAGGTTTTGATTGGACGCATACCGAGAAACGGTGCAAATTTAAGCTGTCCATAAGCTCTCGACTCATGGAACTGCCGGCATCAGACTCCATTTCACTGTTGCGAAGACAGATGTTGAGCTCTACCCCGCGATATTCGTCATGTACCATGAGAACAACTGGTCGGTCGGTATAAGCCCGGTCTGTACTGGCTTGCTTGTGTTACCAAAAGCCAAACACCACAAACAGATTCGCCAATCCTACAGATTTGAGTTATCAAATCATCTAATACAAGCCGCCCGAAAAAAAGCTACCGCGGAGGCTCGACAACCTTCATCTTTTCCCCACGAGAAGCCTGCCCAACACGGCCACAGCCACGAAGGCAAGCTCGCAAGCCTCGACACCATCAACAACTCTTTCGTGCATCTGAACTACCAATCTCACCCGCATCGCATCGCAGCCCTCACCAAAATGAGAATGCCTCCACGCATCGGGTCTCTCGCAGGAGAAAGACATGTGAATCTTGCCCCGTTACAGCGACATCATGACATGTGCCATCAAGCAAGCAAACACGACAAGCTCAACCTCGCAGACCCGTACCTACTGGACAACGCCTCCATCCGGGTTTCCCACCCCCTTCGCCGCCACACCGCCAATCGATCAGATCAGGACCTCCTCCTCTGGTGATAGGTGAGGATGGATGGAGGAACACAACACGACACGACGACGCGCGCTGCAATGCAGCAAACGTAGGCAAAAGGTGTACCGCAGCAATTAGCAGAGGTGGAGGGAGACAGCAGACGGCAGGTGCATGCGATTTGGTGTGCTGTTCTTTTCCCTCCCACCCCCTCCATAGGGGAGGTTACAATCTGGGCTTGCCCGTTGGAGGACGTGCCGCCGCCGCCGCCACCCGGCAAACGGAGGCCGAGCCGTCCATTGAAGCTGAGCCTCGTGAAAGATGTCTCTTCCGCGTCACCACATTCTGTGGTGATAACCCTCTTGCGAATGGACATACATCCTTTTACGACACGGACGGGTCAAACTTTTACTGAATGTTGCAAAGCGAACGGGAAAAAAGCAAGGCTCATACTTGGGAATCTATGTGTATGGGGAGCACATACAGCAGGACGGATACAACATTACACATCATACGAGAGTTCAGAGGCGCCTCTGCCCCAAAACAGAAGAAGCGGTTGCGGCAGGTTGTTTCCTTTCGGACGCATTTCCGTAGCCCGCCCTCGCCAAAACCCCCGGGCCGCCCTCTCTCATCAGAACGTGCTCGTCGCCAATCGGCTCGCCGCGTTTCTCGCATCCACCCGGTCCTCGTCGTCTTCTTCTGCCACACCGGACAAACTCGCTATGCCGCCCGCTGCGCCGCCGGCACCCTTGTTCTGCCCACCCTGCCCATCATCGCCCTCGCCGTCCTCGGGGACACCAGCCATAAGACTGCCTGACACGCTGCGACTAAGAGCCTGGTCTGAGCGTCGTGGAACGCCGCTCCATGCATCGCCCTTGGGGCCCTGGCTGGCCGCCACGCTGGCCCGCCTTACGGTCGGGTGAGCCTCGCGTCCGAGACGGCTCAGACCGCCGGATGCGTCGATGGAACGAATGTCCGGTCTCACGCTCTCCAGCACGGCGAGAGCACGACGTTCCGCCTCGATCTCGCGCAAGACGTACTCCCTGATGCTGAGCCGCAGGTCGGCCGCGGTCCTCGCGAACCACTTCCTGCGCTCTTGTACGAGGTTTTGGGTGACGCGTGTCGTCTTCTGGTACAGGTACGTCTCGTTCTGGCGAGCGTCATCGAGGGCGGTGATGGCCTCATCGACCTTCTCGCGCCGGACGTTGGAGCTCGCCTTGAGGCGATCGGCGGCGTTGAGCTTGCTGCGCGTGTTCTCCTGGGCCTGGAGGAACTCGCGAATGAGGATTTGACGGTTGGTCAGAGTTTCCTTGACGACGAAGGCGTCCTGCGAGTGATACTGGAAGGGGTCGCCGATCGTCGTGGCTTCTGCAGTGGCTTGTGCGGCGTGGTAGTCGCCGACGGTCTGTACGATCTTGCCAAGTTTCCGGTAGGCGTTGGCGAGACCTTGATGGGGCTCTTGGATGTGCATCGACCCAAGCTTGACACCGAAGTCGGACTCAGCCAATCCGAGACCTAAACGATATCAGACCGGTGAAGGTGAGGCGTGATAGGGGTGTTGACGTGGACTTACCGCGACGAGACTTGACCAACTTATCGACCTTGTGTCCCGCATCCATAGTTCCCAGGTAGAACAGCTTGACAATTGGGCGAGCCTCCTGGAGCTCCGGCGTGTCATCGGGGGGAGGAGCGAATTGCTTCAGGATCTTTCTGCGCACACCGGTCGCCGGCTGCTTCATCTTGTGCATGGGGCTATAGCCGAAATCGCTCTCAACGAAGAGCACCATCTCGTCGTCCCTCATAAGAACTTCGTTGCTGCACACATAGTTGAACCATCGCTGGAGCAGAGCCTTTACGCGCGCTTCGTCCTCGTCCGTTCCTGCGCCGGCTGATGTTACCGCGGGAGGCACGGTAGGTACCAAGCATTCGGGGTTCGCGGAGATCAGATGTTCGGCGAGCTTGACGAATTCGGAATGGAAACGGCGGACGTCGCGGTATTGCGTGGTACGGAATCTCGGAAGGTTGGTCTGGTCGCACCGTTAGTCAATCAATCACTCAATCGCAGCTGCGCGCCGGGGCGTCTCCCTACGTGAACGTCGAACCGCAGGATGGGGTCCTTCTTCCCGGTCCTCTCCAGGCCCGTGATCTTGGCCTGGAGCCTGAACTGAGGCTGCTGGGGCTTGCGGTTCTGCTGCTCCTGGCGGGCCTGGCCCTGCGCGCCGCCTCCTTGTTCTTGCGACTTCTGCGGCGTCTCCGGGCCCGTCTCGCCGCTTGTCCGGGCCTCTGAAGCGACCTCGGTTCGGGACTCTTGTGTTTCCACTTCGGTCGCGGACTCGGCAGTGGTGCTCGCGGTGTCGGGTCTCCTGAACTCGCCGCTGCCGAAGCCCTCCTGCTCCTGATGCAGGCCGTTTCCGGGAGTCGAGCCGTAGCGAAAGGGGGAGCCGGGCTGCTCGCCACCGATGTCGCCGGCGATGGAGCCAAAGGTCGACTGGTTGGGGTTGGGCGACGAGCCGGGGGAGTTACCCCATGGCGATGCGCCGGCCGGGTTGTCGTCGCTGGAGATTGCGCTGTAGTCCATTGTCGAATGTCGAATGCGATGACGTTTTCTCGTCGTCGTCGTTCGCGTGTCTGCGTAGTTTACGGGGGTTGAGTGTCCTGCGTGGGACGGAATCACGGCTGGCCGTCAAAGCCGATGCGGGGAAGAGTGAGGGATGATGCAGACGTCAGTTGGGGGTTCGAGACGTCAGGCCATCCATTGACCGACCGGACTGCGATTGTTCTGAGATACCGGCGCTGGACTGAATTCCTGATGGATGGTAATTAAGCTCTCTCTCGCTCGTGACGGTCGGGGGGTTGAGTGGAGGATCAAGGAGCGTGTGATGTTGCCAGACCGGGATGCTTTTGCTCCACGCACGCAGCTGCCTTGAATTGGCTCTTACGAATGGAAGCCAGAACCTCAGGTACGATTAGGCCCGTATGTAGGTGCCTGTCTCCAGTTGTAGGCTGTAGCGCCGGGAGCCGCGAGCCCAGAGGCCGTGGAGGCGCTAAGCCGAAGTGAAAGGTTAAAGTGGGGCGCTCCGATCGCTGGACAAAGCTCCGGCGCCCCCAGCAAGAAAGAAGTGACGACACGCGCTGTTCTCTGTATCGCGCCTAACTTCATCTGACAGCTTCAGCTCCGACCAATGAGGGCGAAGCGTGGCACGACGAATTTGACGACTTTCTTCAGCCTCGTTTGAGGACGACTCGAAGTGAAGAGGAGGAGGAGGACACGATTAAAGTCACGACGTCGAAACCTGGTCGCCGCGACGATGGCGCACATGACGAACCCGCTGGCCACGGCCGAGCAGCTCTACAAGCGCAATACCTTCAGCTCCCTCCCGCCCGACCTGCAGGATGTCATATTCTACGCGACCCAGGTCCTCACACAGGCCGCCGGCGTGCTGCTGGACCTGCCGCAATCGACCACGGCCCAGGCCAATGTTCTCCTGGCGCGGTACTGGCTCGTCGAGTCGCCAATGACATCAGAATTCAGCGTACGTTCCTCACCTCACGCGACGAAATCTTGCGAATGCTAACCCTAACCCCTCAAGGACGCATCCGCCGCCGCGCTCTACCTAGTCTCCAAAATGGGCCCCTTCCCCCGCTCGACCCGCGACGTATCGAACGTCTACGCGTTCCTCCTCTCCTCGGCATCACCCCTCTTCCGCGGCGAGCCGCCGGATCTGACGAAGAAGAAGGACCGCCCGGACCCGACGACCTACTACCAGACCGACGGCGAGTACGCCGCCTTCCAGACGCGGATGCTGGCCGCGGAGGCGCGGATCCTGTGGGCGCTGGGGTTCGACACGGCGGTGGCGCTGCCGCACGCGCTGGCCGTCACGTATCTGCAGGCGCTGGATTTCCTGGGGAAGCCGAGGGCCGAGGTGGCGGGGAGGGTCGTCGCGCACCTCAACACGGCGCTGCTGAGCCCGCAAATGTTGTATCTCACGCACCAGCCCAACGCGCTGGCGACGGCGGCGGTGTATATTGCCGCGAGGGAGGCCGGGGCCAAGATGCCCGAGGTGTCGTGGTGGGAGGTCTTCGACGTCGAGCGGGAGGAGCTCGGGTTTCTTGTTGTAGGGTTTCGGAGTCTCGAAAGCTGGGTGAGGGGGGTCAAGGAGAGTGGGTTGTTAAGCGCCGGGATGGTTACGAGGGCGGGGATCGAGAGGGAGGCTAGGCGGAGAGCTGGGGAAGGGGATGAGGAGGATGAGGTTATGAGGTTGATGGACCAGAAGACTGCGTAGGGGCAGGTCTTGCCATAGAAGAAGCAAGTAGGAGCTTAAAGAAGACAAATAATAGACAGATACCCGTTTGAACCAATTCAGTCCGAGACATTGTCTGGCAACCCTTCAACCGGTGTCGAAGTGTAAGCCTCTGTCGTGTCGTCTCGTGTCCCTAATTCCCCGGAACTCAAGCCCTTACACCGCAGAATAATAAGGCCTCCGTAGAAGTAGAGAGAGCTCCGACTTGTACAATGCTGCGTGTCTCCTGACCTTTCCCAACCCTAGTGGTCAGCCATGTGAATCGTACTCCATCCACAAATTAAGAGTGTCACTGATGGCAGCGGATGCGCAGTTAGAGTGCCGAACTCCCCCTTCTTTTCCTCCTAGGCGTATGTAGGTGCTGGCGGAAACCAAGACCCGATGTGCCACAACCGTTCGTCTTCCTGCAGTATTTACTCAAGCTTAGGTAGCATAAAATGTCCATATATGCTCCCGTTCAGGAAGACATCAGAAAACCCCCAAAGGGAAATCTATGTATACAATCCTGTGGTTCCAACCGCATCAGTATTCACTTGAATGGCAGGTTCTGAAGAAGCATTTCCAAGTCGGAGCAGGAAGCAACAGGTTGCATATGAGACTAATGGAGTCTCTTGGATGGATACGTTTATTATTTAAAGCATATAAACTTCAACTCTCATTGAGTGTTTTAATGACAACGCGCTTGAAGGGTGCTTCATCATACCTGGTGTAGATAAGATGCCCCTGATAATGTCCTCTGGACATGTTCTTGACAACTCGAGCTTGCACGCCCAAACCATCCCATGTTCTTCGTCTCTTTTGTCCCGCATGACTACAGGTATGTATCATGAAGCGGACTAGAGTAGGCAAATCATCTGCAACATGTGCCAAATCATGCGATACAGGAGCGTCCCTTTCACCCAACTCCTTTTCTACACATATTGAAGAAAGAGAAGGAGGACAGTCTGTTAGTGTTCTGGGTTCACAGAGCGGGTCTCAATATGAAATCCGTCGTCAGTTAGGCTCTCTGGGTGTCTGAATTAATGTTATGCCTCGTGGGTAAAAGATGTATGCTATGACAATGGTGATTCGACAGTCACATAGACAACTTTATAAGATAGCCCCTGAAAGGCTTGGATATTATATTCAGAAGACGATGGCATTCCTTTTCCAACTACCATCCTCTCAGAGAAGTTTGCCCATGAGAAACCCAACACTAGGTGCTCCTTCTCAAACAAGGAAGGAGCAGTCCTCCCAACCCACCCACAACGCTCCTTCCTCCTCCAACCTCAACCTCACTTCACCCACCCACCCACCTCACCCTCTGCCTCAAAAAACAACGCGCCCACAAAAGGCACCTTTCTCTTCCCCTTCTTCCTCCTTAGCGCGCTTTAAAAACTCCTAGCTCACAACCCATTGTGGGATCCTAATCCTTTTCACAAACACCAGGATCTCTTATAACAAAAAACGTTGTTCTTGTTCAACTTTTACTTCGAAAGATCCCTTCATCACAAATCTTTTTATACCAACCCATCCACGAACACCAGCCTTTTGTGTGCGCGTCCTCACTCAAACCCCCCACCGACCACATACCACGTTCATCACTTGACCATCACAATGGAGTTTCTCGGCTTCAACTTGCCCCAGATGCCTCAGATGCCCCAGATGGAGGTTTTCTTTGATCCTCTCATCCTCGCAACTGTTAATCTCATGGTCATTGCTGGCGAGATGTACATTAGAGAGCACATGCAGGACAAGATCCTTACTACCCAGACCGCCCTCACCGAGCGGATCAGTAAGTCACGATGCCCTCTCCTCCCCTCCCCGTCTCTCCTTGACGAAAAGTTGAGCCCTCATTCCACGATCTCCTCTCCTCTTCCTCGTCCTTCACCTCTTCTTATTTATTCTCCTCCTCTCCCACAAGGAAAAAAATCAAAATCTGACAACTTCGACAGCCATCCTCGAGGGTCAGATCAAGAAAATCGCCGCCATCAAGCCTGTCATCATCGATACCAGCGGTACCATCACTCTCAACACTGAGACCGGCTTCTTCTCGCGCCTCTTCACTCTCCAAGATACCGATACCACGATGAGCGTTTACTTCGAGATGGCCTTCGTCGCCATCGTCGGCGTCCTTTTCTACGTCCTCTACGTCAAGGACCAGGAGAACAAGCTTCTCTCCAACATGGCCGTCGCCCAGGCCCGCGAGATCGGCTCCCTTCGTCTCGATCTTCGTAAGTCCCCTCCCCTATCTATGACCATCACACTTTCATCCCTCCTTATCTCCATCCCTCTCCATTGTCAGAGTATTCCCCTAACGCCCCACCCAGAGAAGACCGACCACACCGTCGCGACCTACAAGACCCAGATCGACACCCACAAGAAGGCGACCCAGACCACCAACGCCCTGGCCGCCGAGTACAAGAAGGCGGGCGACGAGCACAAGGCCGCCGCGGCCGCCGCCAAGTCCGCCGCCGACGCCGCCTCCAAGGCCGCCAACGACCAGGCCGTCGACCAGGTCCTCGCCTTCAACGAGCTCGTCAACCTCGTCAAGGACAAGTGCGTCGAGACCGACAAGCTCGTCGCCGCCTCCAAGACCGACAACGAGGGCGTCCGGAAGCTCATCGGCGAGCTCAACGAGGTCCTGCCCCGTCTCCAGGCCGACGCCTACCAGCGCGGCAAGGACGACTGCCGTTCCGAGCTCTTGGACGAGTTCGGTCTGAAGGGCATGGCCTAATCGCGACGGAGCGATGTGCCCTTTTCTTGTGTCTTGCTTTTTGGGGGGAGTTTTTGGGGAAAGGAAAGAAAGATACCATAGAGGCCCACGGGCTTTAGATACCAAACGTGCTGAATGAAACAATTGGCTTGGTTTGGCGATTCGCTACCGTCTGAGACTTACAAGTAAGAGACTATTCATAAACCTGTTGCGCCGTGTCCTAGTGAAGTTCCTTCTCGCCGGGTATTGCTCAGCTGAACCCAATGAACCCGAAATACCATCCAACTCCGTTCCATTTTGTCATCCCATCTACAGCCGACCAGCCATGACCTCCTTCTTGAAAATTCGAACGTCCCACACATCGTAAAAGTGAACTCCCTCCACAGTCTCAAGCTTCGTGTTGGCCACGATATCCGTGTCTTCGTCATCGCTGCTGTCGCTGTCCGTGGTCCAGCCGTTCCAGCCCGGCATGGGGAGCGGCGGGAACGCATCGGTATGGGAACCGGTATAGGCCTTCGCCTTGCCTTTCTTGTTCTTCTTCTCCTCCTTTTTGGCAGCCGGTGTTTGGGGCGGCGGGCGGATGATGCGCTCGACCCGATCATCATCGATGGAGATCCACTCCAACTTCAGATCTGGGTAGTGGCAAAGATTGTCGACGATGAACCTCCTGGTCTCCCGCATGACCCAGACGCATGTGTCGTCGTTCCTGAACTGTGTCACGTTTAGGGCGCGAAGGTTGACCAGGCCCGATATGTGTTGCATAAAAGTGTGCTTTGACTGGTTAGCAAACTGCCCAATTCTTACGTGACGGCATAGGCAAACTTACCACAGCGCGGATTCCAACCGCCGCCGCCAACTCTTCGAGTTTTCTTCCGCGGTTGCATATCAGCAGCATGGCCTTCTCATCGACGTCCCAGAACGACCCGCAGTCGTTCTTAATCATGAGCTTGGTGATGGTTGGCATATGCTTCTTGAGTACCAGGCGCCGAATCTGATCCATGACAACATTCGTCTTGGGCGCAAAGCTCTCAGGCTTGTACTTGGCCGATCTTTCCAACATGAACAGCTCGTCGATCCGGTCCAGTTGGCCTGCGAATTGGAGGAAGGTCGTGGACACATTATCCGTAAAGATCTTGCGCAAAGGAAGTGGCTGCACCTTGTTTTCCTTGGATAACATTGTCCAGATAGGGGCCTGGTTACCGACGTTAAGCAAGGTAAGCCGTTTGAGTGCCCGAACATCAATGGCGGCCCTGAGAACGGATGCCTTGACTGGAATCAAGTGAATGCTAAAAGACCTCAGAGCCAAGCCCCTCGTTGACCGGATGTACTCGCTGATGCGCTCGTCTTCATTATGTGCTGTTGTGGCTACACCGTGAAGCTGTTTTTCCGCATCGCGAATCTCAGTCTCGGTCGCATTCAGCTCGGCTCTCACGTTCTCAATGTCGCGATGAAGCCCCTGCAATTGTTTGTCTTTGAGCCGAACTGCCTCCAAATCAGAGTGATCTGTGTCGTCTCTCATCTTGTTAAGCTCCTCCCGCGTGTTAGTAGCCTCAGTAAGTAGGTGCTGCAGCTGGGAGACGAGGTTTTCAAAGTTCGCTCTTTGCGTTGCCAGATTTGCCAATGCTCGACTCTTAGTGGATGACTCTGCTTCCTCTTCTTTGGCCGAGGCCTGGTTAGGTTTCGTTTCGAGAACGATCGAGGAGTCCTCTTGGCTTTGATCGGTCTTCAAGTCTGTGGGTTCATCGGTTTCTTCGACCGCGATCGGCTCCTCAACGTTGATGTCCTCGGGGTTTGCATCTGTACCTATCGCCGGCTTTGGCCTCGTGCTGTCATTAACCACAGCAACAGCCTCGGAACTCTCCGCGAGCGGCTGGCCATCAGTCGTTGTCGCTGCGGGTGCTGGTGGAGCGGTAGAAGAACCTTCTCCGGCAGACGCTTCCGTCGCTTTTACTTCCTCGCGACCCTGTGCGGCCTCTGGGTCCTCCAAGTACTTCCTGCTCGCCTTTTCGATGAGGTCCAGGACCTCCTTCATCGCCCCATCCTCGGCGTCTAGTGTGACGAGAGCCATTTTCCTGGACACTTCCCGCAGTTGGTTCATGAACGCTTCGGCAGGTGTCCCCGCTTCTGCGACCGCAGGTACCACGGGCATCTTCTCTTTTCCCTTGAGGCTCTTACGTTGCGGAGACTTCTTGGTTAAGAAGGGCTCCACGTCAAAAATCCTTCCCAGCACCGATTCCTGACTCTTCCGCTCCTCCTGAGCGCGGAATGCCTTGGCGGGACCACTTGCTTCGTCCCAGCCAGGCGCTGAAGACATGGGAACTACCTGGAACTCGTCATCCGGGTCGGAATCGTCGGGGTCTGCGTCCGGTGGAGGCTTGCGGGCTTGGGCAGCCAAGTACGAGGAGAAGGAGAGCTTCAACTTAGTCAGCGTCGAGGCGGAGTTTCGCACGCACGACTTGATCTCGGCCACGGTGTCCAAGTTGTCGATGTCAAGGACGGCGAGCGTGTTCAGCTTCCTGAAGCCCGACAGGGTCGCGGGCTCGTTGGCAGCCGACGTCCTACGCTTGCTTCTAGGTGCGGGTTTCAAGGCGGGTGGCAACGGAGGCGGAGGACCGAGTGTGGGGTTGTACGGTGGTGGGACGGGTAGAGACATATTTGGGAAGGGCGGAGGGACGGCGGCGAAGGTTGGTAACGAATCCCAATGTCCTTGGGTGGTAGGGGGCGGCAGATTTGAAGTATACGGAAGCGGAGGGGGGATTTCAAACAGCGACGGTCCAGCCTGCATCCGAATGTGCAGGTTCTTCAGAGGGGCAATGCGATGTAATGCCTGATAGACGGGGCGGCCGAGCTCGACTCGGATGTTCCACCTGCAGTTGCACAAACGTCAGAGTTGAAGTACGATAGGATTGTAGAATGTGTAGGACGAACCTGAAAGTCTCGAGCGACTTGGCGTTCTTGAGAGTCAGAAGCAACAGAGTGTTCATGAACTTGCCGCAACTGGCGCTGTACAGGTAAGGCTTATAAGCAGCTTCGGCCTTTTCACCAGCGCTCAAAGTGTCTAGGGATATGTCTCGTAGATGTTGAGCATAGTTGTAATCGCTCGAGACGAAGGTCTCGAGGCCGCCGGCCAGACTGTCGATGGGGGAGTCGAAAGCCGGATCATCTTCATCGGGGAATACGATGTGGAAGTTTCGATAGAGCTGAGCGGCAGCAAGTTCGCGAAAGTGTTTGGAGACAAGGGCGAGGCAGATGAGATCGCTTTGGCAACACTACTCGAGTTGGTCAGTCTAGTCCAGTGCAGTATGGTGGCATGGCAAGGAAGATGGTAAAGTGACGTCGTACATGGCTGAAGATGCCCTTCTGGGTTTCGGGAGGAAGATCGAGGAAGCAGAGTTTCGGCGGTGCAGCGAGGGCAGCCTTGTCGCAAGACTCGGCGGAAGCCATGATGGGCGAAGGTGGTGGTTGGAGAAATCAAAAACCACGGCGATGGAATGTGGCGCAAAAGTGAATCTAGATGATGTGTTCTCGTCGGTGTTGAGGACCATGCGATATCTTTTGCGCCGACGTTGATCAGGCACGGTAGCGAGATGGCGTATGCGTAGATGGGAGGATGCAAATGGAAGAGGCGGTTGCGACGTCTGTTGTCGACGATTTCAATTCAAGGAAGTGTCTCTGCCTCGTTCCCGCCTCGTCGAGTGGAGGATTGGCGATTGGGAAGGCAAGGCAAGACAGAGACCAAGACAGTTAGATGCAGGAAGACGACCGGGAAGACATAGGGCACCCCATTCGACGGGACGCACCACGCACCATGCACCACTAACCACAGTCAGTGCCACACTCCCTTGATGCGCGGGGCGACTTGGTGCTAGCTTGGTCCGCAGAATTCTGGTCGACGGTGGTGGACTCGAATTGTTTTCTTGATGGCGTGGACGGGAAGGGACAGATGCAGATTGAAGGTGGAGGTGAAGGAGGGGCGCATTCGGAGGCACGACTTGCCCTGGACTTCCATGACTTCCATGACAGAGCAGCCAGCCAGCGAACGATGCGCCCGCCCCTCGGTCCACCGTCAGCGCAGCGCAATCCAATGCTGCAGCTGCAGGTGGCCTGTCCCGGCTGTCCCCAGTCCTCCCCGGGTCCGTGCACGGGCGATAGGTACCTAGATACAGCTGCTGGAGTCGCTGGAGCCGCTGAAAGGCGAAATTCGCCATGGTTTTGGGGCACTTTCACCGAAGAAAAGAGTTTAGCGCCTTTGGAAGACTCGCAGGAGCGGCACGTAGCGGCTCCACCTGCCGTTGCACCTCTTTTTTTTGAACATTTACTCCACTGGAATGAATATAAATACATTTCTGCTTCTATTGTTCTTCTCACAGCCTGGTGGCCGGGGACGTTTAAAGTTGAGTCTCATCCTCACGTTGAATCCATCTGACCCGGATGGAGTCACGTTGAATGGAGACCATGATGCCAGGTAAAATAACTCAGTGTTTGATGGCTGTCAACGTTGAGCCGCCGGCATATAGACTCAAATGAGGCGCTCAATATTAACAAATAAGGTACCTCCCGGAATACAAGAGAAACGGCATGTGTCAGCAACTGCCAGCCTCCATCCAGCCAAGTCCAGCCTCGGGAAGACATGACGTGAACCCAGAATCACGGCAGAAACTTGAGGTACTTGTTCCAATGGCCTAGCAGTTTTCATTGGTTGCTACTGGAAAGATCTCCCTCACAGCCTACGACCCGTGTGGCCGTGGCTGAAGTGACATACGGAATCCATCTTGGCTCAGATAGCGTAGCTTACGTTTACCGCGTTGCTAGTGTTGAATTTCAAGGTCGAGATTAATACCTCGTACTCTCTACAGGACGGTAGCACAGCGCAATGACGCTTTTGTGGGGAATTGAGCGGGCAGATGGGGATGTTGTCTCGGGATTCTTATCGAGTGGACAACGGACTTTTGCATTCGCCTACTTGCAGACTGAGAGCTCAACTTGTCAGTATTGTGATTTTACACACATGCATTCAAACAGTATCGGCTACCAAAATCCACGTTCAAGAACGGTGACAGTTACCTAACACCGAGGAGACGATCGACCCGTAGCGCAGCTCTCCCCCTGTCCGCCGCTAAGCAAGGCTGGGTTGTGCCGACTGATCCAGACCGAGACAAGACAAGACCAACACAAAGGCAACAAGGGACTCGAAACCCCACTACGAAGTACTTGGCTTGGGTCATCATTATTTTCTCGTTAAGAAAACACGAACATTTCATATTACCTCTCTCCTGCTGTTCCTATTCTTTCTTAAAGCAAGGCATCCAGACAGAAGAACACCATTTCGTCCCATCTGTCCCTTGTCCGCTCTCCCTTCTCCTCTTCCGCTGAATACTTGCTTGCCCCTCCTTGTTTGCTGCAGACTGCAGTTTGCTTTACCTCGTCAGGAAGACTGTGTGACCTGAACCTTGACCTGTTCTTGTCCCGTCTCGTTCCCGTTCCTTGTCACAGCTTAAGCTTCTCCCGCGCCCCGAGCCTGCCAGACCCCGAACCAGCCAACCAAATCTTCTCGCTGCTGCCTGCCAATCCCTCAGGCGAGGTACTGCATACAGCGCCTCCTGTTGGCACATTGACTGGACTGCAACGGCAATTAACCCGCAGAGGCTGAGAGCATCGCCACAATCCAACCTCGTCTTCGACTTCTCCCTCTTTCCAGTTGTATCACCACCAATTGCTATCTACAGTACCGAGCACCTCACAGAGTAAGGTAGCTGTTGGTGGCCGTGCCATCGATCGATCCTTCGCTCTCCGAGCTGTCGTTTCTGCCCCTGCTTCAGCCAAAAGCCACAAACACGACACGGGCTTTTGTTTCCCACTCTTGTCACATCATTCATCCATTAATACCACTTAAACTTCCGCCTTCCCCTTCCCTGTCCCCCTCCTTTTCCACGACCGCGAACCATCCCCCATTCAACTACTCGGCCCTCGTATATCCAAGTCAGTCTCTACGGATCACCCTCTAGCTGCGCATCGGACACTCCCAATCGACCCCGCCGCACAAAAGTCCCGACACTCGTGAAGGTGCCGTGACTCAGTTACCAATTGACAGCCTGCTGCCTGTTGCTCAATTGGGACAACGCGCCGCGATCAGCAGTCCCAGGATTGGTGGGGTAGACCACCCAACACCCAAAGTCGTTCGTTCTGATCGTCATATAATATCCCACCCGTTCGCGCTCCCAATCGCGACCTCGAATTCGCCAACCAACTTTACGAATCACCAATCTCACCGGTGACCATACCAAACACCATGGCCGAAGTCGAGGAGCCCAAGTTCAACAGCCTCCAGGAGAGAATTGCTGCCCTGAATTCTCAGAAGAACTTCCAGGCTCCTGAGGCCAAACCCAAGAGGGCGCCGCCTCCTCCTCCGCCCAATCGCCCTGCGGCTCGAAGCCAGACGCTCCCTGTTGTCCAGACGAACGGACAACCGACCCCTCAGAAAAGTCCCTCGATCCCTCCACGACCGACTAAGACGAAGACAAACCCGCCGCCGTTGCCACGTCGAACCACTGATTCCCCTCAGCTCGAGCCATCTGCGCCGCCCGTTCAGAGGGATCGAATCGCTCCCCCACCGCTTCCCACTCGCTCCTCTACTCAGCAGATCTCACCCGCTCTACCGCCTCGGAGGCCGTCAACTCAGCAACTGGAAGTCCGTCGCAACTCGAATGCTTCAGAGATCTCTAACCTGTCGGCTCTGTCCCTGAACACTAGCCACACTAGCTACACCTCTGATGGTTCAACACGGAAGCTCCCACCTGTCTTCGACCAGGCCAATCTCCCGGCTTTGCCTCCCACAAAGCGTGAGCGGGAAGCTCAGGCGAAAGAAGCGGCCGCTAGAGACCCGCCTCAGGCTAAACATCCCCTCGTCACCATCAAGTCTGCACCTGCTGTCAGACAGATCGAGCAGCCTCAGAGACCCGCCTTGCCTCCTCGATTGACTTCAAACTCGACCAGTCAACAGGTTCACAGGTCGCCCCAGGAAGAAGCAGAGCCAGCAAAGCCAAGACGACTGCCACCGCCTCCGACGGCGTATGTCAAGCCGCAAGCGCAGACAAACGGTCACGTTCAAACGCAGCAATCAAACACGCCTCCCTTGCCGGGTAGACGGCCAGCTGCCAACGATGACGCCCCTCCTCCCGTGCCCCTGGCTTCTCGACCTAGTGCTGCGCAAATCGAGGCAGTCGAAGCCAAGATCACTGCACGCGCCAACGACTGTTTGATCTGCCGCGACTTCTCCGGACCAGACGGAGTCGCTGCTCAGTACCCGCGACAGTCATTGCCGAGGAACGACCCCGTAGGCTACCTAGCTCAGATGCTATGCGGACCTTTCTCGTCATACACAGACAAGGCGAGGGCCATCTTCACCTGGTTCCACCACAACGTCGCATACGACTGCGCCGCCTTTTTCGGTAACAACATCAAAGCCCGTCCCGGAGCCGAAACCATTCTCTCGGGCAAGGCGGTCTGCTCTGGATACGCCGACACGTACCGGGAGATTGCGAACCGCGCAGGTCTGGAGTGCATTACGGTGACCGGGCACGGTAAAGGTTATGGGTACACGGCGCTGAAGAAGGGCGAGCGCCCTCCGCCGAGGAAGGTGGACGGCCATGCTTGGAACGCCGTACGCATTGATGGCGGAGAATGGAAACTCCTCGATGCCTGCTGGGGTGCTGGAAACGTCTCCGACGTAACCAAGGAATTCACTCCCGACTTCAAGCCGCACGAGTTCACGAGGAGAAACGACATCTTTGGTCTGTCGCATTACCCGGCGGACAACAGACACTTCTTCCGACCCGACGGACGCGTGCCGAGCTGGGAGGAGTACTACATCGGCCCCGTCCACGGAGAGACGCCCGTCGTCTACAGCCACGCGTACGAGGAGGGCATCTGGGACAAGTCGATCCAGCCCGCGGAGCTCCAGATCCCCGTCTACAGCGGCCAGGTCGTCCGCTTCCAGTTCTCCAAGATGTGCGAGCACTGGACGTCCGAGAAGCACGGCAAGGGCAAGCCGCCCCTGCTGATGCTCAGCATCAACGGCCGAGACGGGCGGAAGCAGGACATGGTCCCCATCGAGACCGACGGGTACTGGCACTGGGCGGACGTGAGCGCCATCGATCTCGGCGTGCCGGGCGGCAGCATCAGCGTCGTCATGATCACGACGATTGGCGACCGCGACGCGAGGGGCGTGTCCGCCAAGGAGTACTTCTCGAAGAAGGGCAAGGTCGGCATGAGCTGGACCGGTATCATGAAGTGGGATCTCATCTAGGGGGGCACACGACGGATTTTCACACCTCTGACGAACGCAACGGCCGACACATAATGATAATACCTCTAAATGAACTCACACCATTCTTCCTGGTTTGGGTGGCGTTATTTCCGGAATAGACCATTAAACCATCACGATCTCAAATCGCAGCACATTTCTTTCCGGTCAGTGTGAAAATGAAAGCAGACCTAATGCTAATGATCAATCTATAAGGGTATATGTTGTCGCCTGCCTGCCGCTTCTCATGATCTAATCTACCGAAATACACAAAAGGCAAAATCCTTACAGCTCCAGCTTCTGCCACTTGCGCAGCCGTCCTCCGTATCTATATATCAGCGCCGGCACGGGGATGAGCGCGACGGCGATGAAGCCCAGCAGACTGTTTCCCCATCCCAGCCCGAGGGCGTCGTACATGGACGGGCCGGCCATGGGTAGGAACGCCGCGACGATACTGCGGAACACCGTGAAGGCCGCCAGACCGCTCGCCGCGAATCCCGGGTACGCGTCGATGATGTACGCCTGTATCGGCTGCCAGATGCCCAGGATCGCGATGCCGAAGGGCAGCAGACCGACGACGGGGGCCGCCCAGTGGGTGTGGAACTCGGCCGTCCAGCCGTACCAGAAGAAGGTGACCGGCAGGAGGAAGGCGAAGTAGATGCAGTCCGGCAGCCGCATCTCGGGCTCGAAGACGCCGTTGTTGGCCTTGGTCATGCGCACCACCGTGTTGTCAGAGAGGATGGTGAAGCAGGCCATGCCGATGATGTAGCCCAGACCCAGCGGGATGTACACCAGGCCCGTGGTGCCGATCGAGAAGCCGTAGGTGTTGTGGAAGACGAGCGGGATGGTGCTGAACAGGAGGTACAGCACGCCGTACGCGAACGCGATGTACAGGCTCACGCTGAAGATGATGGGCGACAGGAAGAGCATCTTGAGGGGCCTGATCAGCCCCTTGATGAGGACCTGGGACGTCGACGTAGGCGTGGTGCTGGGATCCAGGTACACGCTCCTCAGCTCGGGGCGGTTGAGTTCCTTCCGCAGCCGGGACACCTTGCGGTCGATGAGCACGCGCGGGTTCGTCTCCTGGTTGAACACGGCGATGACGAGGGCCATGGGCGTGGCAGCGATTAGGGCGATCCAGCTGGACCACCGCCAACCGATGTCCTGCGCGATGAAAGCGCCCACGAGTGGCGCCAGCGTGGGACCGATCAGCGGACCGACCATCCAGATCGTGAGCGCCTTGCCGCGCTGCTGCACGGGGATCATGTCGGCGATGACGCCCCCTCCGATCGCGAGGCACCCGGACCCGCCGACGCCCGCGAAGAAGCGGAACACGATGAGCGAGTTCAGCGTGGGCGCCAGCGCGCACCCGATCAGCCACGCGCAGAAGAACAGGTTCGCCGCGCTCAGGACCGGCCGCCTGCCGTAGATCTCGCTAAGGGGCGCGAGGAACAGCGGACCGACGGCGTAGCCCAGCAGGTAGATGGAGACGGGGAGTGTGCCGAGGGTGAGGTCGTCGTTGCCGAAGTCGGCGTTGAAGTACTCGATGGCCGGGGCGAGGATGGAGGAGGCGAAGGGGGTCATGAAGGTGATTCCGGCCAGGAACCAGATGATGATCCACTTGCGCCGGGGGTCGAAGTTCATGGGCATCGCGGGGTCGTCCTGCGAGTCCCAGCCGACGACGCCGGCGTCGAGGTCCGAGACGGGGTGGATCGTGGGCGGGAGCTGTTGTTGGTTCTTGCGCCGGGAGGACGAGGTGGCGAGGCTCGCGATGCGCGAGAGGCGGGAGCGGGCGCTGGCGTGGGTGTGCGTCGTCTGGCTACGCTCGATGATGTCCTTGGTTGCGAATCTCATGTTAGCTATTGCCAAACTACAGACGAACCCTCAATTCTCAGAACCTCGACCGTGTACACACGAAAATATCCAACAAGAATCCCAATGTCATCATCATAGCTTGGCAAATTTGAGAAAAAGTGAATTGACGAAAACGGCACTTCTCAGAAAAACTCACCTCTTGATAGGGCTCGCCGTCCGTCGCCTCGTCGACGTCGTCGAAACTGCTCTTTCGCTCCTCCATTTTCTTGTCTCCCTTTTCGAGTTCGTCCGAAGATGCAAAAGTATCACGCTGCCGTTGACGTCCGTCCTCCTTTTCAGCGGCGGCCGCCATAGTCCCTTGCTCGGAAGAGGATCCTCCTCGGAGCCCGTGGGCGCCGCCGACGGGATGATGCGCCTCCGCCTCCTTGTCTTTTTCTGGATCCATGACGAAGATGGGGGTCGAATCGGGGCGGGAATGATGTCTTGTTTTTTTTTCTCTCTCCTTTTTTTCTTTTTTGGTTCTCCTATATGAAGTTAAGTCGCTCCAGAAGAGAGAGAAAGTTGAAGATGAGGTGGTGAGGTTAGGTAGGTATAGGAATGAGGAATAGGAACAATGAACCCCAGACGTCGGTAAACAGCCCCAAACGAACTTCGCGTTGGCGCGATCAGCGTAGCATTATATGAGATGAGAAGAGAAGAAAAAAAAAACGCACCCCGGGCTTTTGACAAACAACGGCCTTTTTACTAATTCAAATAACAACCCCAGTAATAGGGTAGGTAGGGAGCAGCAGCAGCTACCCGACTGCATCGGCGGCAACAGCCCTTTCCACCCCTCCCCCGTCCTTCCCTCATCCGCCTTCCCCAAAGCCGCAACTAACCTAGGCAGGACGACGATCATTGACGCGGGAGGAGGGGCCGGAAATGGGATCCAAATGTGTAACGTGATTCGACCATCTCCAAGCAAAAGGTCCCCCCTCGATCCTCCCCGCGTTTCTTATTAATCCAGAAGAAAAATTTCATCATCACGCACTTATCGTTGGCCGGGGTTAGTCCTACTGCTGACTTGCATCGCATCGTAGACGACGCCTTGGTTTTGGGGGGATTTAAGCCTAGCACGACATAGTAAGGCAACTGGGGTGCTTTAACTCCACGTCTTTATCTCCGCAGCCCGGGGGCCGTCCCGGTTCCGAACGGCAGCGGGGGAAGAGAGGGAGGGAGGGGAGCCAAGAATGACGGGAATTGGAAGAATCGAAGACGCGGGAGTGGTTCGGAGGTGGGCCGTGGATCTTCCTCGGATCTTCGCGCGCGTTCACCGGTCTTTTGAGAGATGCGGGAATCGCGGGGGAGCTACCTTGGCTAGCTAGCTGAGGGAGGTACGTAGTGGTGATTGATGATCAATCGGTGCTGACCACCAACTCGAGCACGACTCGGGTACGCGGCACTTATTTCTTCCTCTTGAGGCTGGATTGGTCATGGGGAGGTGTTGTGGTGAGATGCAGCTTATATCCGGCTTGAATCCTTGATATTTCTAGATTTTTAATTGTGGTAGAATCAGCTGTGCTTTTACAGAGTACAGTGTTGAAACAACAGGCTGTTGGGCATTGCATTGCTTGTGAATGTGACACAGCAATACTGAGCTGAGAATCTTGGTAAGTGGTGATATCTGGTGCAGAGCCTCATTGAAGCTACTTAGACTTTTAGACTTAGTTACCAATCAATATGCCATAACAATCTTATTTGAGTTCGAGTTGCAATTGCTCTCAAACTTTGCAGAGTGTCAGAGACTCATTCTCTTTTATTCCCTGTCAAAACCATCCCCAAGAACCCCCGCACAGACCTCTGAAAGAGCTTCCCCGGCTCCACCTCTTGATCCCGGTCAAAGTCCCACTCACAGCTGTCGAAGTGCCCCGCAGCTCCCGGTACCCACCTCACTCAGGTCTCCAAAAAAGAAACCGCCCACACGGAACAAAGCCTCAAGCAACGCGGCCAGTGGAGAGGCAGACAGACCCCTTCTCCAAATGCGCAACACCTCACCCCCAAAAAAAGACCTCCTGCAACTGTGTCCCCCATCGCAACTTCCCACATTGCGAGAACCTCACCAAGAACGACATACACAACCGCGCACCCGCCAATTCACGCTGCGCACAATGAAACTTCCTCAATCATAGAACGGACACTCATTCAAAACAGCAATAAAGCGAAACGAGAAGAACAAAAATACCAAACATCACTAGGTAGCGCCCCTACGCGGCGCGCATCACCCACCAAAAATGGCCGCCGCCTCGCCAACCCTCTCCCGCGCGGAAACAATCTTCCTCTCCTCCCTCTCCCTCGCCGCCGTCGCCGTCCTCCTCAACGCCTTCTCCGGCGACGGCGAGCCCCTCGTCGCCTCCCTCGCCCTCTCCGTCCTCGCCTTCGCCCTCGCCTACGCCATGGTCCGCTGGCTGGGCCCGACCTTCGTCCGCGCCGGCTTCAAGGGCCGCGACCTCTCCAAGCACCACCGCCCCGAGCTCCCCGAGTGCATGGGCGCCGTCTGCGCCGCCGTCTACCTCCTCGTCGTCATCGTCTTCATCCCCTTCCCCTTCTACAAGGACATCGTCGCAGCTACCAGCGGTGGAGGTAACCGGGATGTCGTCTTCCACGTCGAGCACGTCCAGCAGGGGAGGTTCCTGCATCGCTTTCCTCACAGCAAGGTACATACACACACTCTCCTCCTAGAACATCTGGACGGCATGCTGACACTCGGTCCGACAGCTCGCTTCGTACCTCTCCGCCATCATCTCCCTCCAGACCACCGCCCTCCTCGGCATAGGCGACGACCTCTTCGACATCCGCTGGCGACACAAGTGGTGGATCCCCGGCCTCGCCTCCGTCCCCATCCTCGTCATCTACTTCGTCGACTTCGGCGTCACCTCCATCGTCATGCCCATCCCCCTCCAGCCCTACCTCGGCGAGCTCTTCGACCTCGGCGTCCTCTACTACATCTACATGGCCTGCGTCGCCATGTTCTGCCCCCAGTCCATCAACATGCTCGCCGGCATCAACGGCATCGAGGTCTCCCAGTGCATCGTCGTCTCCCTCCTCCTCGTCCTCAACGACGCCCTCTACCTCTTCACCCCCTACCCCCACCCGGCCACCGACTCCCACCTCTTCTCCCTCTACCTCCTCCTCCCCTGGCTCGGCGTCTCCCTCGCCCTCGTCGCCCACAACTGGTACCCCGCAAAGGTCTTCGTCGGCGACACCTACTGCTACTTCTCCGGCATGGTCTTCGCCACCGTCGGCATCCTCGGCCACTTCTCAAAGACCCTCGGCCTCCTCCTCGTCCCACAGCTCTTCAACTTCCTCTACTCCACCCCGCAGATCTTCGGCCTCGTGCCCTGCCCCCGCCACCGCCTCCCCCGCTTCAACGCCCGCTCCGGCCTCCTCGAGCCCTCCGTCACCCCCTGGTCCCCGGAACGCCAGCCGAGACCCCTCGTCGCACACGCCCTCCGCCTCCTCGCCAGGCTGCGCCTCCTCAAAATCACCACCGACGACCAGGGCCGCTTCGTCGAGACCTCCAACTTCACCCTCCTCAACCTCTGGCTCGTCTGGCGCGGGCCCCTCCGGGAGGACCGCCTCGCCTGGGAGGTCACCTTCCTCCAGGCCTTCGTCGGCCTCTTCGGCCTCTTCGTCCGCCACCGTCTGGCCCTTCTCGTCTTTAAGGAGGACAACTGGGGCATGACGACCAAACGATACTGAATTTTTCACACGTCTTGGGGGACTTTTTCCCGTTCATTCGCATTTTTTCGACGGACCGGACTTGGTTCAGACATTCCATCCGGCCTTTTTTCTTTTTTTCTTGTTCAATGGGACGGCCAGAGTTGGTTGGTATGGGGGGGAAACCGTTTGTATCATAGAAAGAAGATACCCTGTGAGAGTACACACACAACAACACGCACAAAAAGATGGCCAGCAAGAGAAGATATGGCAGCTAGAGAGATACAATTCATCACGTCAACATGTCAAGAGACAGGACAGAGTTCATCACAACAAGCCACACGCTCACACGGCCCAGAAACCAAGTTTGAAAAGTAAGCAGCGTGTCAGCTGCGCAAGTCATTCCATTTGATCCCTTTTCATCGTAGGAGTTGGGGGCGATATGCCCGGTGCATATGGCCTCTCTCACTCTCACACTGGCTCTGTGCTAACAAGCAAGCCTAGAAATACAGAAAGAAAAAAAAGTTTAAAAAAAAGAGAAGATTTGCCCATCATCGTCGGCAAAACGGAATAAAAGTGGAAGAAACCTTTCTCTCTTTTCGAATGGGGCGGGGGGGGGGGGGGGGGCGGGGGGGGGGTGGGGGGGGGGGGGGGGGGGGGGGGGGGTGGGGGGGGGGGGGGGG